CTAGGTGATGCTTACAGAATGCAAAATTAACGCCATTTTGAACCTTATGCGAAGTGAGAGAAAATGTCGACTTGACATGCGAGTTCGTGTTAGAATTTTATAGAATCGACGTGCTGCACATTAATATACTAATTATTCTAAACGTAAATCATTGAATGAAGGAACTGATATTATTTTATTAATTTACCGCATTATCTCAAATATTCATTTGTCATTACGTACGAGATTACCGTTCTAAAGAATTATTTCAATGAAATGGCATTGGAAAGTCATAATGACGCTATCGTGTTAGTATCACTGCCTTGGCCTGGGGCTGCAGAAGGAACGCTGTGATTTTTAGTCAGTAAGAGTCTGACACTCTCTCTTGCCCCGCACGGCGCGAGTAAAGTCAATTGCCAATTTTCCGCTCTCAAGAAAAGGTACTCGAAAGGTATAGATTCGCTGTCTTAGCATTCATTTGTGCCGATTGGTCTATTGGATAGCCACGAATCCCCCAAATCAATGGTGGTCTTTCCGACAAGAAACTCTTTACACGACTCCCTGTTTCCTCTAACGATGCGCTTCAGAGGTTGCGATGTAACTTCTTCCAACATTAAGGGGATGAATACTGAACCAACTTTTCAACGAATAAGTTGACGTTCTTCTTATTATATAATTTACACCCGGTTTCTGAAAGGCTTGTCAACGCTAAAATTAACTAATCTCCTGTTAAATCTCTTGCCAGTCATCTGATTGGTTGTTGATAATTCAGTCAACCAATCAGATGACTTGACAGGAGATTACATTGATTTTAACATTGATCGGCCTTTCGGAAACCGGGCGTTAATCATTAAAGTTCAAATTCAGTGGGTAACCTTCGTAATACTGCATGCACGCTGTCTGTGACTATTCAGATGCTCAGTCAATTAGTAGGTAACTAAAAACGTAGATCCAGTCCAAACCAGTTTCTCACCAAAGTAAATGACAGTTCATCTGCCATTTTGCGGTTGACCGCTAGACAACTATACAGGTAGGTACGTATGTACAAATAGGTACTGTTTGTATTTTATAATAAATTTACCTTCGAGGGACTTTTTCTGTATAAAAAGTTGTGAATAATTGTCATTATCAAGTCAAATGTGTGACTGTGTCGTAAGTATTACAATCAGCCTATAAATGTGGAGCAAAGGCCTCTTCTCGCACGAAAAAGGAATTACTAATCAGTGCGTCAGCTCAAAGCGTATGATCGATTTTTAAGTTATTATTAGAACTTTTAAGTATTTTCCCACGTTTTTCCACGATGATTTTCTTAACCGTAGTTCACTGTTGTCTAAATAAACTAAGGATATACTTACCAGTTTTTGAACCCGGTTTTTTTTTGTGAGGGGAAAATCATCCAATGACTTCTCCCGCCCAGGACCGGGCGGGAGGGAGTGTCAGACTCTTACTGACTAAAAAGCCCCCCCGTTCCTTCTCCTGCTCTGGGCCGAGGTCGCGGTGCCTCGTTGCGCTTGCCCTGCAACCCCGGCAGTTTTTGAACCCATGCGAATCACATCACGATATTTTGTCGTAGCATTATGTGAATGGCTAAACCGATACAGATAATTCTTGTAATGCTGTATTTAATTTAGCTATAGTCAAGAGAACATTCTTGAAAAGAAAATTAACAGAGAAAATCGGGTTATAGCTACAGTTTCGGTGACGAAACGTTTCGCTAATATGACAAACTAACTCCGGCCCCCGCAGTGGTATTTCGATAAAAAGCAGCTTATGTCACATCCAAACTAATATTATAAATGCGAAAGTAACTCTGTCTGTATTTTCTTCCATTGTCATTTTGCTAAAAGTTCGTTCGTCTGTTTATTCAAAATGGATGATCATTGGCGTTCGGCGATGTCGTAATAGAATTATTATAGTACGAGATGTCTTGTAACGAATTATCAACAATAACTGCACATTAATATACTAATTATTCTAAACGTAAATCATTGAATGAAGGAACTGATATTATTTTATTAATTTACCGCATTATCTCAAATATTCATTTGTCATTACGTACGAGATTACCGTTCTAAAGAATTATTTCAATGAAATGGCATTGGAAAGTCATAATGACGCTATCGTGTTAGTATCACTGCCTTGGCCTGGGGCTGCAGAAGGAACGCTGTGATTTTTAGTCAGTAAGAGTCTGACACTCTCTCTTGCCCCGCACGGCGCGAGTAAAGTCAATTGCCAATTTTCCGCTCTCAAGAAAAGGTACTCGAAAGGTATAGATTCGCTGTCTTAGCATTCATTTGTGCCGATTGGTCTATTGGATAGCCACGAATCCCCCAAATCAATGTTGGTCTTTCCGACAAGAAACTCTTAAACCAAAACCTCCCCCTGTTTCCTTTAACGATGTGCTTCAGAGGTTGCGATGTAACTTCTTCCAACATTAAGGGGAAGAATACTGAACCAACTTTTCAACGAATAAGTTGACGTTCTTCCTATTATCTAATTTACAGCCGGTTTCTGAAAGGCTTGTCAACGCTAAAATTAACTAATCTCCTGTTAAATCTCTTGTCAAGTCATCTGATTGGTTGTTAATAATTCAGTCAACCAATCAGATGACTCTACAAGACCTTAACTTGATTTTAACATTGATCGGCCTTTCGGAAACCGATCGTTAATCATTAAAGTTCGAATTTAGTGTGTAACCTTCGTAATACTGCATGCACGCTGCCTACGACTATTCAGATGCTCAGTCAATTAGTAGGTAACTAAAAACGTAGATCCAGTCCAAACCAGTTTCTCACCAAAATATATGACAGTTCATCGGCTTTTTTGCGGTTGACCGCTAAACAACTATACAGATAGGTACGTATGTACTCGTACAAATAGGTACTGTTTGTATTTTTATTATTAATTTACCTTCGAGGGACTTTTTCTGTATAAAAAGTTGTGAATAATTGTCATTATCAAGTCAAATGTGTGACTGTGTCGTAAGTATTACAATCAGCCTATAAATGTGGAGCAAAGGCCTCTTCTCGCACGAAAAAGGAATTACTAATCAGTGCGTCAGCTCAAAGCGTATGATCGATTTTTAAGTTATTATTAGAAATTTTAAGTTTTGTTTTTCCACGATAATTTTCTTCACCGCAGTTCAATGGCGTCTAAATAAACTATGGATATACCTACTTATCGGTTTTTGAACCCGTGCGAATTACATCACGATATTTTGTCGTAGCATTATGCGAATGGCTAGATCGATACAGATAATTCTTGTAATTATAATTGGTGTATTTAATTTAGCTAAAGTCAAAAGATAAAATTCTTGAAAAGAAAATTAACGGGGAATATCGGGCTATAGCTACAGTTTCGGTGACGAAGCGTTTCGCTAACATAACAAACTAGTTTCAGCCCCCAGCAGCGGTATTTTGATAAAAAGCAGTTTATGCCACATCCAAACTAATATTATAATGCGAAAGTATCTGTGTCTGTATTTTCTTCACGCCTAAACTACTGAACCGATTTCTGTGAAATTTGTTACAGACATAGTTTGGAACTCGAGAAAGGACATAGGATAGTTTTTATACCAAAGAAAGAAGGAAGTCACTATCCCACGTGCACGGGGCAAAAGCTAGTATCTACATAATTACAAAATTTCAGCCAAATTTCATCCATACATTCTCACAAACTTTCACATTTTTAATATTACTAGGAGTAGTAGGACGAATGACCCCGAAGAAGTGGCCGGCTCCTGGTCGGACATCCGTGTATATATATATCACATACAGGTATTCATAAAAACAAAATCTAGTACGTTGTTACTCATATTTATTTTCCTTAAAAATATTACATAGAAATATATTATACCTAATAATAAATTAAATATCTGTAATGGCAAAACAAAAAAAAAAACAAATAAATTATAAAAATATGAAAAAAGTATTTAATAAATAAAAAAATAGGTATTACAACATTAATCTTTTATACGTTTATTTATGAGTCAAAAGCCTAGAGTCCAGGGCATCTAAATATGTGTCTTTTAGTGCCGAAGTTAAAGTTGTGTTTGCAATAATTGTATTAATTTTAAACTAAATACATTATTATGGCAAACCTATTCTTATTTTTGTGGAGGTATAATAAGTTTTAATAACAAAATGAAATATAATATCTTTGGGATCTATTCATATACAATACATACACCTCAGATACAGATTGATCGGTTGTTAGCGAATATTTACAACATCTATTACGAGTTTTTTTTAAATATTAAAACCCATTATCACCTATCTTGAATTGCATTTTAAAACGGTACCCAATCGTAACTGTCGATATAACAACAACTGTAGCAAAAAATGAGTATTAAAAGTTTTTGTTTTCATATCGACAATTCAAATCAGGCATCGTTTTTAAGATAACATAATTATAAATAAGTTTTTTTTTGTTTTTAAATGTAACAATTAGCGCTCTATACATTTTATATAGCTATTTTTTGCAACTATATTTAATATCACAACATCATCAATAATAACTAGATGAAACCTGAAATATTTTATTAAATGTCTCATGCAAAGTTTCATTTGGTTACCTTAACTTCTCAATTATAAAGGCAGAAGGAAGTAAGTTCGTCTGTTACTCTTTTATGTCTAAAATGCTGAATCGATTTTGGTGTTGTTTTTTAAATGTTAATAACTATGATAGTGTTATCTAACTGTTATATGTGTGCAAAAAGGTAAGTATGCATATTGTTTATCACGATTAGGTAGATATTCAATTCGCTTCATCAAAAATATTAGCTATTTAGTGACATATTCTTAATTTTTTTTCAAATATATTATCATTATGGACTCAATATTTCACGTAACAGGGTTTGAAATCCAACGACTATGTTCTACAAAACATTTATGTCAGGTTTTCTTCACACAAATTAAACACCGAAATCACTTCCAAAAACCCTCATCGATCCAGCCTAAAGAAGTTAGTTGCATAGAGCGCTTTAAAATACCAGTATACAAATCTAATTCAACTATGTCTATTTATTCTTTGGCAGCCGCTACTGGTGCAGACAATCCACTGAAGTCGGGATTTCCTGGTGAATAATGGTCCCAGGTAGAGAATTCTTTGTAGAACGCAGTTCCTGGACATTCGGTCGCGCTGACTTGGTTGTGACCAATCAGTTTGTACTCTGGACTGATCTTTCCCAGTTTGACTCCTTCAGCGATGAGAGCCTTCGTCGTCGCCAACGTTTCTGCTGGTGGAGTTTCAACTGGAAATCGAATTAAATTTTGAGAAAAGTGGGCATTTTGGCCTATTTTCAGCAGTGGAGTAAAATAGTATAGTATAGGATGTAACTACGATTAATGTTATTTGACGTTCAAAAGTGCCTACAGTGGTCTTTTTGGAATAAATGATGTGGCTTTGACTTTGACTTTGTTGTCCATACGGTCTTCTATTGTATAAAATATGTTAAGGATAAACCAAACCACATTTATCAATTAAGTGTGTGAAAAATAGCTAGTAGCCGATTCTCAGACCTACTGCAATATGCATATGAAATTTGGTGAAAATCAGTTTAGCCGTTTCAGAGGAACAAGGTGACACGAGAATTTTATAATTTAAGGATTGAATGTATTTTATTGTCGATTAAAAGTACTTTTTTTGCTCTATTTTTATGCAAAGACATATTTTGCCGATTTGTGACAAAAGAAATAAGTATAAAAAAACAGATAAGTATTATATAATTATGTTAACACTAAATTATAGGTAAGTATTCGTAAGAGGAAAAGATTGTCTATGTTACATCCGCACAAACCAGTTGCTTTTATTGTGATTAAAAACTTCCTGGAAGACGATTTCCGAATCGTGTAATGAATTTTAATTCCATTATTTTAATCCTTTATTTCCTATGTAACTACCAATAGGTTTTTTTTATACTAGTGCCCTGCACCGGCTTCACACGGGTGTACTGCTGATACTAACATTAGCCACTCTTTAGGTAAGCCGTCCTCTTTAATCACTATAACTATTAAAAAGATTTAAGCATACATACAGATATAGGGACAGAAAAAGCGACTTTGTTTTATACCATGTAGTAAGGCTAACAGCTATATGTAAAGCAGGAACTACAGAAGATACAGCTATGAAAACATTAAAACAATTAAGTCAGGCCTGTCCCAGGGACATGACCAATTGCTTTGAATTGCCCGCTACGAAAATAATCAGTGGTTACCATATAAGAAGTGTATAATTGTTAACGCACCCACGACACAAAACCACACGAATATGAGCTACATCTCATCAAAAAATCATAAAGTGGGGCAAAATTAAAAAAAAACGTCATTAATTAGTGGCTAACATTCGAGGAGACGAAAAATATAGTATTCTGGAGCTAAATGATGAAACAGTAGTTTAAGGTCATATAATTAGCACGTTGAACGCCATAGGGTACACAAACATACATACATATGGGCCACGCTAGCGGAGGATTTGCCGTCAACAGTTATCTATCGGCAGTCAATTACTTAATAATATTTTACAAACCTCTCCAGTCTCCAATAACACAGATGCCGATGCTATGTCGGTTGGCAACAGTAGCGTGGATGCCCACGTTGTCAAAGCCCCGGCCTTCGTAAGCGTTTCCGTCGCTGCCTATGCAGAAACTGAAACAAACAGAAATAAAATCAAATCATTTATTTGCATAATACAAATAAAAATCATAAAAATAATGGGTGGTGTTGTACATAATAGAGGTCGTGGTGGCCCGGAGGTTAAGGAGCCCTCTTCTCATGCATGATGGTGTGGGTTCGAAACCTGGCAAGTACCAATATGACTTTTTCCAAGTTATATGTACTTTCTATGATTATTTAGACACCACTGACATACGATGAAGGTAAACATCGTGAGGAAACCTAGACTTATAATTTCTTATTATAAGTTTGAAATCGCCAACCCGCATTGAGCAAGCGTGGTGATTAATGCTCAAACCTTCTCCGAGTGAGAAGAGGCCTTTGCTCAGCAGTGGGCACATATGGGCTGACGATGATGATGATGTTGTACATAAAAAAATCCTCGTCAATGAAGCAAATAGCTTCACTAAGAGGACTGACCGACGGACTGACACTTTTATGTTTAAGCGTCGTTTGACGTTCAAAATTGCCTGTAAGGATCGGATTGAAATTAATAGTCTAGACTCTTGACCTTTGAATCACTCTATCTATTATAAAAAAATCCGTAACTGAATCCGTAGCGTAGTCTTAAAGATTTTAGCATAGATACATACTTACATAGGGATACCGTAAATTCGGGTTACTTTGACCCTGGGAGGTAACTTTGATCCAAATTTTCGAACCAATGAAAAACGAATATATGTTTGGTTCTCAGTTATTATTGGTTAAAGGGTTTGGATCAAAGTTACCCCGCAGGGTCAAAGTAACATGAACTTACCCGGTATAATGATGTTTGATTCTGTGTAGTCATGATAGGGTACAAAACAATAATCAAATGAATTAATTCCCTTCTCTATTAAAACGGGTCTTCTGTACTAACGAGAAACACATTTATATTTTCATACTACATAAAAAACAATATGATATTCTATATCATCACCATCAGCCTATGAATGCCCACTGCTGAGCAAAGGCCTCTTCCCATACGGAGAAGGTTAGAGCATTAGTCACCACGCTTGCTCAATGCGGGTTGGCGATTTCAAACTTATAATTAGAAATTACAAGTCCAGGTTTCCTCACGATGTTTACCTTCACCGTATGTCAATGGTGTCTAAATAATCATAGAAAGTACATATAACTTGGAAAAAGTCACATTGATAATTGCCAGGTTTCGAACCCACACCCTCATGCATGAGAAGCGGGCGCCTTAACCTCCGGGCCACCACGACTCTGAATAAATAACAATAACTACATGAATCTACAGAAAAAATATTATCCACACTTATAATATCAATCCTAAAATTAACATGGCCAATTTAGTTCGTACCGATTCAGCCAATGGTTTTTTTTTTGTGCCTGTACCTCGGAACCGGATTTGACGCGACATCAGTAATGGTATGTTTTTTTATGTAAAACTTGTAATGGTTGACATGAATACAGTAATATGCGCCGGTGATTCCCCTCCGACCTATTCAACAGCCGACATTTTATTTTAATTGATTCATTAAATAGTAATGTACCGCTGCTTCGGCCTTTTTTTGTCAGGGGAAAATCATTAAATGGCCTCTCCCGGGAAGGCTAGAGAGAGTGTCAGACTCTTACTGACTAAAACCCCCCGTTCCTTCTCCTGCTCTGGGGGCCGAGGCCGCGGTGACTTATTGCGCTTAGCCCGCAACCACGGCTGAACATCAGCCTTATAGGGACCCGTCTGCGGTGGCCTATTGGTTCTTTGAGGCACTCGCGGAACGTTATGCGCCGTCCGCTCGGGTCTGGATCTAGTCGGACGGCGAGCAACCCTTACTCGCCGTCCGCAGACCCGCGCTCACGGTGCCCGGAGATCGTCTCTCCCCCGACGCCCGGAATATAGCCGGCTGGGGCGTTAGGATAGTTCCCTCACGCGCTCCGCCCCCTCTTTTGCGAGCATCACTGCTTCGCAGAAAGAGGAGACGGCTTCCCAGTTCCACCGCTGCTTCGGCTTGGAGTAAGAGAAGGTACTGAGTTGTTTTAAATCAGTAAGAGTCTGAGTCTGACCTCAGGGCGAGACAAATTAAATGATAACTATCTTCCCCAAAAAAAGGTGAAGGCTTGTGTTTACAGCCGCCCCTTTATAAAAGAAAGACATTAAGTTATATTTGTTAAAGTTTAATTCAACATCAATGTTGGATTGAAAAATCCTATTGTCATCACTGATATGGTTTTGTAAACGTATCTACGAGTAATACTATGAAATTAGGCTTTTGATTTGTGGATCTAGAAATTAGCTGGTACTATAGGAGAAATTCCGGAATGCGGGAGATTATATTAAGATGGATGACGGCGGCGTTTGTCGTGTGAACCCATACAACGGAGGCTTGTCTCTTTTTCACTTTCATCCCACATTAATATTACTAGTCTACTTGTGATTTAAAAAGCATTAATCATCACACTAACGGATTTGCGAGTTCAAACTTATAATTAAGTATGGTCGTAACAAAAACGTTACTAGGGGATAATTTAAGTACATAATCATTAAAAGTTTCTAAGTAAAACAGTTGTTCTAAGTTAATTAAAATTCTATTTTGTACATTACTCATTGTAATTATTTCCTTCTACACGACGGGACTAACATTATTTCTGACAAGTGACAACGATTTCCTCAAATTACGTCCATTAAATCTGTTTCTTCCTCATTGTTATATACTTCACGAGTACATTGTGTATATACGGACACCAGCAAGTCAACCTACACGTCATTGTCACATTAAATTATTCGATTTTCAACTTAATAATTTTAACATAAACTTGAAAATCCAATAAGATAATTTACAGATTGGATAGGTTGACGTGCTGGTGTTTGTCTCTTTGTAGGTACATTGATTATCGATAGTACCTACAGGACTTCAAGGGGCGTGGTTTTCCTGTGATTACGTCAAATAAATTCATATTCTTTGACCAATCGGTGGGCTCCATTCAATGGATGTTATGAATAGCTACTTTTATGAACACTATAAGAATGACTAGCATACGTAATGAGTATTTTGCGAAGATTTTGACAATAGTATTTTTCGTTGCAAGTTTATCGTAAGTCAGACTTTTTACTATATCTTTTTATATAAAAGAATGGCTTATGAGCAGACGGATTACCTGATGGTAAGCAATCAGCGCCGCTCACAGACACCCAAAACACAACAGGAAGTACGAGTGCGTTAAGAATTTTGATTGGGCCTCTGGTAACGTCACTCACATGACGAAACACCGCTTTGGTTGTTTTACGTCGGTTTTCTATGAAGACGTACGACGACAGTATCTCTCTGGTTGCGATAGTATACTGTGATAAGTGTCAATGCGAATTAACCATTTTAAAATGGTTTGATTTATTGCGATAAGTTATTTTGCCTAAGTATTACTATTCCTTCTCCTTCTCTAGGCCAAAGCCGCGATACTTTATTGCTTGCGCCTTGCGCCGAAAGCATAGTCCTCACCCTACCCCCCCAATTCTTTCCGAGCTTACGGTGCGTAATGTTTAAAGTGCCAATAGACCACCACAGACAGGGTATAGGGCTGATGTTCAGCCGGGGTTGCGGGGCAAGCGCAATGAGGCACCGCGACCTCGGCCCAGAGCAAGAGAAGGAACGGGGGTGTTTTAGTCCGTATGAGTCTGATACTGACACTCCCTCCTGCCCGATCCTGGGCGGGAGAAGTCATTTGATGGGTTATCCCTCACTAAAAAAAATCCAACCCTTTCCAATCCTTAAATATCCGAAACTGTGATCCTCAAATAGCTAGCAACGCGATCGTAACTAAATTTAATGAAAGCGCTCGTAACTTCTTTGGCGTTGTCATGAAGTCACCATGGTTGTCCATGGTGCCGATTGCTTACCATCTGGTAATGCATCAGCTTGTTTGCCGATCTCTCCCATAAAAAAAGGCCTCACCCCTCAAGAATTAGGGCATCATTTCAAAACCTGGTCTTTATAATATTATTTAGATTCCACTGAAAGAAAATCGAGAAGAATTTGGACTTATTTTAAGTTTGAAATCACCAATAAGCATCGAGCCAGCCTATGATTAGGTAATAATTATTTGTATTAAATTCTTTGTATAACTTTTGCTCAGCAGCTTTTTGATTATGATACATGTTTGGAAATAGACTAACATGTATCAAAAAGTGGTTTCTAATTTGTATAAATACGCATTTACATCACTGCTTCCGTTCGGGGCGTTATGTTTAAGTTTAAGATTGATGGGGAAGTCCATAAAAAAAAATGTTTTGATAAATTTTCTTTTATCTGTATTGGCCGCGGGAGTCCCGCTGCTGTCAAACTCTCGAAGGTGACTCACTGTTATCAATGTTGCGTCTCTTTTAACTTGTATTTTATTTAACCTTTTACTATCAACTGATAAATATTCATAAACAAACCATTTATTATAATGTGGAGATTACGCTACGTCAAGTTATCGGGTTTATACATAAAAGGTTTTTTTTTCTAAAAGCAAAACAATTTATTATCTCATTTTGTTTTTACTAATGTTCCACAGAAATTAAACAAGCAAAAAAGTAGGCGTGCCGCCCAAGGACAAGTTTTAACACTAAAATCATGAAGAATTAGTCTGAAAAGATGTGTAAAATATTTTCTTTTGACTATAAAAGACCCGGTGCCGAACACAAGCTTTAGAATTGCTGAATAGTGAAGAAAAATTTAATGTTCATATTGTTATATGTAATGCATTTTGAAATTATATTTTATAACTAGTTTGTCCCGCCCGGTTTCACTCGGTGATGTTTTAGTCTATAGCACTCGGAAACATTGTAGCTATAAATAAGTGAAGGAATTTTGGGAATCCGACTAGCGGTTCCAAAGATTTCCCCTTATATAATATATATTTTTTTTAGTAAAGATAAGTACCTATAGATAATTATTTTGATTCAACCACGTCCTTTGTTTGGCAATCATCTCACACATCACAAATGGTGTGAAGGCTGACCTAACATCCCACTGCTGAACAAACGCTTCATCTCACTCGGAGAAGGTTCACATTAATCACCATTCTTACTCAAGCTGGATTGGCGATACGAGTACTACTTTTTTTTGTTTTTTTTATGTAATAGGTCGTCAAACGATCCGACGGATAACCTGATGGTAAGCAATCAGCGCCGCCCATGGTCACCCACAACGGAGGAGTAACGAGTGCGTTGCCGACCTTTTAGGGATTAGGGATTTGGAAATTTAAGGATTGAGGAGGGATTGGTGGAGGGGAAGGATTGGGCCTCCGGTAACCTCACTCACACGGCGAAAAACAACGCTGTGGTTGTTTCAAGCCGGTTTTCTGTGAGGCCGTGGTATCACTCCAGTCGAGCCAACCCATGGCCTTCCCACTTTTTCTTTGTTTGTCCATTACTTAAATCTATTTACAGTCCTTATTATGTAACAGCTAAGCGAAAGGTGAGTGAACTACCTTCAGTTGTGTTGCGTTCTCCGGGGAAAAACAGAGCATGCCTTGTGTAGGCAACACTCGTAGAACACTTTAAATTAATTATATAATGAGTAACTTCTTCAATGTAGTTAGGTACATAATGCTTGTTATTTACATTATTACAAAACAATTGATAGTAACAAGTCGACCTGATGGCTACTATTTACAGAAAACGCCTACGTTGTGCCTCGCTGCATGATTAGGATTAAATCTTATTGTTATAGGATAGGTTCGCAAATGAGCAGACGGATTACCTAATGGTAAGCAATTTGCGCCACCCATGGACATTCGTAATATCAAATCAAAGGAGTGCGTTGCCGGCCTTTTCTGGGATATTAGGGATTTAAGGATAGGGGATTTCAGGATTAAGGATGAAACGACTACGAAAAGTCTGGAAATAATTTCCTAAAAGACCCATAACAAGACAAGTGTTTACGTTATTGAATTTGTACCTAAACCAAGTTTCTTCAACAGTTTTTCAAAACATACATAATCGTCACGCTTGACGATCGACAAGCATGCACAAAGCAAAAAGCAATGAAACATGACGTTTCGTGCATGCTTGTCGATCGTCTTTAATTTTATCGATCTTTCAAAACAATAAAGTTAAATCAAGCTAAGTGTGGGAGAGCCATGCTTCGGCACGAATGGGTCGGCTCGACCGGAGTGATACCACGGCCTCACAGAAAACCGGCGTGAAATAACCACTGCGTTGTGTTTCGCCGTGTGAGTGAGGTACGTTACCGGAGGCCTAATCCTTCCCCTTCCCCAATCCCTCCTCAATCCCTAAATCTCCAAATCCCTAATCCCTAAAAGGTCGGCAACGCACTCGTAACTCCTCCGTTGCGAGTGTCCATGGGCGGCGCTGATTGCTTACCATCAGGTAATCCGTCTGCTCGTTTGCCGACCTATTACATAAAAAAAAAAAAATCAGTTTTCTTTTGATCTTTTTTTTGTCAGGGTAAAATCATCAAATGATTGTTTCGTCCAGGGTAAGGCGAGAGAGAGTTTCAGACTTTTACTGACTAAAAATCCCCCCGTTCCTTCTCCTGCTCTGGGCCGAGGCCGCGGTAGCATATGGCGCCTAACCCGCAACCCCAGCTGAACAACAGTCCTATAAGGCCCCGTCTGTGGTGGTCTATTGGCTCTTTGAGGCGCGCGCGGAACGCTACGCGGCGTCCGCTTTGGTGTAGGTCTAAACCATTGAAATTAATTTAAATTGAAGCTAGGCTACAATAAGATTCAAATTACAAAACCTGACTTAATATTTTAAACCTAGATTAAAGATAAATCTTGTTTTGTAATAAGGACAATAATGTTTTATTTTTATGCGTGTATGTATGTACTGTATGTGTGCACTCACGTGAATGAGAGAGGATAAATTCAATAAATTAATGTTTGCCCTCGTATGAACATAAAGGAAAAACTATATTTTCCTCATTATTTTTACAATTAGTAAGCGTACAAGGGTGTTATTTTACAAGTATGTATGTTTATGTAGATGGATCTAGATAACCATATTAACAATAAGATTCCCTTTAAAACTTTACGCTTATTACTATTTTAATGACGACGGTCTTTTAGATTTAAATTAGACGCATACCTATTCTTTTTTTCATACAGAAAATGTAATACTTTTGACGACATTTTAATTTAAAAAATGCTGTGATGTTATGGCTCAGTATTTTATAGAGAGACATGTCATACTGAGTTGTGACGTAGAGACTCCCATTACTAAACTGTAATTAAATCTGTACCTAGATATTTTTCATTATCTTATTGTAACTGACGTCATCGTTCGTCGTCCCTATTATATATACATATATATTTTTATAAAAATGGATCGCAAAATGTGTTGGTAAGCGCATAACTCGACAACGCCTGGACCAATTAAGACAATTCTTTTTTTATTGTATCTGATATAGTTAGTAGAAAGTTCTTATGAAAAAAAATATTATAAAATTACGGAGGAAAATTTGGAAAAAATACCCTTTTGTTGTTAGTTTGATAGTTGGACCGATGCGAAGCGGGGGAGGGCCGCTAGTATTTATATATTTATTTTAAGTGTACTCGTATACCACAATGCAATTAGTTTATACCCGCGACCTCGTCCGCGTAATATTTGATTATCACACTATTCTACACAATATTCTAATTCTTACGAGCTAAATTTTTTTTCTATAATTTGTGTATCGTTATTTACTTCTTATTACTTGTTAGCTACGAATAAAACTCCAGTAAAAATCGGTCCAGCCATTACTGAGATTAGCCGAAACCAACAGACAGACAAAATATGTAAAAACTGACATTTTTGTGTGTGTACCGTAATATTATGTATATTCATAGAATACCTATGTATGTATGTAGTAAAAATCGATTATTTAATTATTACAAACTAAAACTAAATTTTTATGAATATGTCTAAATGTATGCAAAGAATCCGCATTTGAAACTGATTAAAAATTAAAGTATCCGTAGAGTGTTTTTCTTGCTCGTTCTTCTCCATCGGCATCTACAATTTGGAACGAGCAAATAGCTTTACTAAGACTACTGACCGACACACTTTTTAATCTTTAAGCTTTGCATGCATAAGTGCATGTAAGGGTCTAATTGAAACTAATGTTTCTGACTACGTATCTAATTATGTGATTTAATTACATAACATAGGTAATTATGATTAATCAAAGCTATTTATAATACTCGCATGGGCGTGGTATCTATTTTGGCCGCTATGCAGTTAATGAATATCTAATTAACAAGGGATGGCAAACTGCCCATCATTCTATACTTCTAATAAGTAGAATCTTGTTAATAATATACAATTAGTTATTTGAATATTACTTACTATCGTGTCTCATACTAAACTATTGAAGATAACGACTTACTCACATGAATTAACTGAGTTAACTCTACTAGTTTCAAGCGTCAGCGGGACTCTTATTCATAGCAGCGTGCGCGTTGCGATATAGTCGCGTACCGACGGCACCCGTCATAATGAGAGTCAGAGGTAAGAGTCCCGTTGAACTGTAACTAGTAGAGCTTTTCCCGGTTGATTCGCTTTAATAAGTCATTGTTTTTAAAAAAAAATACACATATGGTTTTGATAAGGAGTAACAATTATTATAATTTGTTTTTTGCCTACAAATTTCAGGTAAAGATACCATCTTACAAAATTATAAATGCGAAAGTTACGATGTTTGGATGTTTGTTACTCAATCACGCCAAAATGGCTGGACGGATCTGAATCAAATTTAGCACAAGCATAGGATACACTCCGGAATAGGACATAGGCTGATTTTTATCAAGATACCACACGGGCGAAGCCGCGGGCAGAAGCTAGTATTAGAAATGTATTAAATCGCTCGTTCTTTGGACAGGTAAGCGATGATATGTCCTATGATGGAGCACGTCTACCTATAAGCAACCTATTGACCCGCAGCTAGAAGACATCCTATAAAATGTTTTATACAATAAAATGTACTTACTTGTATCCAATATCGCCCCAATTCAGGCTCTTGTGGTACCTCTGCATAGAGCGCATTTTTGCTGAGCAATCTTCCTTATCGAAGCAAGCTCCTGGTATGTACGTGTGATGGAGAACCACAAAAGGCACAGGATGGTTCAAAGGCCTCGCATCCGAAGAGATTTCAGCCCCCCACTCATCCCGACTTACAAATGGGAAGGAAAAAGCATTGTCTGCAACAAAGAATCGATTATCTACCTTGTTACATTATGATAAGGTCCTGATTTAGGTGTTTGAACTTTATCGGTCAATTGTCCAATGTTATCTTTTAATTATTATTGTTTTTCTATTAGGTAGGTATTATTAGTGGATGTCGTGATTTTAATTAACTTCTATTTTTTTATTGTTTTTATTCAATTTTGCGTATTTTTGTGTGATTTTAGATATAATGGTTTAATTAACTAAACTTGCTTTCCCATGTGTATCAAAATTTATAATAAACTTCCTGACCAACTTCGAGAGTTCCCAACTACTCGATTGAATAAATAAATAAATAAAATAAATGAAGAAGGCATTATGACTAATTGACGACCCTTTCTACTCTATAAAAGATTTTTTACAATATAAGTTTCTACAGTATCTAATGTTATTAATGAATAACATACAAAAACCTTGTTATCAAACATTTGTGACTGAAAACTGAACTTGTTGATTTTTGTAACAAGTTTTATGTCACTATATTCAAGAGCAAATAAATCCTTTGACTTTGACTTTGAAGAAACGCAGAGGCGGATTCATCCCAGTGAGGGCCTTAGGCAAGAACGTATTCAGTGTTCTTGAATTTTATATTAGATCTACGCGCCCCGTGACGCCCCTACAAAACCTGGCGCCTTGAACACTAACATAATTTCCCCTAAGGATAATATGGCTCTCAGTTATGACAAATCCCTAATTCACTCATGTTATTGTAATTAATTTCTCGACTGCTTATTATATAGTATGCATTAAGAGCTAAGAAAATATCATCTATTAATATGACATAAGCGATTTAAAGTATAGCACGTAGTACTTTAAGTAGCCTATGTCATATTAATAAGGATACTTATGTAAAATATCTTGGTATCATATAAGTTTGTTCACAAACATACAATTTTAAGGTGCAATATTCCAATGAGGTGCAGCTAAATATGTATTGATATAAAAAAATAAAAAATAAAAAACCTATTAATTAAAATTAAAATATTTATCGTTCTTGAAAATTAAAAACAAACAATAAAAGTAGGTAAACAAAAAAAAAACAACTTACTTTTAGTTATAAATCTAGGCGAAGCGCACACAGCCACGCTTATAAAAGCCACACACACTATCACTCTTACTGACGCCATATTGCAATAAATTAATAAAATAAAATATAAATTTTAACACTAATGCAAGTTCGTATACCTAGCTTGGCTTGCGGATCTATGCGCTGCGCAGGCGCACGCGTGCCTTATAAGAGATACGTTTCGAACCCGCGCGGTACTTACCCACCGAAGTTCACCGATAAGCGATTTGTTTATTATTTATTGTTTAATTATTGAAGAAGAACTCGATTTTTGGAATTAGGGTCTCCGCGGGTTGACAAATTTAGTTTTAAATTGTAAGTCATTGTTCTTTGCATGAGGAAAATGAAAAATGGATACCTACAGTTGGACGTGTGGAAGTGTGGGGGAGCCATACTTCGGCATGAATGGGTCGGCTCGACCGGAATGATAACACGGCCTCACAGAAAACCAGCGTGAAACAACCGCTGCGTTGTGTTTCGCCGTGTGAGTGAGGTTGCTGGAGGCCCAATCCTTCTCCTCTACCAATCCCTAAATCTCGAAATCCCTAATCCCCAATAGGTCGGAAACGCACTCGTTAATCCGTCTGCTTCTTGGTTTGTTTTTGGGTACATCCCTTTAAAGGAGTAAGAAAATGTTAAGGTATTTTTAAGTCGGTAAGAGTCTGACACTCCCTCTCATCTCACCTTAGACCAGAGAAGTAATTTGATGATAATCCCAATTAAAAAAAGGAAATTTGGAATTACGAAACTCAACGTAAGCATATATGTATGTATATTGAGAAATATTTAAGTTTAAAACTACTTTTGCAATAGGAAATGTACATTAAAATAAAAGATAAATATTTTAAATAATTATAATTATTATTGAATATTATTTAACTTCTGCCCTTTGATATCTGTATTACTTATTCGAGTATAAACTTGTCGTAATCGGGAATTTAATAAAAAAAAGTTTGACATTGACAAGTTTTATCGATTGTTAATTAAAATTTGACTAAAAAAATTATAATTTATTTAATTGTGGTAAATTACCCTATGTTGTCTTTTTTAATTATGTAATAGTTGTAAATAAAAAAAGCTAACGTCGTAGTCGTTTTTACGAATACCAGTTTTTATGAATCTCCAACATTGGGTATTAATTTTTATATACATAATAATATCAATAAAAGCTTATTATTTGTAATTTGATTGTAGAATAATAATGTAATGGTATTTTTTTCCCTATTACGTGTAAAATGGAAAACAGAAATAATTTCATGATTGAATTTATTCTTCCACTTATAAATTTCTAAGTTTCAAATTACGTTTTGTGTGTTTAAATGTGATAGAGCGTCAAACTGATTACCTGATGGTAAGCAATCAGCGCCGCCCATTGACACCTGCAACAATGGAGGAGATACGAGTGCGTTGCCGACTTTTAGGGGATAAAGGCTTCGGAGATTTTGGATTTGGTAATATCACGCACACGATATAACACATCGCTGTGGTTGTTTCACGCCGGTGCAGCCGTGGTATCACTCCGGTCGAGCCGACCCATTCGTGCCGAACCGTGGCTCTCCCATACTTAACTACATAAATAGGTAGATCTTTGAGCAATTTGTTAATAAATTCAACATCTATTTAATAATGTTGTAATCTTAATCTCGATAGCCTAACATGGCCGCAGCGAAATGGAGTTATAAGGTTGAACGGACGGGGGAAGAACTTAACGGTTACATATAGATACTATGTAAGTTTCATTTGTTTTATGTATGTATATAGTAAGCCAAAATAACCTTTATTAGTATGTTATTTAGTTATATTTTGAATTGCCGTGGTTTATGTACAAGGTACTTACATGGACAGAATTGCACACCAACTTATTGTTTGATTTATCCAATATTGTTTTTTTTTAAGTATTAAGAAATAAATTTTGACCTTATTGTCAATTTCTAGAAATAGTTGTTTTCTACAATAAAAGTCTACAAAAATTGCGTTTTCTTCATACATATATGGTCCACTACAAGTTTATTAGACGCGCACGAAACATTGTAGCTCTCTATAAGTAAAAGAATTTTGGCAATCCGACCAGCGGTTCCAAAGATTACCCCTTCATACAAACTTACAAATTTACCTCTTTATAATATTAGAATAGAAAAATGCTGGCTTAACTAAGCCCTTATTTACGATTAGGGAAAATCTTATGTCTTCGCCCAAGGAAATGGCGTCTGACTCCTTCTGACTAAAAACACCCCCGTTCCTTCTCCTTTTCTTGGCCAAGATCGCGATAAATTTTGCGCTTGACCGGCAACCCCAGCAAGTTCAAGTAAGCCTTGAAAACAAAGAAATTATCAATTTATTTAGTCCTTATATTATTACTACTCTCAAGCAGCTTCGCAGAAATGTACAGATACTTTAGTGTCAGTCATTTGTTTTGGTAGTGAACTGGCTACTTCATCAAAAAATATCATCACCAGTATTCACGATTTTACTCTTCTTCCTTTCTATATTTTTTCTTTTATTAGAAGACTAGCTCTTACCCGCGGCGTCGCTCCCGTCATTTAAATACCTACCCTACTCTACCTACCCTACTCTACCTACCCTACTCTACCTACCCTACTCTACCTACCCTACTCTACCTAACCTACTCTACCTATCCTACTCTGCCTACCCCACTCTACCTAACCTACTCTACCTACTCTATACTATCCTATGTCCTTCTCCTGGCTCTAAACTACCTCCCTGCCAATTTTCAGCTAAATCGGTTCAGCCGTTCTTGAGTTATAAGTGGTGTAACTAACACGATTTTCTTTTATATATATATAGATTCTTTTCTAATCATTAAAAAGGATTACCGATTTGACTAACAAATCGGTAACGGCAAATAGGTAATATATTGATTTTTATATATATATATATTTGTGTATTTTTATGTATAGGTATGTGTATTTTATGTAAGTTTATAAGTATGCACAATGTAAATAGTGAAGAAATTTAGAATCACAATTGCATCCGTGTGAAGGAAAGGCGGGTCGCTAGTTTTGAATATAGGTACAGATTAAGGTATAGATGTAATAAACAAACTATTTTTATATCTAGCGCGTGCTAACAAAGAAAGGGGGCTAAGTATATAATCATTGCCTTGTTTACTACACAGCTACTTGAGATCAAGTACATAGCCATTGTGATTGCTTGTTATCAATGCAGCAGCCATATTGTTCATTCATGAGTATTTGTGGAAAATCTCTGTGTTGTGTATAACTAACATCTGCAATGCGACTAAATATGATGTCTTATTAATTTGATCTTTTACATAAAGATTAATTATCCTTTGCAGAGTTAGAAAGTTTATTTATTTTTAATTAGGAAATCCAAAAGTGTTGTTTTGGAACGCATATTTAAAGATTTCCATTTTACAGAACGTCAAGGACTTTTTTGAAGCCAATAAATGACTTCTCGCGTGGAGGGAGGGAGTGCTCTCGTTCTGTCTTCAGCTCCAGGTCGATACCGCATTACATAATGGCGCTTGCAACCGCAACCCCTGACACAGACTTATCAGCCGTCATATTCACTGAACTACACAGGTACTCCTGTGTAGTGGTAAATGGTATTAGTACTATGCCTGCCAAACTGGCAGGCATAGTACTAATACCATTTTAATGGGCACAGCGACCTTTTAACGTAAAATGACCATTATTTACTTACCACCTACATTTTAATGGCAACAAATCTAGCCTTAAAACACCACATAATTCTCATATATATACATAAATGAGATTTTCTGTGTCTTTCAGTGTGATTAGAGTTGTTTTTTGGCTTTTATTTGCTCTAAAAGTAATACTTAGGTGCTGTGCTTTTTGTAAAGATTCGTGTCCGGGGAAGAACGGACGCCATTTTTGAATCTACAGTCAAATATGGCAAGGAATGCAGTTGCTAATGGCCCCAGTCTAAAGAAAGATGAGGGTACGTATTTTATTCATGTTCTTCTTAACATTAACTTTATTGCACGGTTCGCGCAGTGGTTACGAAACTGGCTGCTATGCATCGTGTCGCAGATGGGATTCTCGCTTGGAACAACTCTTAGTGTGTTCCACATATGGCTGTTTTAAGTCTGGGTGTGTTGTGTATATGAACCGGGACAAGAGAAAATAATAGCATGGCGCAAAGTTATTTTTTTTTAAATCGAAAAATATTATTATGATGAAGATAACATATTCTCCTGTCGTATCTAATAAGCAATCCTAATTACGAAAAGTTTTGGGCCAATATAAAAAAGAATTTGTACGTACAAGAGTAGGAAAGTATGGTTCATGCCTTATCCTTTAACGTTTTTGTCTTTGATTGATTATTTTGATAATCAATTAATAGTGTACTACATATTAGGACGATAAATAAACTTACAGCCGGTTTCCGAAAGGTCGATCGATGTTAAAATCAATACGGTTGTTTCCAACTAGTCAAATTCAATACTTTTATCCAAATGTCAAAAACGATACTTTTCTATGAAAATTGTGTCATCATTGAATTATTACATCATAGCATTTTTGCGTCAAATAGCTTACCTAAATATTTTTAAAAAAATATCTAAAACTTAGTGTATCGATCGATCGATGAATAAAAGTATAGTTATTTTTCAATATTTTATCGCATTAAAACGTCGAATTAATTTATTTTTGACCTAGGAAACTACCCCATTGAATCTCTTGTCAAGTCATCTGATTGGTTGACTGAATTATCAACAACCAATCAGATGACTTGACAGGAGATTTGACACCTAGTTAGTTGATTTTAACATTGATCGGACTTTCGGATACCGGGCATTAATTGTGTAGAATTTAAAAGACAGATGTAAACAGAATACTTGAGGGACGAAATGTATACATATAAGGATCCCACATCCATTCTTAAACACAAAAACACATAGATTAATAAAAACAGCATTTATTTATTTACAAAAATATTTAAAAAATCACAGCCCTGTTCACAACGCACATAGCAAAATCGAGTATTTACAGAGTCATAAATAAAACGTACTACAAATATTAGACCTAAATCACAGTGGTTTTTTTCAGTGCCAAATTAATCCTGTAACTATTAGTGCTAGGGGCCCCGTTAAATTATGGGGCCCACATAACAAGGGGCCCGGATATCCGAACACAACTTTCGATCGAGGGCCTTTCTTTTTTTAACGTATAGGTCGGCAAACGAGCAATCAGCGCTGCCCATAGACACCCGCAACACCAAAGAGGTTACGCACTCGGCGTTGCTGGCCTTTTAGGGATAAGAGTTTTAGATATTTAAGGATTGGGAACGGATGGGGAAGCGGGAAGGATTGGGCATCCGGTAACCTCACTCACACGGCAAGACACAACGTTGTAGTTGTCTCACCCCGGTTTTCTGTGAGGCCCGTTGTATCACTCCGGTCGAGCCAACCCATTCGTACCGAAGCATGGCTCTCCCAAACTTTAAATTTCTATCAGAATATTTTGCTACGGGCCCCGCACACACTTAATCCGGCACTGGTTACTTTTAGTTGGTTATTATAGGGCTGGTGTGAAATGGTCCCAGGTGGATATTTCATTGAAGAGGGCTTGTCCTGGACATTCCGTGGCTGAGACCTGTCGGTGACCAATCAGTTTGTAGTTTGGACTGATGTAGCCAAGTTCCACTCCAGTGGCTATCAGTTTCTTGAGTGATTCCATTTGAGCTTGCGGCGGAAGATTTTCTGTAAGAAAAAAATGTTTTTAAATTTATCTGCGTCTAGCTACTCTCGCTCGGTTTCACCCGCTCTGCTCAGCTCCATTTGATCGAAACGTGATGCTTTATATCATATAGAACTCAGGAACTTTGAAGCTACCTATCAGTGAAAGAATTTTCGCAATCCGACCAGCGGTTCCAAAGATTACCCCCCTACATACAACCATACAAACTTACAAAGACCTCTTTATAATATTATATTAGTATAGATGTTTTAAGCTGATTCAGTGTGTTATTCGATCAATAACTTTTAAGCTTTATTTTGGGCGCTTTTGTAGTTCAGATTATAAAAACGAGCCTGTAGTAATGTCAATACAAGGGGTAAGTCTCTGGTTCAATATAAAGGTTTCTTTAGAGACGGTTACTAATTGCACACACCCACTTAAGGCTTGCTACAAGTACCTTACTACCTATTTACCTAATGCCTACTTCAAGATATAGCTTGTGCAACGTTGTGGCGAGCTGCCCTTACTAGCTGACCGCAGACTTTAAGTTAGTTTTTTAAATAATAAATATTTTCTACAATCGATATTTTTATTTCTTAGCCCCCGCACTATGCGAGTGATATTCGTAGGTGTGCTTCGTGGAATAGGAAATTAATTATTTTAAATTTTTATTTGAACCCCTCCTACGGGTGTGCTAAGTGGAATACTTTAGGTGTTCTTCGTCTGGGTGTGCTTCATTTGGGTGTGCTTCATGGAATACCTCTTCAAAACATTATCAAAGAATATATATTTTTTTCCACAGACGGGGCCCTAAAGGGCTGATGTTCAGCCGGGGTAGCGGGGTAAGCGCAATGAGGTACCGCGACCTCGGCACAGAGCAGGAGAAGGAACAGGGGGGTTTCTAGTCAGTAAGAGTCTGACACTCCCTCCTGACCGGCCCAGTAAAAAAAAAAAATATATATATATTTTTATTACACTAATACAGATTAAATAGTTGACCAATTTCCTTATCTTTGATGTCATATGCAAGTTGCAGCCGTGCACTATATTTTGGGACTTATTCCTTATCAAAATCAGATTTCAAAATTCCGTAGGAGTCCCCTCTATTAAACCGTGATTAAAACTGCATATAAAAGATAAATCAAGGACATCTGAGTTACATTGAAGAGCGTTGATAACGAAGGATTACCCTAGATAGATAGATTTCCAATTCTATTGCATAGGGGATGAAGTTGAAATTCCTGTCAGGGTCATTACGACTGGACCAAGCGCATGCAATATTCCTTTCACGTGTAAACTTTTTTGGCTTATCGAAAAAATTGAAGAAAAACCTATGTTGAGGTACCTACTATAGGTACTATTTTAATGAAAAGATAAACTAGGTTATAACACCAGGTGAAGTCGACTTGGTTCAGCCAGTCTCATGTCAGAATAGCTGGCCATCACTTTCCTCGTAATAGCTTTCCCTCTATAGCGATTTACTAATTATTTGATATCTGGTATCAAATAGGTACTAAAACTTAGTATTGATCTCTCTTGGTCCAGTCATCCTGATCCTGACAAATTCTTTCGTACTTACCTACAAAGTCTCCGATCATACAAATGCCTATACTTTTGACATTGTAAGACACAGCATGAGCTCCGACGTTTTCCCAGCCCCGACCTTCGTAAACTGAACCTTCGCCGCCTACCGCGAAGCTGCAAAAAAGAGTACTGATTAATATTTTGACGTTTTAAAAATACCTTTTTATGGTTAAGTTGGAATAAATGATTTTGACTATGACTTTATACCTTCCTTCTACAATTAGGTACTAAATCACAGATTAAACATGGCTTTAAGATTATGATTTATCATCCAAAAGTTTCAATAAACACGAGGCTATTGTTTTAGGTATCCAGAATTAATCAGAAAAGGTATTATTGGAAGATAATTCCACTTCTAACTATTCGTCGTTTTGGATACAAAAAAGAGTAGGTATAAAAAACGTTATCCGCGAAAATGATGACACAAATTTAACTATTTTTAGTTACTTTTGGATTTCAAAAAGGTGTGTAGAAGGTAAATTGTATAGTAGAATGGAATGGAAAGAAATTATAAAGAGGTAAAATATCTAAGTTTGTATGTATAAATTAATTGCTAAGGACTCGGTTTTGAAAACATTACAAACTTACCCTTTACTTTTACCGATTAACCCCCTAATCTTTGGAACGTGTGCAAAGCCACGGGCGGAGACTAGTTTTATATAAAATATTACATTATTCAACATTGCTTTTTAAGTAAGTTTGTAATGTTTTCAAAATTGAGTCCTTAGCAATTGTTTTCGGAAATAATCATTACCTACTTAGAAATAGTTTAAGTAGTTAGTCATTATTATTTAGGTATTTATAAAACAAAATACAAAAGCCGAGTCTGAAGTCCTCAAGATGTCGCGCAGACTCATGCGCCGGCGCATGCGGTGAAAAACATGACGCTCGCCATATCGTACGATATCAAGTACTGATGCAGTTTTATCAATTAACTTAATTGCTACTACTAACTAATACGATAGTAGAATGATAAATATAATATTATAGTGACTAACTCTTCCGTCTCTTCTGTGTGTTTCAAAGACAAAGCACAGAAGACGTCGTTGATTGAAATCGGAGAATTCAGGATCTCTTTTCTTTTCGAAGACTTTTTTCTGATGATTTTTCGAAATATCTTTATTTAAAAACTCTGTCAACAAGTTAATTATTAATAAAGAGAAGACTAGTTCTGTTAAGCTTAAAAATCAAGAAGAACAATTTTATAAGTGCATCGATAGCTTACTTAATATGCGATGAAAACATTCTAAACTGGTTTAACGTTTAAATAAACTTTAGATTTTGTTCTCGATATAGGCTAGGATTCCTAATAGATAAAGACGCGTCTTGAAAAATTTACATTTTACCCAGACTAAGCATAAAAATTAATAATATAATATCAATAACTATAATGCCGCGCGGTATAACCCCCTGTCCCGGTGTCCCGGTCGAATCCTATTGGTTGTAGGATGATGTTTTATAGCCTAAAGCACTCAGAAACCTTGTAGCTATAAATCAATGAAAGCATTTTGGAAATTCGACCAGCAGTTCCAAAGATTACACTTAAAATTTTACCTCTTTATAATCTTCTATGTAAGTATGTATAATAAAAATCAATGCAACTCTCGTTGTGATGTTATAACTCAACAATGCCTTTACCGATTTGGCTAATTTTGGTCTTGAATTATTCGTGGAAGTTCAGAAAGCTTAAGGTAATTATAATAAATAAATAATAAATAATAAAATGTTTATTTGTTATAAAAAGGTAGATTACAATGATACAACATTATATTTACGCGGGTATTAACGCGGAAAATTATAATTTGAATACCGTGGTCACAAGCAGACTGAGAGTCTGCTTGTGACCACGACCTGTGCAACCGGGTCGAAACGTCAGGCCTACCAAGGTATTCAAATTATAATTTTCCGCGTTAATACCCGCGTAAATATAATGTTGTTAAGATGAAACGCGAAAGTTTAAAAGTTAGTATACAATGATACAATTATGAGGCGCAACGAAGTTTGCCAGGTCAGCTACTATAAGTATAAATAATCTATATCTACAAATTAAAAACTCACTTGTATCCAATATCTTGCCATCCATTAACGATCTGGTGCATATCTTGTATAAGCCTCATATTGTGCTTGCAAGTATCCTCGGTGACACAATCTGGGGGAATGTAGCTATGGTGGACCACCACGTATGGGACTGGCAGAGACAGGGGTGTCGCCCCATTGGGGGGCCTAGCTCCCCATGACTCCCGGGCCACGAAGTTGAAGGGGTATGCTGTGTGAGATACATTTAATTAAAAATTTATTTCGTTTTGCAAAATTATTTATGAGTTATGTTTTAAAAAAGGTTCTATTTTTCTATATTGACCAAAACGTATATTCTACTCATATACTATAAGTCTTAGGGCTGATTTTTCAATGGTTAGATAAAAGTTACCTGCAGAATAATTATGATGCTGTCGCGTCAGATTGTTTGTGTAAGACAGTGACAGCAACAATTTTATTCCTCATTTAAAATTTATCTAAGTATTGAAAAATCTGCCTTTGAAATGGTTATAAATTACTCAATATATTATGTACCGCCGTTTAGCGTTTAGTTATTGCTACTTTTAGCTCTGCCTTCACAAAATATTTATCTATAAGATATTTCTCTTTTCCTTCAAAATAAAATATAATAATTAATAAACTACGCTACTACTGCGATCTACAAAATGCTATAAGTAATTTAGTTTTAATACGTTTCGAAAAATCTAAAGAATTGTTCTTTAGATTTTCCTTTAAGATAATGATTTTATTAAAGTTTTTAATAGTTCATTTGTTGTTTTACTTACAGTAAGCGTTATGTGATTTCCCAGAAGGAATTGCGGATACAGCTACCACACAAGCGCAGGTGACGATAATTTGAACTATTCTTGCCATTTTTTCTAGAACAATAAAAAGTAAAAAAATAAGTATTGGCTATTACACATTTAATAAAAATAATTACAATAAATTAAAATACATACAACATATTTTTTTGACACAATAACAGAAAAGAAATAAATTGGTAATAAAAAAAATAAATACAATACCTACCTAAAGCAAAATAAAATAACTGCCACTAAGAAATTCTAATTTCAAATCAAATTCTATTTTTAAACGAAAAAAAACGAGTTCTACAAATTCAAGTCTAACGAATTTTAATTTCGATCTTTATATTTTATTATGCGGTATCTTGGTACACTACACAATGACCGAGACAGCCTCTTTCGATCGAAGGGAGTGTTTGCTTAATAAGCCTCTGAACTTAAGAATACATGTATATATAGCCAATAATGTTATACCAAAAAATTCCCCGAGCATATACATATGTCAACCGTTATCGCAGTGAAACGTGCCCTCTATGTCCAGGAAATACGGTATAATTTAGCAAATCAAGATCAAGCATCGTTGACAAAATGTGGTTAGGTATAAAACTGAAGTATTGACGGTAAGTATCCTATTCCTATTTGCTTAGAAATAATTACTGAGAATTTTATACAAAAAATATTGAGTAATATGATATTTAAAAAGTCAAAATTCTTATAAAAATGTATTTTGTGGTAGCAATTATGTAAGAAAATTCTAAGAATTACTTCTTGAGAAAACTTTGAATGCGATCTTTTACTTATATCTACGAGTGCTTTTGAGACTATGACTTGGATTCTGGTTACATAAATAAAAAAAAATGATTTCAAGCCATACTTTATATCTTACATACCTACCTGAAAACAAAAACAATAGGTATTCAAATACAGATTAACAAATATAATTTTGAATAGTAAGATTTATCTACTATTTTGCTAGTATATAAAAGATGTAGAGATCGGGATATTCAGTAAATAATAAATGATTTTTAAATAGTTAAGTAGGTATATTGTTTTTCTTGAAAAACTGCTGAACCAATTAAATTTTGTTAAGATTCCTTTTAGTTCTATTCTTAGTCGATCTAGATTCATACGTATATTCCTTAATCTTCCTACATTTAGACATTATATTTGGTGTCAAAAATATTTTGTATTAATCACTATATAATATAAAACAATAGGAGGAGAGGAGCAGATCATTAAATGATAAGGATGCCGCCAAGGGTGGGGCGGGAGGGAGTGTCAGACTCTTACTGACTAAAAACACCCCCGTTTCTGGGCCGTACGCAACGGATTTTGATACAGTTTTTTTAATCATCATCATCAGGCTATGAATGCCCACTGCTAAGCAAAGGCCTCTTCTCACACGGAGAAGGTAAGAGCATTAATCACCATGCTTGCACGTTTTTTTAATAGATAGAGTGATTGAAGAGGAAAGTGAATAATGGTTTTTTTTTAAAAAAAAAAACGTTGCCCCATTTTAGGATTTTCTCCTGTGTCGTGGGTGCGTTTACAAACATACAATTCCACATGCACATCACACCCAGACCCGGAACAACAATTTGTGGATCACACAAAGAGTTGTTCCGTGCGGGAATCGAACCCGCGACACGTTGCACGACAACCAGTTGCCCAGCCATCGCGCCAACTTTAGTATCAGCATACCATCCGAGTGAAGCCGGGGCGGTTCCATTATAAGCTGTTCTTTAAAATTTCTTATTTAAACTTCCAGAAAAAGAGTTGTACTATACATAAGAGCTACGTAAACAAACGAACAACAATTCGGTTTTTAAATTCTAGTTATCAGTCAAGCACACTTATAGACACGTGTTGGGCATGTCAACGGCGATCTCTAAATGTTATCAACTAAACGATAACATATCTCCAATAGGAACATTTTCAAGTATCTAGCTACTCTACAAAAATTTGTAGAATACCGGCGCGTGGCACAGGGACGGAGTGTAAAGTCAGGGCCCTGGCTTAGTATTTAAAACTTATGGCTAATTAATTATTATTATTAATTTGGCAATGAATTTAACTTATTCATTGATTACATGGTCTAGACAGCTGACTATAATATTTTTGTTTTTGTAAGGGGTAAATCATCAAATGACTCTTCCGGCCCTGGGTGGGGCGGAAACTAGTGTCAGATTCTTACTGGCTAAACTTAAGTTCCTTCTCCTGCTCTAGGCCTAGGCCGCGGATGCCTTTTGCATTTTGCAATGAAACGATGATAAAAATTACATAAATAAATAGACCATTATACAGTACACGTCAAAATTATATGAAAAAAACTAGATGAAGCCGGATAATACGTTATTAGACCATGTGACTGAAAGGAAAGTGGACTACTTCCTTTGTCCTGTGTCCTCTCAATGAGGGTTTCCGACGTTTTAGAGAGTCTCAGACACAGTGACCAATACCCCCTCCACCTCCCGTTTCTTCTCCTGTTTTAGTTTAGGCCGTGGCAGCGGAGCCTCATTGCGCTTGCTGCAACCCCGGCTGAACATCAGCCCTGTATAACCCCGTCTGTGGTGGTCTATGCGCAGAACGCTAAGCACCGTACGCACGGGTCTGGTTCTGACCCGCGCTTACGGTGGCCGGAGATCGTCTCTCGATCTCCGACGCCCGGAATGTCGCTTAATGCGGTGGCTGGGGCTTAAGGAGGATAGTTCTCTCAACTTTGGGGCCCTGCCTTATATTGAAGGCGTTGCCCATACATTTTGTTATACCTAACTACGTCCCCTACTCTCGGTACATCGATTACTTGAATGAGGGATGACTCACAACGTATCGTACTATCGTGAACCTGTAGTAAGGGATTCGGGTATTTTTCCATATTGTTACCTAACTGTCACATTCGTCAATATGTTGTTATTAGTAATATGTTAAGAGTTTAGTTATAATTTCTTTATGCTGGTGTTAGTCACAGTTATGTGTATAGGAAAATGCTTATTATAGGTAAAATAGTATATAAAACGAAGTCGCTTTTTTTGTGTCCTTAGAGTGGTCCTCACAATGACGACAGGCGGACGTCCAAAATAGAAATCTACCGAAGCTGCCGTGCCCGGTAAGCACCTGCGACAGGCGGTGAGGACGCTATGGCGTCTCTCTAGCCACTTCTCAAAGAGGCTGCTATAACAGTGTGCCCGAAAAAATCATGCGACACCTGAGAAGACTCGACTCGACTCGATACACAAAAATCGTGTTTGTATTTAAAAAAATAGCTATAATATAGCGCGCATAATATGAAAAAATTTTTTGATCACAAAATCTTCCTTCCACCTTCTCCGTGTGAGAAGAGGCCTTTTCTCAAAAGTGGATACTTATAGCCTTAATGATGATAATGATCACAAAATCAGTAGACAATCGCTAATACTATGGTCAAAATAGATTATTATGCTCCTCAGTATTGATTGACAGTAACAAATTAGATAACCCGTCAGATGTCATTTTTATGGCATGACGGCCAACAAGCACCTTGATCATCTGATGACAGTTATTTTCGTGAGGAGAAAATCATCAAATGATTTCTCCCGCCCAGAGTTAGACGAGAGGGAGTGTCAGTCTCACTGACTAGAAACACCCCCGTTTCTTCACCTGCTCTGGGCCGAGGCCGCGGTGACGTGCTTGCCCCGCAACTCCGGCTGAACATCAGCCCTATAGGGCCCCGTCTGTGGTGGCCTACTAGGTCCTTGAGGCGCGCGCGGATCGTCTGGTTCTGGTCGGGTGACGAGTTACACTTACTCGCCATCCGCTGCCCCGAGCTTACGGTGGTCGGAGATCGTCTCTTGAACTGATGACATGCTATCCCATGTATCAGCGCCGCCCATGTACATCCGCGACATCGGGATGGACTTTGGGGAGGGGAACTTCGCTCACAGCGAAGCACAACGCACGTAGCGTTGCTTCTGACAGTTTTTTGTAATGTAATCATTCTAGTCAACCCTTCCAATCTTACTCCATAATGTAACATAAGCAGACTTCGAAGACTTTATACTTTAAACATTAGAGGTATCACAACTCCTTTGTAGACCATGTAGGAAACTGTGATATTACGCCATAATTTCGAGGAAGAAATTCCTTGAAAATGATTGCACAATGAAACATAACGAAAACTTTACGTTAAATATTTTTTTTTTTTTTTTTTTTTTTTAATTCTCGCGCCCGGCCTTAGTCGAGGCCATGGTGCGGAGTGAGAGGAACTGGGACGCCGTCTCCTCCTTTTGTGAAGCAGTCATGCTCGCAAAGAGAGAGGCGGCCCGCGTGAGGGAGCAATCCTCCTCCTCACGCCCCAGCAGCCGCAACTGGCGACACTACGGGCGTCGGGGATCGAGGGACGATCTCCGGCCACCGTAAGTACGGGCCTGCGGTCGGCGAGTAAGGGCAGCTCGCCGCCCGACCAGAACCAGGCCCGAGCGTACGGCGCGTAGCGTTCCGCGCGCGCCTCAAAGAGCCAATAGACCACCACAGACGGGGCCCTAAAGGGCTGATGTTCAGCCGGGGTTGCGGGGTAAGCGCAATAAGGTACCGCGACCTCGGCACAGAGCAGGAGAAGGAACAGGGGGGTTTTTAGTCAGTAAGAGTCTGACACTCCCTCCTGCCCGGCCCTGGGCGGGAGAAGTCATTTGATGATTTTCCCCTCACAAAAAAAAAAAAAAAAAAAAAAAAAAAAAATATTTTTTTAATACATTTAAGTATGTATCTTTTTATAATTTTTATATTTTTTTTTCTACATACCTACATATGATCCGGTTTCGTATAAACACATATTACTTATGTCGTATGATTTTAAACAAATGACTGATTAATTTCAAATATATTCCAACAAATTTAAAATTGTCTATTACTTGAATTCATTTTCTGTGCAGGGGCCTACCTTGTTGTGACCAAAATAACTTGGTTTTGTTTAAGAGTAAAATTTGATGACGATTTAAAATCAGTTCATTATTAAAGTCAAATACTAAATTGGCTAAATAAAAATAAAAATGCGAAATATTGCCCAGAGAAATCGGAAATAATGTAGCTATTGTAAGTTTGGAAAATTATTTCAGTTGGTGAGCAGGGAAGAAATTAATCAAAACAATAAAATTATACGAGTATTAGGCATATTTTTGTCTTACACAAAGAAATTGAATTCAGAAAATAACCATAATTAACAACTACACTACAGACCTGGCCAAAAAAATAAACAAACTCACCTCAAGACAACGAAAAAAAAAACACAATAAAAAAAATAAACAAGAACGGATCACGAATCGTCTATGGTGACTGTCAATGGTCACTTTGTGTTTATATAAGAGACATATACATATATCTCTAAATAATATGTAAATGTGTGCGATATCTAACTCATTCATGATAATTCGGCGATACCAGATCAATATCAGCTGTGATTCGTCGCATTAATATAATTAATTGTTTTTTATTATTCTTCGGTGGGCTTTTAAGGCCGGGTATTAAATTAAGTTTAAATGACGTATAGTCATTAGTTATTTTTATAAACTTTACTCGTATCTGTTGATATGCATTCATTAGTTATTAAGTTATTTCAGTTTCATAGATAAGTTTTTCATATACACCCAGAAGCGCAACAATAGTTTCTCATTTCTTTTTCTCACTAAAAAATATTGTTTCTTATGAGCATTGTACCCGTGATACGTTGGAAAGTACTCAGTTATCTCCACTGTCCGTACATTTTATTTAATTTGTATTTGTTTACAAATATACAATTTTTGCCTAACCTGTCCTAACTAATACCTATAATTTATTAGTGACCCGTCTCGGCTTCGCATGGGTGCAATACTGATACTGAATTTCTATACTATTTAAAGGACATTATTAGACATATGCATTAACCTTCCTCTTCAATCACTCTATCTATTAAAATCGCATCAAAATCCGTTGCGTAGTTTTAAAGATTTAAGCATTCATATGGATATAGTAACAGACTAAGCGAACCGGAATCGAAGCACGAAAACAACGAACTAGTAACTTAATAGCCGATTACTAAGCCACTGAGTCAACAACAATCACAATGTTCTTCTGTTTCAAATAATTATATAAAACTGTATGCCTAAAAGGAAATGGACAATCTACTGTTTGTAGACTGTTAATCTTGTTGTAACCACTAGTAATAGTTTATTCGCGGCCATTATACGCAATGTAAAAGTAAAAAAAATAAGAAACGCTCATATTCATATGTAGCTCTTGCTCTAACGGGTCACAAGTAGCGCTCACATATAGCTAGCAAATAATATAGACTTAAATCACATCATCAGCCTATAAGTGCCCACCGTTGAGCAAAGGCATCTTCTCCTACAGAGGAGATTTGAGCATAATCGCCACGATTGCCTGCATGATTCTTGCATGGTGAGAAATATAGTTATGTATGATGTTTCTGATATTGCGGGCTAGAGCTACGACCAAGCTTTAACCAACAGACTTCCTTGCCGGAGTCGGTGTTTCCTGATAGTTACAATCCGGGTATCTTTAAGTCAAGAGTGAATAGGTTACTTCTAGGTAAGCGCGCTCCATCGTCGACCGCATCGTCGCTTTCCATCAGGTGAGATAGCGGTCAAGCGCGAACCTGTAATCCATAAAAAAATAAAAAATAAAGGCGACCCGCAAGTTCTATCATGGTTGAAAGTAGTCGGCGATGTGCATCTTCTATCATTTGTACTAGGGGGAATGTGCCGAAGAATTGTTTGGCCTGATCCCTGCCGCGTCCGTTCACCATCAACCCTCGCAGGTTAATTTTCAAACCTTCATTTCCCTTCAAGAAAGGTAGGTACTTCTTGAAAAGACTGCACGGCACTCGAGACTCCGCTCTTCAAACTTTTAAACTTTCGCGTTTCATCTTAACAACATTATATTTACGCGGGTATTAACGCGGAAAATTATAATTTGAATACCTTGGTAGGCTTGACGTTTCGACCCGGTTGCACAGGTCGTGGTCACAAGCAGACTGAAGACGCGATGTCACAGCTCCCTGCATTCGGGTGATGAATCTTCATCTACCCCCTTATTTTCATTCTCTACCATATTAGGCCGTCTACACACTACGCTGATTATATCCACAGATATGTTAACCGACTTTGAAGGAACTCCGCTGTTGTTGCTAATATCCACGAGCAACACTTATCGCCAACCAGGTGATATTTCTGCTTTTTCTGAGGGTAGAAAACTGGATGGCGTTAGAGGGAATATCAGACTCATACTAACTAAAAGCTTACACCATTCCTTCTCTTGCTCCAGGCTGAGGCTGCAGTACATTACTCCGCTTGCACCCTAGTTGGTGATCAGTCTGCTCTTTTGCCTCCTATTCCATAAAAAATCGGTTTAGATAGGTGTCATGCTAGATCTAAATGGCTTCACCTTTTTTTTTACTTGCAATAAACTAGCGCTTGACTGCGGTCCCACCTGATGGTAAGCAGTGATGCAATCGTTGATGGTAAGGCGCACTAGTTTATTAAGAGCCTATTCACTCTAGCCTTGAAGACACCTAAATTGTATTCGGACGGAAAGACTGCAGCCGGCAAACTGTTCCAATCCCTACCTACCTACCTAGAAGGCAATATAAAGTTATCGGTATAACTCACACCCCTAGTTATTAGAACCTACGCCTAGCCATTATCAGTGCTCAAGTATAAACATCATGTTATTGTTTTAGACAATAACAATAAACAATAGACGGGGGACTCACAGCAATGTCATGACCTGTAACTACTTCATAGAATAAGGGACTTATTTTATGACAAACATCCAACAAATGACCAATGGTTAATATCTTTTTCAATTAATAGGTGAATTACATATTGCGTTTTTCATTTGGTACAAGTTGGAAATGACCTATAGCTTAGGTAATATACCTACATGATTTAAGTAATTTATATGAATGCACTTATTTTAAGGGCTTTGTCAATGCTCGGTCGGAAAGACGCTCAATTCTTTGGGCGATCCACAAATTGTTGTTCTGGGGCTGTCATGTGTGTGATGTGCATGTTCGTAAACGCAATCACGATACAACAGAAAAAAGTGCGGTAAAACGTTTTTGAAAATAAACTATTGTAAAGTTATGTGTAAATAATTATATTTAATTAATTAATAATTAAACTTTACTTCTTTTTTTATTGATGATGAAGAGCTTCTATTTTTTATTGATTAAAGCATACAGATGTATGCTGACAAATACATTTCTTCTCTATTTTTCCCGCGAATGGTTGTTCGGCAGCAACCAGGAGCTCTTTAAAATAAATAAATAAATACAATTTTAATCTTATAAGATTATTAAAAAGTCTGTTACAGCAAACAACAAAGGTACTGCAATTGACATGTTTCAAAATATACCTATGCCACAATATTTTTATCTATTTGAAAGCTGCCAATGTCATCACTCCCGCAACAGCAGAGAGTCTACGAGTGCATTGCCGGCCTTTTCGAGGTTAGGCTTTCGGAGATTTAAAGATTGGGGACCTTACTCACACGGCAAAACTCAACGCAGTAGTTGTTCTAAGCTGTTTTTTGTGAGATCGTGGCATGACTCCGTCTGGCCGGCCCATTCGTGTCAAAGCCTCGCTCTCTCGTAATAATTAACGTCATATTAACGTTAATTTTGTTTTGAACGAGATTTAAACAATGATAAGCAGAAATGAAACAAAAGTTTTCGTTATCTTTTCGTGATTAAGTAAATTAAGTTGCAATTGCATCGCTTGGGAAGTCCCTGCAGTTGGTACAGTCAGCTCCAAAAGTCGATGAACAGAATCAACTTACCAAAACACCTGTTCACAATAAAACGCCATAAGTTATAGTCGCAACTAGGAAACAAAATAGTCTGTACACCAGAAATTTACAAAAGTCGTTACACACGACTAATTCAAAAGTATCTGTGCACTAGTACTCCTAAAGTCGCTGTACACCTTCAATCCAAATCTCGCTGAACATCATTGTATCAAAAGTCACTAAACAGCGGTAAAGTCAAAATTAGGTTAACAAAGTATATGTCAGCGCACTGGCCATCAGTGCATGTAAAACCTCTATGTTATACGTACACCGAGCTCTGGTGAGGCGGCCTTCTTGTAAAACAGGACAATTAGTGTTGGACCTTCGTAGAATACGCACACAGCCACGTGTTCGGTGGACGTTAAGTTCAAATTCAACCTAATCTTAATTATCTTTAGTTAAATTGTAATAGTTGTGATTATAATATCAAGAGTTTTAAGAAGAGTGATTATAGCAACAGTTATTTTATTGAAATACTGTCTTCCTGCCCAAGCGGGGCACACTTCCACCGTATATTCTACCGTGTCCTCCGGGCGATCTGTGCTAGGTGACACCCGAACGTTTCCTCCGAACAAGATAAGAAAGAAAACAGCATTTTTCAGCGTCGGTGTTTGTCGTAGTTGGGTTTTAGTTTTTATACTTTTTATTATTTGTACTATTTTGGTGTTAAGGTGTATTTGTGTCGCATAATATCAACAAAAGAATGAACTAATATTAAGTAGTAAAAGGTATGAACGAAAAGATGTGAATTATATGCAATCAGCACATGAATACAAGCAAAGTCACAAGCAAATGCTAGTAATACATATATATTCAAAATGTACAAGTAAAGCGCTTTAAAATGATACCAAACACGGTATAATTATCTTAACTTTATTTTTTTACTCTGGTTGTTTTGTCCGCTAGAGGACGCCGCATTAGATTTTGTAATACATCATATAACTTATAACCAGCGGACAATTAAGACGTTTCTAATGATAAGAAGACAAGGTAAAAATAATAAATTAAAGGAAAGTAGGTTTTGTAAGATTTACTATAAATTACAAGTACCGTCACAAAAATCACTTCGTAGATCATTAGAGTTATGTTTATGTTATTTCATAAATTATAGATTAGTATGATTACTGACAATAAAATATAATTTATTTGTAAATAAGTTTTGAAATATGTCGATACTAACGTGTTTACATACATTATTAACGTCTAGCAAACACTGTCCCAAAAGTAGCTGAACAACATAAGCGTCAAAAGTATATTAACACGGGGCAACATTCAAAATATACTTTGTTAACCTAATTTTGTCTTTACTGCTGTTTAGTGACTTTTGATACAATGATGTTCAGCGACATTTGGATTGAAGGTGTACAGCGACTTTAGGAGTACTATAGTGCACAGATACTTTTGAATTAGTCGTGTGTAACGACTATTGTAAATTTCTGGTGTACAGACTATTTTGTTTCCTAGTTGCGACTATAACTTATGGCGTTTTATTGTGAACAGGTGTTTTGGTAAATTGATTCTGTTCATCGACTTTTGGAGCTGACTGTACATTAAGTAAACAATTCGGATAAGGATATCAAAACGTTTTAACATGCAATTATTTTACCTACATAGTATAAAACAAAGTTCCTTTCTCTGTCCTAATACCCTAATGTATACTGAAATCTTTATAACAATGCAACGGATTTTGTGCGGTTTTTTGTATCCATCCATCCGGTTACCTCAAACATGAGAAGCGGGCTCCTTAACCTCCGGGCCACCACGACTACACTAGATAAAGTTTTTGAAAAGGAAGTGTTGTAAAATTAATATTTATAAACAAGTATCGATTCTGACAACATTTGTTTCTTTTGTCTAAAACTAATACCTATTATAAATGCGAAAGTAACTCTATTTCTGTCTGTCTGATTGTCTGTCTTTTCTTCACGCCTAAATTACTGAAGTGATTTCTGTAAAATTTGGTACAGACATAGTATGGAACTCGAGAAAGGACACATGATAGTTTTTATATTAAAAAAGTCTGCAGGAAGTCACTATTCCATTCCATGTGAACGAAGTAGCGAGCAAAGGCTAGTTGTTACTAAATCGTTACACAAACCTACCTTTGGCCCTTTAATTAATTGGGAGAGAATGACATATAGCATTAAATACTCCGTATATTCCTTTGATTGGTTTATAGCATAATTACCAATTAGATTATTTTTAAAGTCCTGTACCATGTGCTTAATCCTTTCTAACAATTGGCGCCTTTACGTTGCTTCTGGAACTAAGAAGAGGCAAATTTCTGATTGGCGAAGTTAAATCATCAAATTACTTCTCCCACCTTGATTAAGGCAAGGGGCAATGTCGGAACTCTTACTGACTAAGAAGCACTCTCTTCCTACTCTAAACAAATTCGCTTCCTCAGTTACTTTATTCGTTTGACATGACATGGTGCTTTTGTTTTGATTTTTTTTTGTAAGGGGAAAATCGTCAAATGACTTCTACCGTTTCCGACCGATCAATATTAAAATCAATTTAATCTCTTGTCAAGTCATCTGATTGGTTGACTGAATTATCAACAACCAATTAGATGACTTGACAAGAGATTTAACAGGAAATTAGTTAATTTTAGTGTTGACAAGCCTTTCAGAAACTGGGTGTTACTGACTAAAAGCCCCCGTTTCTTCTTTTGCTCTGGGTCGAGATCGCGGTGCCCCATTGCGCTTACTCCGCAACCTCGGCTAGCTTTCGCTTTGGCTGACATCTAAAAACAGAATACTGAAGGGTTTTTCATAAATAACAGAGTAATATACACTCTAATTAGTTGCATATTTTCAAAATTATTTCAAAACCTGTCTTTTTTTAAGAACCTTGCCTCGTGACATCCCGACTCCTTCCCGGTCCATTGAAGCCCTTGAAACATATAATAATTTCACACTTGATTGGACCTAGTATCTGGGATCGGCGCTTACGCAAGCAAGGCGCGCCGTCCGGAAACCAGGCGCCGGCCATTGTCAGTAAAACTCTTACGAGCTAATTTATGCTCATATTCAAATATAGAACGATAAATTATAAACAATTTGGCTGGTTTTTTCATTTATTTGTATGTACATCATTTTTGGTACAGAATAATTGTGCGTTAGGTTTGGTTTGTTGTCCTGTGTGAGTCTAAATAAATGTTTTTGCTTTCTTTCTTTCATATTAAAAATCAACGTCGTATAAAAATACGTCATGGTTGCCAGGAGGTTAAAGCCCCTGCTTCTCATGCAGGGTACGGATGCGGTTTCGAAACCTTATAACCAATATGACTTTTTCCGAGTTATATGTACACTCAGCTGCAGAAAAAAGGATCCCATGCAGATAGGTGCATACATATTTATACTTTATGGGGGGTCCATTTTACGGCGCGTAGCGTTCCGCGCGCGCCTCTAAGAGCCAATAGACCACCACAGACGGGGCCCAATAGGGCTGATGTTCAGCCGGGGTTGCGGGGTAAGCGCAATGAGGCACCGCGATCTCGGCCCAGAGCAGGAGAAGGAACAGGGGGGTTTTTAGTCAGTAAGAGTCTGACACTCCCTCCCGCTCGGCCCGGGGCAAGAGAAGTCATTGGATGATTTTCCCCTGACAAAAAAAAGGGGGGGGTCCATTTCTCTGCAGCTGACCATACTTCCTAAGATTAGGTACAGACACCACTGACATACGGTGAAGGTAAACATCGTGAGAAAACCTGGATAATTTTTAATTATTATCTAAATGTAAGTTTAAAATCGTTAATCCGCTTTGACCAAGCGTAGTGATTAATACTAAACCCTACTCCGTGTGAGAAGGGGCCTTAGCTCAGCAGTGGGCACTTAAAGACTGGTGATTATGATGATTTTAAAAATCATTGAATTTGTCATTAGCTGTAGTAACGATGATTTGATAGCTTTGCTTTGTAATAAGTAATCTACTGAGTCATGTAATGATGGCTAACAATTAAAATCATACGTCACACACTGATACTGCATAATGCTTTGTCGTCGAGCCAATGGTGTTATCTAAACTAATATTATAAAGAGCATAGATTTCAATGTATGTTTTTTTAATTGAACAGGTTTCAAAACAGGTCCCACCATTATTTAACTTTGTAAAACATATGCTTATACACTACTCGTGGCACAGCTAATGTTTACTCTGAAGGCACCCGGAGGATATGGTGGAGCATACGATGGCAGAATGCTTGGGTTGAATACCGCTGTGTCCTTCAGGTGTACTCAGCATGTTTATCGGGGCCATTGTGCGAAGTGAGAGAAACTGGAAAACAGTCATACTCGGAAAGAAGGAGGTGGAACGCGTGAGAAACTATCCTCCTTACGTCCGATACACTGCAGGCATATATAGGTACATATACACGTAAATTCGAATGTTTATAAACGCAACCACGACACAAGAGAAAATCCTAGTGTGGGGCATCGTTTGTTTTAATGAAAATACAATATACAACCTGCCTTGAACAAGCGCGAAGAAAAACTTTTTATTTAGATATGCTGCATTGTGATACAAACAAAATAAACAAACAGAAAATATACCATATTAAGCCGTAACATTTTACAGTTCAAAACACACAAACATTATTTACGCATAAAATAAAATATAAATTCATCAATATCATTGCCACATTGCCCAAAGAGAAGAAGACTCGATTAAAAAAAATACGAAAAAAGAAAACAAAATGGCGGATTGATTTCCCCGCTAATCAATGAAGCGCATCAGAATCTATGCACCTCGCAAATACGATGAGACTGGCCAAGTATAATATCTATGGTGTAGGTACGGCAACTAAAACTTTTGGTACACGTCTCTTCGACGCACCTATTTATAAGTTCCAGAGGAATTGTTCACAGACGAAATTCCGAAGCTAGTCGCGGGCAACACGCGCTCCCGGTTTCGCGTCCCCGAAATATCCGAGCCACATTGTATAAATTAAAAAAAAAGTATGATCAGTTGATTGAGTGAAGGTGTTCGAATTTTGAAGTGCGTATTTTGTGATTTTTAAATAACACTCACACAATACATCCGAGTTTCTTTTTTAATGTAAGACGAAATTATAATTTTGGTGAAAGTTTTATTATAATCTATTCTATTTGAAGAACTGGGATTTGCGTAGATAATAAGAATAGAAGTGATAAAGCTGTGCTGGATTGTTATGGCTCGCTGTCTGCTAAAACATTATAATGATTTTGAATTACTTACCAAACTGTTCAAAAGTTTTTAATTCGAACAAATAGATTAAAAACTCCTTCCCTCGAACTTTTGCACATTGAATTAAATTTTGAATTTCGATTTCCTCATTAGAATTTTTTATTTGAAATCGTTTTTTTTCGGTCATGCCCATAATTATTATACATCACATTTTTTTCTATTTTTTTTTATCTTTACCTATAATTGCAAATAATATAATGTATAATACCATTGCATGCAAATCATAACGATGAATAACGAAAATTGAGTCTCGTTCGCGTCCATTTCAAATTTTATTATTAAGCATAAGCAACGGTTGACTTTTAAATATTTATTCAGGATATTCTTTCAAGACGATAGGTAGATATAAACAATTTGTTACATAGGATAATAGGTAATAGGCACGCATTTTTTTTCTTTCTTGATATTAAAAAAAAACTTAAATGCCTGTATTTGATAAGGAACTACGAAAATATTTTTAGAAGTAACTTATTGTTTGATAATTTATAATGATAATGCAATTAAATAGACCGATGTTGATCACTTTTGGTTTTTTTTTTATAAGTATATCTGCGTGTGTTAGGATGCTTAGGTAATTTTCAAATCACGCGGAAGTTACCTAGTAAGTATTGGGAAAAAGGCATGATATGCAGATAAAGAGTGGAATAACGCTTAACATGTAGGTAGGTAACAAACACGACTATACTTATTCAAAAAGTTTAAATTTTTCGTACCATACAAAAACTAGTAATGTATCAGTATCAACTTTGACAACCAAAGTCACCCTTGCAGAACAGCTAATACAATTAAATCAATATATGCAATAAAAAATCCTATTATCTAAGCACTAAAATCGATTTTCGCATATCAGAAAACTGAAAGCGTGAAACATTTCATAAATACGCAAGTCACCTCATTCCCTGAATGTGACTTTAATTTATAGATAGTAAAAGGTTAGGTGGCCATGCCAAGACACCCACAGACACACAATATCCTAACAACCTGTATATGAATCTTATTAAAATAAAAATGGCGTAGCTTAACCGGATTACTGTATAATAAAAATCACTACATAGTGCAAAATAAAGTCAGAAATCGCTTTTTCTGAAACAATGAAACAATGAAACAATGAATTTATTTTTGCAAATAGGCCTTAAAACGGCACTTTTACACGTCAAATTATATGTGAAAAACTAGATGAAGCCGGCATTTCCTATCTGACTACTCTGAGAAGAAATGCCGAAACAAACTCAGAGGTCAGTCTCTTTTCAAGTCCAGACAATATAAAATAACATAATGTGAGAGAACCGTGCAAGTTCATTCTGTAGTGGTCTTTTGAGGAAAGAACCACACCAGTTTAAGTGGACCCGTTCTGAAGACAGGCACGCAAGTGTCAGTTTGCAACCATATAGCTAGTGCTGTTGAGTTGTCCGACGAACAATACCGATCAAAAGAACATTTGGGTGGGTCGCGCAAGTACTCAAACTGTCAGAACGCAGATGACTGGTGATAAAAAAGCACGACAAGTCTCACACGGTCCTTACACTAACAATAATATAAAATAGTAAAAATGTCAACAAATAAAAAAAAATGTCAAATAAAAAATAAAAATATCACAATAGGTGATCATGTCATTGTATTAAAAAAAAAAAACGTAATGTCAAATTGTATATAAAAGTGTAACTTATGTTACAAACATGTCAACATGACCTGTGCAGACATTACAGCGGCTCATTCCCAAGCCTGACTATCCTCTAAGTAGTCTTTTATTTTATAAAATGCTTTACAGCAAAGTTTAGCCTTTATTACACTTTTAAATTTATTGAGGCTCAAATTTTGAATATCGCTAGGAATTTTATTGTAAAAGCGTATACATTGACACCTAAACGAACTACTTATTTTCTGAAGCCTGGAGGCAGGCACAACATATTTGTTTTTCCCCCTCGTGTTGATATTATGTATATCACTATATTTCTTAAATAAGCTTTTGTTTTTATGAGCGTGAATTACATTTTCATAAATATATTGAGAGGCAACTGTCATTATTTTAGATTCCTTAAATAATTCTCTGAGCGAATGCCTCGGACTAAGATGATAGATTGATCGAATAGCCCTTTTCTGCAGAACAAAAATAGACTGGATGTCAGCAGCATTCCCCCACAACAAAATACCGTATGACATGATGCTGTGGAAATAACCAAAATAAACTAACCGCGCTGTATCTATATCTGTTAAATTTCTAATTTTTTTAACGGCATATGCTGCAGAACTGAGCTTCTTCGACAAGCCATCTATATGTAGGCCCCACTGGAGCTTAGCGTCCAGGGTTATACCTAAAAAGACAGTTGTATCTACAGGACTCAACTCCTCGCCCTTGACAAGCACACTGGTTTTTATCTGTTTAACATTTGGTGTTGTGAATTTAATACATTTAGTTTTAGTTTCGTTTAGTAATAAGTTATTCACACCAAACCAGTGAACTATTTCTGAGAGAGCACTGTTTACATTGTCAATTAATGATTGTCGTCGTCTGAGTTTGAATAATAGTGAGGTATCATCAGCAAACAGCACTATCTCGTGTTTATCCCTTACAAGGTAAGGCAAGTCATTAATATAGATAAGAAATAAAAACGGGTCGAGAATAGAACCCTGCGGGAACACCCATCTTCACAACAGACCCGGCAGAAACCATTCCGTTTACTTCGACTCTCTGAACCCTATTACTCAGGTATGAGGTAAGAAGGTCCAGAGATGCACCTCTAATTCCGTAATGGGAAAGCTTCCTGATCAGTGTATCATGAAGCACACAATCGAACGCCTTGGATAAATCACAAAATATTCCCAAAGCGTCGCTTGAGTCCTCCCATGCGTCGTAAATATGATTAAGAAGTTCAACACCGGCATCAGTTGTTGAACGACCCCTTGTAAATCCGAACTGCTTCGCATGTAATAATTTATTTCTATTAAAAAATCTTTGCATTTGATCTAAAATGATTTTTTCAAAAATTTTACTGAACGTAGGTAGTACTGAAATAGGTCTAAAGTTAGTGGGGTCAGAAGTACTACCTGATTTAAATAATGGAATTATTTTACTACATTTCATAAGATCAGGAAACACACCACAGTCAATACAGTTATTAAAGATTTGAGCCAATACAGGTGCTACAATAGTTATTACAGAGCTTGTAATGTACACAAAATTACCCCATAGATCTGCAGTCTTTTTGTTATTCAAAGTATTAAAGATTTTAACAATGTCTTTGTTATCTATGTGTTTGAAGGAAAACCCTGAATCGCAAGCTACAACATGTTCTTTGAGTAAAGACTCTGCAACAGTGGGAGATGAATTCAGTGACTTTGTAGTGGATACAGGAATGTCGGAAAAGAAATGTTCAAAAGCAGTTGCAATTTCTACATCCGCTTTTATTAACTTATTATCAATTACTAGACTATGTTGACTAATTCTTTTTTTAGACCTTCCTGCCTCACTGTTGATAATGTTCCAAGTGTCTTTGATAACATTGGTACTGTTCTTTATCTTAGAGCTTAAGAATAGAGATTTTGCAATAGAGCAAACTTTTTTAAATAATTTAGAATAGTTTTTTACATATTCACTGAATTCAACAGTATTAATATATGTCCGCTCATTATAGAGCTCATAGAGGCGATTTCTACTCTTATAGATACCAGTGGTTGCCCAATCACCAAAAGACACATTGTTATTAGCTGGAATAGTTTTATCTGTAAAAGTAGACTTAAACTCTGTTAGGTACATTTTAAAAAACTTATCATATAAAGTGTTAGAATTCTTATAATTCAACAACAAAGGCAATTTGTTGCTGAGTTTAGCTTTGAAAAATTCAATGCGTCTTTTAGTCTTCGGATTAACTGTGATAAATTGTTTTGACACTATATTTATTTCATTTGTTAAAGAAATTAACTGACCACAATGATCGGAATCAAGTACTGAAATTATTTCTTTGTTAACTGGCACAATGTCAGTATATATATTGTCCAGGCAAGTGGCACTAGTGGGTGTTATCCTAGTTGGCTCCAGAAACAAATTCGCAAGGTTGTATGAAGAAAATAAACTTACAATTTTTGTGCTTAAACTACATTTTTCTAATAAATTTATATTAAAATCACCACATGTAATGATGGATTTCTTTGAATTTGTAAGTTTACTTAATACTTCATCCATTACTGTTTCAAAACAGTCATACAAACCTGAAGGTGGTCTATACACGCTTAATACAATAAACCGCTCCAATTCCACACAGGCTATTTCAACAGTACGCTCAACAGAGTAACTAACTATATCTTTGCGATCTTTGAATTTAAGCTGATTACTTATCAGTATAAGTGAGCCACCATGTATAGCGTTTACTCTGCTGAACGAGCTACCAATCTGGTGCTTACCAAAATTGAACATGAGCTGATGAGGTTTTAGCCAATGTTCAGTTATACACAAAATATCCACATTATTACAATTTAAAAATAACTCAATTTCTAGTTCTTTGCTCATAAAGCCTTGAATATTTTGGTGAACCAGATTAATAACCTTATTACTGTTTAATTTGCAAATCTGTCCTATGTCTATGTCTCTATGTATGCTTAAATCTTTAAAACTACACAACGGATTTTGATGCGGTTTGTTTTTTTATTAGATAGAGTGTTTGAAGAGGAAATTTTATACAGTAGTATCAACATTGTACCCGAGGGAAGCCAGGGCGGGTCACATAGTAGATACAAACTATCCAAACTAATATTATAAATGCGAAAGTAACTCTGTCTGTCTGTCTGTCTTTTCTTCACGCCTAAACTACTGAACTTATCCGTGTGAAATTTGGTACAGACATAGTTTGGAACTCGAGAAAGGATAGGCAAAATACAAAAGCTAGTACTTATAAAATAAAATAATAGCTAACAGATTATTTAGGGTTGTGACTATGCTTAATAAATATGTTGAATATTTAATGTCACATTCGTTAAAGTACCATATCCGTCAAATTGATTGTAATCGTATTTTCGTCCTAATTTGACTTAATAATAAACTAGTATTTACTCGGAAAACTACATACCTTATGTTCTGTAAATTCTACTCTATTTACGCTATAAAAGAGCAGCGCCCCCTGGTACAGGCATTTACATGCTTAAAAGGAGACGCCACCAACTGTACAATTTTTTCTATAGTTTAATATAACATTTTTGATGTTGATTTGACTTCTATTCTCATCTTGTTACGGGTGCTACTTAATATAATAAGTAAAAATAAAAATATACTTACACAACATACTACTGATTTCAACAACTCACTTGTCAAAGTGAAAAAAAAAACTCTCTGAAAACTAGTACACGCGTGTAATGTTTTTGAAAAGAAAAATAGTACAGTTTTAATTATAAGTACTTTTCTTATTACAAAGACTTTTTTCTACCTTCATTCTTTTTCGCTTTATATTAAAACCACGTTTACTAACACTAAATAAAAAAACCCTAAAAACTTCCAGTTTCGTCAATTTAAACTTCGTATCAATTTTGAAATCAAATCGAGGGAAAATCATTAAATGACTTTTGTCAGTCAGGGTACCTACTTATGGCGAGAGGAAGTGTCAGACTCTTACCGAATAAAAACTTCCACGTCCCTTCTCTTTCTTCAACAGTCCACCTCCATGGTATCTTATTGAGCTAGCCCTGCAACGCAGTACCCACCGCTAAGGATCTTTTCCCACACGGAGATAAAATTGAGCATTAATCACCACATTTGCTAAAGGCGGATAAGCAAATTTCAATCTTATGTTCATTAGTATTAAGTGCAGTTTTCCTTCCAATATTTACCTTTACCCTTATCAGTGATGTCTCAACTTTCATAGAAAGTACGTACAACTTGGAAAAAGACATATTATTAGCGCCTTTTCAAAGATTTCAAATCCACACCAATGCAAGAGAGTAGTTCATAGTAGCACAAACTTATTACCTACAGTAAAAACAAAACAATTTGAACCTAATGTAGTTTGCAATAAAAAAGATACCAGTTACATATTTTATTGTAAACCCCACCAAATCTTAAATATCATTCATCCGTACCGTTTGGCTAATACTCTAATACTCTAAACAAACTCGAAATAGTCTTGTATGACTCAACCGTCGTGGCATTCACATAAACTAACGAATTAAATAATAACAAAAACAATAATGTTCTCAGTTTTAATATTAACAAGATTGTGTAAAGAGGCCCGCCATTTTCAACACGGAAGAAAGAAAATATAAAAAACAATATATTTGTTTTCGAATTTTGAATTTTGGCGTTCCATAATTAGTGAACTCAACTGAATAATATGCCACACACTGTTTATAACATTTTAAAAATATTATTGATTTTGCTGCTGACATAATAAGATAAAAAATAGATATTTAGCAAGAAACCATATTTAAATATTTAAGAATTTTGGATTTTCGAATTCCGTTAGGAGTAACAACGACCCACATACTGTTTGTATTGCTTTATAAATAATGCTGATTTGATTTTGTGCCATTTTTTCAGCTCTTTATTAAGTAAACCCCAAACGAACCTCTGTCTGCTTAAACTTATGAAAAATAACAGAAACAATAATATTCTCAATTTAAATATTAACAAGATTATGTTAAAAGGCCCGCGATTTTCAACCTAAGAAATAAAAAAAAATTCGCGTCTTCAGAAATAAACGATATTTAAATTGTTTTCGAATTTTGAATTTTAGAATTCCATTATGAGTAAACATTCCACCCTCTGTTTAGATTATTTTATGAATAATTTGGATTTGATTTTATGCCAGCTTTTTACCTCTATATTTAGTTAATCTCCACCGACCCTCTGTCTGCTAAAGCTTATGACAGGCGTGTTAAAAATATCTAGTCTCATTGAATGAATGAAAGAGATCCTTGGCTCGTTACACCTGCTAATATGTGCTATATATATCTAGCCACATCATTGCATTGTTTTAATATATTTCATACTACAAATGTACGCTTAAGACTATTAAGTTAATGTTTTTTTGTAAACGTCGATTTTTGATTTTCCAATTTAAAATTATGTAATAAGTTAAAGGTTTGCGACATTTTCTTTACTTCGTATTATGATATAGTAGATATTTAATGTTTCAGAATTTTTATTTATTCAAACGCTTTTGAATGACTAGATGACATTAATAAATTAAGCCTGATACACTAGATAACTAGCTTTAAGCAAAAATATTTGTACATATTCTATAAGTAATGCTACCAAAACAAAATACCTACGTAGTATTTATTACACTATTCGATTCGGCTTTACACAGGTACAATACTGATACTAAAAATCTCCACTATTAAATAGATGTTATTATAGTTAAAAACCTTCCTCCTACTTAGGTAGTTTTAAAGATTGAAGTATACATACATAGGCATAATAAGGACAGAGGTTTTGCCTGTTGAAGGAGCGTAGCGTTCCGCGCGCGCCTCAAAGAGCCAATAGACCACCACAGACGGGGCCCTATAGGGCTAATGTTCAGCCGGGGTCGAAAAACGTTGTTTTTGGCGAAAAACGTTGCCCCAGCCAAGAATTTTCCCCTGTGTCGTGGGTGCGTTTACAAACATACAATTTCACATGCACATTTTTATTCAGTAAGAGTCTAACACTCTCTCGCCCTAGCTTGGGCGGGAGAAGTCATTTGATAATTTACCAGTAATAAAAAAGAAAGAAGCTTTGTCTGTTACTTTGTTTTATAATAAGTAGTAATGTTTAATGTTACATAATTATTTTATCAAAATGTCAATGATAGAATGGAAATACCTATTCTTCACTCCATCAAATGACTTGCAACATGACACACTTGAAATCAACGTAACACAAAAGTAATTCTAATATTTATTGCAAGCATTTTCATTTATGGAAAGCGAATTTAAACATCACGCACTCATAATAGCACTCAGTGCCTTATCTCGATGATCTGTGAAATATTATTAATTGTGTCATCGAAGTTCCCATTATAACCACTTACTAACAACGCAAATTTGTCATTAAAAAGACGCATATGTGTCATTCAGCGCATAGACGTCATTAAGTCGTCACAAATTGCAAAAGTTGAGCAAAATCGGGACATTTCTTGTTATCTAAGGTACTGATAATAATTATTGAGATTATCAAAAAATAGACGAGTGACCGCACGTATTTAATACAATTTAGGTATGCAAATTTGACACAATCAGGGATTTTAAGTGATAGTAAGATTAATTCGAAAGATTACATAGATTAGTAATGGTCAAGAAATTATTTTATGTTTTGTAAATTATTATCTTTTATTAGATATATAATTTGCTTTGATAGATTAGGGGAATTTAATATTATTGATCTGCTCATTCTCAAAATTCGATTCGCTGACTGCAATAGTTCCAAATTCAAATCCAAATATTAAGTGACTCCTTATTTGTGCACGCAGTTTTAGGAAAAAAATGCAAAATGTTGTTACTGTACCTATTCATAGAGATTAAAATATCCATGATTGAATGACCATTAATTTTAATGTATTTTGGACCCAAATATGTCCATAACTCGATAATTACATCTACAATCTCAATAGGATCTCTCTTATTACAATAAAGCAGAAAAAATATATACAAAAAACCAATATTCACAGCACTGAGTTAATATATTATAATAATGGCGGTGCTAATTAATTTGTGATAGGTAAGAGAGATTATAAATGTATACATAATGAATAGTACCCAACCAACTCTATGTGACCCCCCTTATCAGAGATCGCTACGTCAGAATGGCTTAATTAATGATTTTATATCACATTTGTTAATCCGTTTGATTTTCAATTGGTGCAATCATATCTTTGGTTAGGTAAATAGGTAGCTACTTACCTACTAAGTACATTGAAATAATAATTATTACAATTAAAATCAACACCACTTCAAGCCAAACTACCTACAACTAGTTTGAAATAGACTATATAAAATTCGTAAATGTACCAAAAATTATTGCCATGGAATTTGGTTTCCTATGTAAGTGAATTTCCAGCGAGTGTTAATATAAAAAACCAGCTTTATCACTATCGAAGGACTATGAGCAATACCTATATAAAACAATAGTATTTATATGTATCTTCCTATTACTACAATCTTATACTATTAGACTACAAACGCCACCTAACAAAAACCCCAAATTAAACACAATACACTCAACTCAAAAAATTCTCATTACCGACCACCGAATCAAACGCCTTTGACAAATCTAAAAAAACTCTTCAACAGATCACCATGCCTATCGGTAACTTGAGTAAGGAGACTGGGGCTCGCAGGGAGTCGTTCCGACCTCCGTGGGTGAAGGAAAAGGATGTGGAAGCACCGCCATCTTGGATGCAGAAAAAGTTGAAACCAGTGGAAAGCCTGAACAAGACTGCATCCATTGATGAGCCTGCCGCTGCTCCTATTCAAGCTAAACCTTTGAAACGTAAGTTGTTTTCTATTTATATAAACTATTGTTCAAAAGATTAGCTAGTCGTTTGGTTGTAAGTTCAAAAGAAAGATTTTTGCATTGATCGAAAACTTAAACTAGAAAGTGGTAATTAAAATAATGTACTTTCCTGAAGATGCGACTAATTTTATGAATGAAGTGTGGGAGAAATTGGGCACGAATGGGTTAGTCTGACCGGAGTTGTACCAGGGCCTCACAAAAAACCGACGTGAGACAACCACAGCGTTTTGTTTCGCCGTGTGAGTGAGGTTACCGGAGGCTTAATCCCTCCCCTCCCCCAATTGCCAAACTCTTAATCCCTAATCCCCAAAGGTCGGCAACGCACTCGTAACTCCTCTGTTGTTGCTGGTATCCATGGGCGGTGGTGCTTGCTTACCATCAGGTAATAGGCTAGCTCATTTGTCAACGTATCACATAGAAAAAAATTGACAAAATTATACTAATAATGTTCAACTAATCTTACTTTAAATTAAATAATAATATGAATTTATGTAATGTCCTTAGGAAGACATTAATATATTGTAATGTGTACATCTTCGTTATGGTTTATGTGGCATCCAGTCTAATCCATGCCAAGTTTAAATACCGAAGTACCGCATCATACTAAAAGTCCGTAGGAAATATCTCGTTCATTCAAGTTAATGGAGCATAACCCTTTCTAAAACTTTGACTTTTATTTGTCAATAACTTATATAGCAATATAGCTTTTTTGTGCGTTTTTTTTTCTAAGTCTACGAGTTTTTAATCGTACCTACACATTTTTTAATACTTCTAAATGCAAGTTTTCTTTCGGTACCAAAGCCGACCCTTGTTTGAGGGGAAATATCATTCAATATCTTCTGCCGGGTATGACTCTTACTGAGTAAAAACCACCCCGATCATTCTCCTAAAGTTTAGGTTTACGACCAAAACCAAACGTGATAGTGACTTTTAAAGTCTGCAATTTTATCAATTATGTCACTCACCATACCATTTACATATAAAATCAACATTTGAATATTGTTTAAAAAGTGAAAAATTGTATTAACACACTAAAAACATTAAGGTTTTCAGATAGAATTCATATATTATATACAACTAACTTCATGAATAAAATCCCCATTCAATGATCACCCACTTAGCTAACTGCTATTTATGAGAGACTTTAATTCGACCTCCAAAAATTGTAGGAATCGTATTTTTACTCCAGTTCGTTCCATCTGACGTCTATTAGACGAAAAATATAAACACAGTACGTTAACAACGACGTATATCTAGCGACGTATGTGTTCAACCCACGCTTTAATAAAGATATTATCAGGAACAGCATTCATCTCATCCCGTGACTTGCCGCCTTCTTTATTGTCAGATTTAGCGTCTGTTTCACCACCTTCATATAACTTCACGATAAACTTACCTAGCACATAGTATACACATTATATACACACAGCTTACGTTCTATATGTTTAATTTTATTTAATACATAGCGGCTATTCAGACATGTCATGGTGACCCAAAGGCTGAGACCCCCGCTGACATACGGTGAAAAAAAAAACATCGTGAGAAAACCTGGACTAATAATTTGCGGATGTCCATGGGCGGCGCTGATCGCTTACCATCAGGTGATCCGTAAGGTCGTTTGCCTCCTATACCATAAAAAAAATACTAATTTTAAGTTTGAAAACGCCAATCTGCCCTGAGTAAAACTGTAGAGAAAAGCAATGGCGCCGCTCTTGGATACCCGAAACACTACAAATTCCAAGTGCGCTACTGGCGTTTTAGCAATTAAGAGTTTTCTGGATTTAGTGATTGGTCCACCATGTCTCTTTTAAGAGGATTCGGGTGTTTTCTTCTTTGAATTCTTTACTTAAACGAAAGTAAAAACCTAAATGATTTTGGATACATAAAATTCTATAATGTATTCGGTAATGAGACTTTTATCAAAACCTCTTTTCTTAGTAGAAGTGGAACTTTGGCCTACATTATATTGTTCACAAGTGGGCAAAGTTCCAAGCAGATCGGTACACCCAATCTACGGACACTAACTGTTACAAATTGAAACGTAAGAGCCCATACAGATTGTTGATGACAATTGTCACGACTTGTTGCTATCAAGAATCGTTGTATCGCATTTGACGTAATTGTAAAAAGACAAAATCATTTTTTCTATGCAATTGGACGGCAACCAGACGGATTACCTGATAGTAAGTAATTGAGGCCGACCATGAATAGCCGCAACAACGGCGGATGTACGAGTGCGTTAAGTTTTTTAGGATATTTAATGTTTTTTTGTGAGGGGAAAATCATCAAATTACTTCTCCCGCCCAGGGCCAGGCGGGAGGGGGTGTCAGACTTTTACTGACTTTAAACCCTCCTCTTCCTTCTCCTGCTTTGGGCCGAGGTCGCGGTGCCTCATTGCGCTTACCCCGCAACCCTGGCTGAGGATATTTAGGGTTAAGGGAGGGATTGGGGAAGTGAAAGGATTAGGCCCTCGGTTACTTCACTTACATACCGAAACACAACACTGTGATTGTTTTATGTCGGACTAAACCATAATATTATAAAAGATAGTCCGTCAATCATTCAACATAGAAACAAACACCTATGCTTGTTCAACATTGTAGATTCGACTGGTGAAGAACGAGCGAAAAAAACCGTCGTCAAACTAAATACTTTAGGTCCAATCTACAGAATGAGACTTTTCTCTTGCCTGCAATTACTGAAAGCAATAATTAATGACATACATGGTCTAAATGATGACTACTGAGTTCCATTAAAAACAGTGCAATTGTTTCTACAATTTTTGACTTGAAAATTTGTGTAAAAACATGTGTAACCGGTCAAATATGAGGATTTAAATATTAAACTTGATGCTTGTAGAAACGAAGAAACATGGATGCAAGCAAAAGTCGACCTTAGGCTCTCGAAGCACTTTTGTCTTCAGTTTCTAAAGTTATTTCTTGATGTAAGTACTTCTAAGCGCTTTCTGAGGTACATCATGTATAATGATTATGTTTGTGATGATCGTATAGATGTTAGTCGACACTTTGTGAGAAATAGGTCTGAACACAGCCTAAGCGGTTGCACTCAGAGACGATCGAGACGTAATAATATAAACAAAACATCGTCAAAGTCACATTCAGATGATGATCAGTCGGGGATGAGGACCAATCGGGGATGCGGGTCAAGCGTAATAAGCTATAAGATATCGTGGGCTCGGCCTGGAGCAAAAAGAGGAACAGGGAAAGAAGTCATTAAATGTTTTTTCCCATCAAAAAAGGTTATCTTCATTTATCTTCAGAGCAAAAAGGTAGCAAAAAAAATTAACAGCACAATAAGCTATAGTTAACTAGCAAGTAATTAGAAAAAGTAAAGATTTTAGGTGACAGTTCCAAATTCTCACTAGAAAAAGAATTAATTAAGGGATCGCGGATGCTGGTTTCCCTTAAAAAAATTGTAGGTAGTTACTTAATTTGAAAATAAAACCAGTCTTGTGGCCTTACCCGGATATGGTATATTATTTGATTTGATTAAAAAACTCTTAGTACTAGTTACTTAGTTGGAGCTTAGGATTTAATTAAAAAAATCTCAGTAGTGGTTATTTGAAGAGTTGGAAATTGTTCTTGGCATTCGATAATAAGCTCAGATCACATTTTATAAAAAAAATGACTTAGGACTTCCTATTTCAGCTAAAATTTTGTTTTGACGCGGGGAAATCATAAAATGTCTTCTTCCGACATGACTGACCGACTTTTACTGGCTAAAAAACCCCTGTTTCTTCTCCGGATGAGCGCCGATATTTTTTTAAAGGAAATGCCATCAAGGTCTTCTTCCACCTTGGGTGGGGCGGGAGGAATGTCACACTTTTACTGACTGGGACCGCCGTATGAGGGTGTGAGTTGAGTTACTGTTGATGACGAGTTGATGACTAGACTGATGATGATGATGATGATGATGATGATGATGATGATGGTGGTGGTGATGATGATGATGATGATGATTTAACGACAATAATAACGATGATCCGTTGGTTCAAGAAACAGATGCACAAAGCAGTACTTCTAGACACGGTGCGCTTTATTTGGAGATTCCTTTCTCTGGACCACCGGTTGCTTGGAACCCTCCCGTTACCGATGGGATACTGCTTTTTATATTTTTAAATGATGATTGCTAGGAACACAAGGCGCGATGCGACATTTTATGTAAATTACCCAACGCCTATCACATTCATACGATTATCAAATATCCCCAACCGATACGTGTTCAGCCGCAATTAGAGATTTAATGATTAGAGATATCGAAACATTATCGTATTGGCTATTTCCTGTGTGCAATGATAAAACGTCACTAATAATAATATTGTAATTGACGAGAGTTTATAAAAAACATTAAAAGATGATCTTAGGTCCAGTTTTTTTAAATACATGAGAGCCCAAGTCAGATTTTTCGCGGTTTCTTAATAGACAAATGTCGATATTGGGAACAAGTACAAGTTTAGGTATAAAACAGATTAGGGCGTGTTTCACCGCCATATTTATTGCCTGTTAGATTTTACGCTGAATGTTTGCCGGTTGTTTTTTTAATAAGATTCGCTGTAGGCACAACAATATTTTCTAGTGTGGGAGAGAGATTCTCAGCACAAATGGCCTGGTACAATTAGAGTGATACTACGGCCTCACAAATAACCGGTGTGAAACAACCGGATTTTTATTTTACCGTATGATTGAGGTTATCGGGGTCCCAAAATCATTTACCCCCAAAAGATCAGCAAAGCATCCATCGTTACTCCTTTGGTGTTATCCCTGACCAGCACCGATTGGTGCAGCTTCCTATAAGGTCTACGTCTGCTTTTTACCACCACATATAATTCAGACTCCATTAAGACATTTAAACATAAAACAAAAATGGTGATATTGATTTACCGTTTTGTGAACACACTACAATAATTTTGAATTGATCACACATTTCCACTGGATATTAAACTGATCGGAGACTCTATAAAAACATTACAACCTTGATCAAAGAATGACTCTACTTGTGTCACGTTATTTGTAATAAGAGTTTTTATTCATCATAAAAACTAGATTTTCTTCTTCACGAAAGTGATATGAATAAAGCTTCCACGGTCAATATTTCAGCCGCAGTTGCGGGGTAAGCGCAATGAGGCACCGCGACCTCGGCCCAGAGCAGGAGAAGGAACAGGGGAGTTTTTAGTCAGTAAGAGTCGACACTCCCTCCCGCCCGGCCCTGGACGGGAGAAGTCATTTGATGATTTTCCCCTCAAAAAAAAAACGGTCAATATTTCAATTAGTTATTCGAAAACATTCTTGTCAACTACGATGTCAACACATTTTGTAGAACATGGAAAATCTTCAATCGTATTTTTCGCGCCACAACATGTATTTGGCGCCTAAAGCTACGTCACATCCGCCTCTGGTAGCGTCTGCAAAGAAAATGATGTGATTTATTTTATATCGCACTGTTAAACATTTGCAGCTGATTCTGTTTTGTTTTAAAACATTCAAAGTGATATTTAATCAGCTGGGTTTGCCGTTGTGAGCGCAATGATTTACAGCGGCCTCGATCTGGAGTCTGTAGAAGAAGGAACGGGGTGGTTTTTAGTTAGGAAGAGTGTGACACGCCCCCACACCCTCCGTTTTCACCCCTCAAAATAGATGTTATTTTAATAAAGTTATAAGCTATATTAAGGTTGTTCAAGAATAGCTATCATACCAAGAAGTGGGCCCTTTCGATTATGAAGAAAAAATAAATATCTCGACGAATTGAGAACCTCCTCTTTTTTTGAAGTCGGTTAAAAAGAAAGACAACTTCTGGCTTGCGAACAAATGGAAGTAAAACAAGTTGGCTCCACTTATTGGATTACAATATTATGGTTCAATAATGTAAAGTTAAGGGCAAAACAGAAGAGTAATATGCGGTAATTTAAATTGATGACTTTTGTTAACGTTTACACTAACCCACGTCTTTCTGTGTGGCCATCCATCTTGATCGTCATAAAAGCGCAGTCTTCCGCTACTATTTAAACTCGTCTGATCCTCCAACAGGAAGCAATGGTACATCAAGGACTTTAATTATCACACGCAGTAGATACAATCTTTTAAAAGTATCACTCATTTCCTCTACATCGTTTTTTTCAACGCTACAACGTGACAACAATATTTCACGCACAGTGCACAATATTTGTGAATGTTTATTTATGTGTTTGTTACATATGTGTAAGCACACGGTGACGTCAACCACCTGACCGAAACTTTGGCAGGAGACACGGGCTCTGAATAATTGACTCTCCGAAATCGTTCACAAGTTTCTTAGTCTGGAGTTCGGGAGCGAGTGACGTGATCGTTCGTCGAGAACCACGCGTTTCTCAACAGTATAATTCCGAATTTCGGTCGAATATTACCAGTGTAATAACTAGTGGAAACGTGTCTCAAGTGATCAGTCCAAAATAATTAAAGTGTGCTCACAAAACGGTAAACCAATATCACCATTTTCGTTCCTGTATGCAAATTTTTATATGTTTACATGACCGTGCAATAAAGTTCGTGGCACTGAAAATAAAAAGCTTTCAGTATTGGACAACGCTATAAAATCGGGTATTACGTTTTAATGATCCGAATATTTCCTGCCAAGCATCGAGTTAAAGAAACGTGGCTAGGCAACGTCATAAAATAAACAATAGATTTTTGTAAAGCACCAATGTAATCTTATTATTAAACCGAAAAAAAAAACAATTTAAACATTTCTATGCTAGACATTTGGACGAGGAAATCGGAAAGCATTTGGTTGCAAAAGACAACGGTTTTTACTTTATTTAATGATTTTCTAAAATAAAAACGACATTTTTCTAAAAACAAAGATATTAATCACCTTTTTTAAATAAAATTGAATTGAAAACGCTTGTGCGGTCGTTTCAAACGTGACGTGTTCAAAGTCGATGATGTTTAGAAGATATTTCGAGAGCACGACGCCGCCATCCGCGATATTTTTAGAGAGGAGACTTTTTACAAAATAAACGGCGTTGTTGGGGTTAGCGGCTGATTTATAAGAACGCTATGTTAATGCGTAATTTAAAACCATAAGTGAATGCTAATTATAAAATTCAATGAATCTTATACTGTCTATCGATTACTTACATGATGTAGGTAAACAAGAAATTAAAGAAAAAGTCGGCTGTTAACTTGCAAATTATCATAATGAACATGCTTTTGTGTAAATAAATACCTATGTACCACACTATGAAACATTCGTTGGTATCTACAACAAAGACGAATACTGCGTTTGTAAATACCAATTATAAAATGTTTATTACCCAGTTGGCGCCAACAAACTTTTGGCTTCAGCAATAAACAACGAACAATCTACTTAACATATCCCAAAATCTTAGTATTTAGTAAAATACCGAGCCTATATTTTCGCTTGGCCATCTAATAGAGAATTTGACATGTAATCGCGCTAAAATAGCGAAGGTCGGCCATCTTGGCAAACGCCATGTTTATTTACGTCCGCGAATGCCATCAAAGTGCACCGCGTCGGGGCCGAAACACGTGCTACAATCAATTTCACTGTTCGTGCTCCATGTCTTAGCTTTTCAGCTTTCAGGAATTCTCATTAAGTAAATTGTTATAAGACTTTAATTGCTAATTCCTACTGCTAATTAGAGACCTGCGTTAATTAAAGACGGTCTTAGAAGGAAATTGTCTTTCATTATTTATCCTGTATAACTTGTTTGAATTTACAACCAACCTTTTTTAGTTGTAAAAGAACACTTTCTCTGGTGGAATTTTATACCTGTTGAAAAAGTATTTTAATGAAACTGTGATACTGACCGAATGTATATTAAAATTACAGCCGTATTGAAAAAGCAGTCGACGATCAGAGACAAACCCGAAAACGGAGTGTCACAGCCCGTAGAAGAAAAACTAGTCAAGCCATCAGCGGCAAAACAAGCTGATCAGGCAGCGAAACCAACTGAAGAAAAACCAAAATTCACTAAACCCGCACTCAAAAGTGCTTTAAAATCGGAGGACAAGCCCTCTAACGACAAAACAGATAGTCCAACTCTTAGAAGCGTAAGAACTATAGACGACAAAGCTAAGGAAAAATCTGTAACTATAGTAGACAAAAGACCAGAGAAAAATGGTCCAACCAAAGCAAATAGCCCGGTGAACGACAAAGCAGTCAATAATAATAAAATAACGAGTAAAGATACTAAACCTGTAACAAAGGTTGTCAATGATAAACCTGCAGCTAAGGCTGCAGCTGAAAAACCAATACCAAAAGCTCCTGAGAAGGTAGTATTAAAACCTGTAGAAAAGGTTGAACTTAAACCGACGCCTGCTAAGGAGGACCCCAAACCGGCAACTACTAAACAAGAGACTAAACCTGTACTCGCAAAGCCGGAACCCAAAACCCCGGTGTCAAAACCCGAGCCTAAAGCCTCTGAGAAAGCTGTAGAAAAATCAGAAAGCACAGATATGGCCACTAAACCACCACTAGAGAAGACTCCTTCAAAGGTAATGCAGTACCGAATCTAACGACTTAACTTTATCTAATGAATTTTATATATTAACAATCTCTATTACGTAGGCAAGTTTCTATTATGTAGACAGTTTTTCTGTTTGTGATCATTTTCTGTTTCTATCCCATTTTTTAATTATTTTATTTCACCAGAACTATAGACGACAAAGACCACCATCACTAGATTTCTTTTTCAAACCACCTCATCTTTCTAAGTTTCTTTTTAACATTAAAACAATCTTGGTTTTCAGCTCCCACCGCGCAAACCACCGATTCAAAAGCAACCGTCAAAGGATGACGTACCCGTTAAGAAATGGCGGGACCCCCTGCATGAGCGTGTCAAGGAAAATATTGATAAAACTCTAAACAATGAGATTCCTAAGGGTCACACGCTCACCAAAAATGAGAGCTTGAGAAGTGAGTATTATTTGAGTTCTATGTTATTTATAACAAGGTAGATAATGACTGGTTTATTTTCTCTTTTATAGTCCATTATACACTGATTAAAACCAACCATGGAGTCATGGGAATTCGAGGTGTCCCCCACCTTTTCCTATTCGTATTGTTTTTCTTCATCTTTAGATTACAATCATCGTGGTAATATAATTGACATTACGATTTAAAAATAACAAATTATAACGTAGTTTACAATGTAGGTAATTCGGCTTGATCTAAAAAAAAAACAATCAATCAATTCTTAAAGAACATTATAACAATTTGCACTTATCTGGACAAACAACTTTATCTATACTTGCCTAATCAATGTCTATATTCTAATAAAAATAACTTTAGTTACAGCGACGATCTTAAGAAGAAGGATTAATAAATACCGTATCAAATCTATTAATGTGGTAGTAGTAGTAGTAGTATGCATTATATCTGTCTATTTATTGGTAGCTAGTTCATGACTGACTCAATTGGATCTAGAATAGATTGGACAAAGAAAGTTCTCTTTTTGCCTAGTTGTGACATCAACATTGACACAGTAGTGCTTACTTTCTTGAGTATTATTAGACTGTTGGATCACATTCGATCGCTAGCGGTGACATCAATCTGAATCGACGTTGGCACTACCTATTGTCTGATACGTATGAGATTATTGTTTTCAGATATTATCATATCTTCAGATTTATTTCGCTATTACCTATTTAAGTGATATGTTTCTTTCTTTACTTAAACCTATCGTTAAAGTTCTATGACTAATTCAAATGGTCATTCCATATTTCTAGAATCTTTCTTCAATTTTGCTTCCGTCCACTCGTTATTTCTGTGTCGCTTATACAGGCAGAAACTTGTCTCAAATATTGTCCTTGTTCAAGTCATCATAATATAAACCTTCCTATGACCCCTAATATTTGATAACTAGTAAATTTTGGAGTTATATTGCGTGCATCTCTATCAAAGTGTTCGAAGTACTCAATCATAGTTTTCAAATAGGACTTTATTTCACCATATTTTTGTTATTAAATGATTCAGTTTCTATCGCCACACGCTCTAATATAATACACTTTGGTATTGGTATGTCCCTCTCAAATGCTGCATCTTAACAACATCGTTACCTTTTGATCTCCTGTATGTCCGTCCAATTTGTGGTCTAGATGCGGTCCAAAATAGTACCGTGCAGTTCCGCATACGTCGCGTGCACTGATCAGGTGTAAATGCACCCATACTTCAGTTAACATGCACACTTACTGCAAAGCGCGTCTATCCCGAATCCCAAACTGTGTCGTGTTGTGTTTTGAGAATTGTGATATAATTTTTGTGGATTATAAAGAGCGTTTGTTTTAATAAGTGTTAAGTGAACTGTTTTAAAAATGGCCGATTTGGAAGATGATCCTCAGGGAAATCTGTTTAAAGGTGATTTTTTTTTTGCCAGTAGAACCAATTAGAGAGCATACTTTTAGCAGATTTAAATAGCAAATTACAAATACATGGAGTTGTTATAAAGATTGATCAATTTGCATTTCTACTTCTTTATCTTGTGAGAAGATTTCTTGCCGTTTATTGCTTAGTGCCAGGTGCACTTCAGACTGATCAAGAGCTTACACGAATAAGTCTATTTTATAGTGTATTTGAAAACTCACCTTCCTATAATGTCTTTGTCTTCTTTAGAAACTTTCGAATCATTCTTATCTGAATGCAAAAACCTACCTAAAACAAACATTTTCTTACAATATCACGTACATACACATACATGTGCAATAATCAATTTTCCATAAAGGTTTGCTGAAGCCCACACCGCCTCCAATGCCACCACCGTTGCCGCCCAAGATGCCCCCACCACCAGAGTTCAAGAAATCGCCTTTGGACCCTGACAAGCTAAAGAGGATCGAACAGCTCCGCAGCAGACCTAGAAGGAGACCAGACTGGTCTGACATGATGAAGGAGGTGGAACAAGGAAAGAAGTTAAAACATGTTGTTTGTAATGACAGGTAAGCTTTGGTAAAATGTCTTTTTTATGATATGACTGACCAGGGTGTGCCCAATTTATTAGTTAATCGTAACCGTGACTACTAAACGAGGGGAAATTATTGTTTTATCGAAAAAACAACTTGTTTGATGTCCAAAAAGGCATTTTTTATATCATACCGGGCCCATTTTTCGATAACTCGTTTTATTACAACCAGATTACATAAATTGCAGCTGCAATACTTTTGTATTTGTGGTGCAATTCTTATTAATAATATAGCCATTTACATTAATAGTTGATAACTAGATTAAATTATTAAACAATGAATATTTCGGTGATGCAATAAGGACAAAACGTAATGAGATTGGACAACTTATTAGTAATTACAAATGCGATAAACTGAAAACCAATTTCTTAGAAAAATATTTTGCTCAAACAGACAAGTGTACTCTTCCACCTACATGTGATGAAGCATTTTCACTTTTAATGTTAAAACTATGATTAACAAAATTAAAACTGAATTCCAGATCAAGTCCAATCATAACCAGATCAGCAGTAGTGAAGAACAAAGGACAGTTCATATTCGAATCAGAAAAGCCGAACTCACACAATGCTTTGCTAAAAGAGATCTCAAAAGGAGTTAAGCTGAAGAAAACGAAGACCAATGACAGAAGTAAACCGAATTTGGAAGGCTTGAGGAAGTTCAGAAGACAAATGACGATTGAGGAGCAAGTACAGAAGAGCATGTCGCAAGCTAATCTAGCTGCATCACCGTCAGGAGTCGGCTTGGCGGCAGCCGAGGCCAGCAACTCACATGTAAGTACACAAGATACAATAATACTAAAATTAGAAACTCATAAATAAAACGATTTATTTCTTTTTCAAGCTAATGCATAGTTAAATGCAAAATGCGCCCTCTTGACCGTCATGCTCTCACAGTTTTATTACCCAATAAATATACGAGACAGTTGAATAAATCTGTCAACAAATTAGGTACTGTAACCAATGCGAAATTGAACCAGATGCATGCTTAAATGTAGTGGAAGCTAAATGAATCGAATTACAGATTCCTGGTGTGTTACCACCAGAGGAAGAAGACATCGATGAAATGGATGACATCGATAAGGTCAGAGATGATTTACAGTCAACAAAGCAGTTGCTAGCTATTGAATTGAGGTAAGCTCAACTAATCATTGCAAAATGTAATGTAATATACCGATGCCAATTAATTATCTGAAGGCGTAATTAAATAAATGTAGCAAAATGCTGAATGTGGCAATAATCAACAAGAAAATAAAAAATCTTCAAATTAAACTTATTTACAATACACGAGTAAACCAAAGTCAAACCAGGTAATCAAATACTATAGATGAATGTTCAAATATTCCACAGAAACAAAGAGGCTCAAGAGAGAGAAAACAAACGACTCTTAACAAGGATAGCAAATTTAGAAGCAGAATTAGCAAGAGAAAGAGCGTTCATCAAACAGGAACAACACAAGACTGTGATCTCTGTCACTGATGCATATGATGAAAGACTAGTAAATAACCTAAAGATGGAAGTAGAGAAAACTAAAGAAAATGCTGACAATTTGGAGAAACAATACTTACAAGCTGCAGAAGATAGAGACACAGCACTCACAGAGTTAGAAGAAGTGAAGAGAAGGAATGCAGAGTTAGAGAAGAAGTTGGAACAAGCTATGTCGGTAAGCTATTGTTATTACTCTAGCATTAAAAATATAAAGAATAAGACAAACTGTTACGAACATAGTAGTTTTTAAAATCAAATGCTTATTCTCTGCTTTTACTAACAATTTCCAGGGTGAGCTAGAAGATTATTCTGAAGAGCCTTTGTCATTTTACCAAAAACGTCAACTTGATTTCGCTAAAGAATGCAAGTTGTTAAATATTGAAATAAATTCGCCTGAAGCCGAAGCGCTGATGAGAAGGAAGCTTGACGCTAACAATAACAGTATTGCTAAATCTAATGCTTATACTAACGTAGCTGCTGGTGAGGTATGGCTTTATCATTATTTTACCATACGATAGAAATTTATAGTCACCCTTACTACTAATGATTTGAACACTATCTGCACATTTATTGTGTTTCCTAATAATAACCACTTTACAAAATAATAAATTATATGCAAAATAAACGCACACACTTCTTTTCCTCATTTTCTTATCTGTCTTCAAAGAAGAGAGAACTTTCTTTCAATTCAAAATTTTTTATTTAATATTTCACGTCACTCAGTCATTTTCTTAAATTAATTACTCGCACAGTCATACTTCATTCTATATTCGTATAATATGACTCATAAAATATATTTTGTATCAAATACAACTATGTATAATATTTTGTACGCAATAATTACAGGGCATCATGCCAACAAGTATGGGTTCACGACGCTCGAGCCACGCCATCAAACAACTATCTGTCACCAAGGACGATAGCTTCGAAGAGGAAGAAGATTCTGATGAGGGAGAGGTATTAGATACTTCTATTAATCTTAAAAGAAATAGAGATTCGTTACAAACTAAATACCTTGCTATACTAGTAATTGAGGCAGATTTTAATATTATCAGATAAGATCGTAAAAATACTTAATTGCGAATATTTAAATGATGAATCTTTAAAATTTAAGATGAATTAATGGTGATTTTGCTATTCAAATTCAAACTGATTCCTTCGGGGAACAGGAATTTAGTCCCCAAAGATCGGTTTGGTCGGAATAGCTAGGATCCTCAATACAGGAGAGGTGATCAAGTCTCGCGGACTACCGCTAAATAGTTAAGTTAAGGTTTCTGATTTATTTCATTGAAATGAAATAAAAACCAGATTGAACATTGTGACTGCAAATAATATGTAATTTACCTAGTATGTTTTGAATAAGCCTTGTACCTACTAATCTCAAAAACGTAACATTACAGGAAGAAAGTGAGGAGAAAAAACAGAAGAGAATGGAAAAAGAAGTCCGCAACATGAGGAACAAGATCCGATACCTAAAAGAGAAGCAAGACCACATGAAACGAGAGAGAATGGGATTCAAGATGTCGCTGAAGAACCAACAGGCAGCACTGAAGTAAGTCGCTTACCTTTGATAATTTTGGTGAATTATCGTTAGTTTTATTAACAATTGCTTACTAAAGTTCGTTCTTTAGTAAGCAATTTTACAGGTAAAGAGGTCATTGGAACTGGATCATCATCATCATCATATCAGCGACAGGGCCTGTGGCTGGAACTGGATAGATTAATGGAAAATGAGATGCACATGTTCTAGTCTCCTTTACAGTGGATGAAGACATGGTTTTTAAGAATTAGTTAAAAAACTTTTTGTCAAATTTTGGAAGCTAAGTTTATACACCACAACACAATTATTGCTTTTTAAACTAGTACAGTAACTTACCTATTAGTTCCTTGGACAAATTTCACAGAAGCGTCAACTATATTCTCTGGACCAAATTTTCTAAATTAAAATATATTTGGAAGGTCTTGAAAACAAAAGTATCACTTAACTGATGAACTGTGTGTTTTACTTTTGATTCAACTTCAAGAAGCTCTTGAATATATACCATTTTTGTACTTCCGTAGTATTTCATAATCGATAGGTAGTCAGGATTATTTGCAGTATTTATCGACACTATGACCTTAAACAAATCTATCGTGGTCTTCATCTGTCCTTTAAGCAGTTAATACGAAACATGTGTAAGCTTACGACATGCAATTCATTTCAACTCCAATCATTTCTTCATTGTTTATCAATACTATATGCTTCCTGATGTTGTTTTCGCTTCGGCACAACAAATTCTTAAACGTTTCAACTTCTGTAAAATTACTTCAATTACGATAATCTTATCGAACAATCGAATTTATAATGTTATCAAAGATAGCAAAAAATATTATTACGATTGTTTCTATTTTTTCCTTCAAATTCCTATCTGCATCAATATCTACATTGATCGACGTGTGTAATATTCTCCTCATGGATATTTGAAATTGCGTATAGTCTTCTGACCTGGCCTCTTTCTTGACTGAGTCATCATAGCTAACCTAGCTTGCCGTGTTAATTCTTCTATAATCCACATAGGTTGGGTAACCATATGGTGGTATACCACCGGTATAATCTTGGTAATTTATTGGTACATCTTCATTAACAATAATTTTGATTATAATAATAACCCGCAAGTGTGGGAGAGCCATGTTTCGGCACGAATGGGTCGGCTCGACCGGAGTGATACCACGGCCTCACAGAAAACCGGCGTGAAACAACTACAGTATTGTGTTTCGCCTTGTGAGTGAGGTTACCGGAGGCCCAATCCTTCCCCTTCCCAATCCCTCCCCAGTTCCTAAATCTCCAAATCCCATGGACATCCGTAACTCCTCCGTTACGGATGTCCATGGGCGGCGCTGGTTGCTTACCATCAGGTAATCAGTCCGCTCGTTTGCCGACCTATTACATTAAAAAAAAAAACCCGTAAAGATTGACACCCAAACAACAACTTAAATCTGTCAATAAATATATTAGGTCAACTTTCTCATTTAAAAAAAACTTTCCGTTAGGTTGGGTTACCCATCCATATAAACAATGGAAATATTGATCAAAAATTTTCCACACTCCTACTAAATACGTTTGAGCAGGTGATAAAGTTCTTAATCAAGTTTTTCCATAGATATTATCGACTGCACCGTCTTGATTTTCCTATCATTACAAATTTATTTTATCAATATTTTCATATTATTAATGTATTTTTTTTTTATAATTCAGGGAGGAAAAGCGAAAATACAAGGAGCTAAAACGTGAAGTCGACAAGATGGCTGCTATGATGAAGGAATGCGGATCAGATGATGAAGATGATGAGGAGGAGGAAGAAGAGTCTGAAGAGGAGAAGAAGTCAGAAACAGAAGAAGAAGAAACCGAGACTGAAACAGAACAAGACACAGAGAGCGAGACAGAAAGTGAAAGTGAACCTGAGGTGAGTTAGCATTTACTGACATGTCTAAAATAAATTATACATAAATTAATATTATGGAGTCAATTAAGCTTTAACATTTAACTAACAAGGAAACCCAAATTTTCCAGGATGCTCCATTACCAAAGAAGAAAGAAAATCTCACAAAGAGGGTGAAACGCCACGAGACCAGGGTTCACGCGCTGAAGAAGGGCAACGCTCTCTTGATGGCCAACGTAGACCGGCTGAAGGACGATGTTTTGAAACAGAGAGAAGAATCCGTTACATTGCAGAAAGAACTGGACTCTCTAATTGACGATCTTGAGTGATTAAATTTTAAAATACCTGTTCTAAAAATAATTAATTCTATCATGTCGTCCAGAGATGGTGCTGTATTGTGTTGCTAGTCACAAAAATGTATAGCAGTGTGGTGGTTCCTATGTATATCTATGTTTATTGATGTTACTTCTTGAGCAGTTCGGTAATATGGCCGAATCGTTACTATATAGGTTTGAAACGCCTATTTTTGAAGTTGAATAATACGCAGATTAGGAAATTTATTTTGTGCAGACAGCAACACAAAATTTCTCTTTCTCTGACGATGTCAATGACATTTAGGTAGGTACCTATTATACATACCTACGATTCAGGTGATTAAACTCAATTTCTATCGTCTAGTAAAGTTGTTATCCGGCCTTAAATTTTCGCCTTCAGACGGACATTTTTAATAAATAACAGATTGTCTTAGGTCATTCTTATCGTTCAACGTTCGTACGTGGTATTCATTTGATAAGATTATTTAAAACTTTTTATGATGCTATAATCATTTTACTCATTTGCTACTGATTACGTCGATTCGATCGGAAAATGCCCTCAATTTCGTATCCAAGAATCTCAGATAACGATTTAAACAAGCACTCACTTACGTCATAAATCGACTAAGAATTTTCTCGTTGCTCTAGTTGTTGTAATAATCGTATCTACTGAAATATCTTACTTTGTATAATTTTATTACGGTAACAGTTCGATTTAGATAGTACAATAAATATAAACTTTCAAATTACTTTACGTAGATAGTCGAAATATTTTCTGAATTGACTACCTATTCCTTAAAAACAATTTTAATAATATTTTACTTTTAAAAGGCTTTTTAATACTTAAATAAGCAATTTTTGCCAAATCATACTTAACGTTTGTATTTTATAAAAAAAATATCTATTTCTAAATTCTTATGTAAGTATTTAATTTTAAATTTTAATCTTAACAATGAAAGTTATTTTACTGTTTACTTAATCTTCACTCATTATTGCTATCATGTGATTTGTACATAATATTTTTAAGTTTAATAATTATTTATAAAGTACCTATAGTACTATTGTATTACCAAACGGCACAATAAACTTTTACATAATACGTTTGCAGTTTATTTATTTTTCAAACTATTCCTACCCATAATGAATTATATACATTTTTATGTATTACAAACACCAAGGCTTTTTTTATGGAGTAGTAGGCAAACGAGCAGACGGATCACCTGATGGTAAGAGATCGGCACCGCCCATAGACACATGCATACATGGCAACACCAAAGGAGTCACAGGTGCGTTGCCGGCCTTTAAAGAAGGAGTACGCTCGTTGCTTCAAGGTTTAAAGGTCGTATCGGTTCGGGAATACCGCCGCCGGAAGATCATTCTAAATTTTGCTGTGCGGGGCAGAAAGTTTCGCGTGAATTGCACAGTTGTTGACTGCCACTGTCGACGTCCAGGCCGCTCTACGTCGCCGTCGTACTCTAAGGGTAAAACTGCGTGCGCTCGAGGCAAGACCAAAGTAATTTTGACGCCCCCTTTCACTTTGAACGTGAACTTCTGCAACATCAGGGGATTATACACTACCCCCGATGCTGACCATCACCACCTTGAGATACCAAAGCCGGCCTTTCTCTTCCCGACTGAGGCGCAGACTTCGTCTCCGTCGGACACAGCTTACCTCACCTACCCTGGGTATGGACTACAACATATCTTCCTACCCAGGGCCGGGGTGTGCATGTACGTCAGGGACGATATCAGCTCTCGTAGCCTCGGAAATCTCGAAGCTACTCTCGCGCGGTTTCACCCGCTGCCCGGCTCCATTTGATCGTAGCGTGATGTTTTATAGCCTATATCACTCAGGAATATTGTAACTACCTATCAATGAAAGAATTTTAGCAGCGATCGGCCGACCGATCAGCGGTTCTAAAGATTACCCCTTACTTACAAACTTACAAATTTTACCTCTTTATAATATTAGTACCTAAAGACTATGGTCAGCTTTGGCATTCGCTCACAGCAATATGCCAAATGGTCAAATATAATTTAAACCTAGAAAAACATTGGTATTGGTTTCTATAATTAATTATTATAATAATACTTATAATAAAATTATGTCTGTCAGTCAGACTGTTATATTTTTCTTTATATAAAAGGTTTGTTCTGTATTCTGAGTATAAAAGGTACCTGTCTATTGAAGAATCAGCCCTTAGATAATTAAACCTAAAGTTTTGGGTCATTACAAATAAAACACGGAATAAATTATGATCTTTTATTTCGATTTTTCTCCGACTTTTCTAATTCAGAAGAATCTAAGTAGAATTCATCGGAATCGCTACCAACTTCTACAATACAGTTTTCAATTACATTTTCACTTATATGACCTAAGCGGCACATCTAATCTTCGACTTTAAATGACGTGCGCGATACAAGCACGCCAACGTACAGGGGTCACTTCACGAAGTCCTAGGTATGAATTTAATTCCGGACTTTGTGCATTTTAAAAGTCTTATTATTTTTAGCTACACCCTTTTACCTGTGCCGACACTAAATCAATCAGGTTAAGCTCACAATGGAAGGCAACCGTAAAATAGTGACCCCTCTTTTAGCAGCAATCTCGTCCACGACGTACCTATTGTTCATAACCTTTCTCTTTCCGGACTATTTCAAACAGTTCGGCTTTCAGCATAGATTCTTGAATGTATTTTTCTTTTAAGTCAGTCTTGGATTTTGCCCTTTCGTCAGTTAGAACTTGGTAGGAGTTCAACTTTTCTAGCGTGGTATGGTGCGTTGTTGATTAATAGCACAGAGTTTTTAATTTTGGGAAAATCCCTTTCAACCACTCTTGATATTGCTCCGAGTTCATTTCTTTGTGGCAATCTTCAAGTTCTTGGTTAGTGGGTAGCCTTAGGGCACATTCTTGGCTTAAAATATTAACAACCCATCGTCTAGAAACCCTTCCTCAATTCCTATATTATGTGACACTACCTTTGCCAGTAGGTCCTTTTAGCCCCATTGTTAAACCTTCTAAGTAAGCTTGACGAGACGATACAATATTTTGGTCCACCCAGTGCTTGTTTGTGGTGTGACCTTTAAAGTAAAGAACTATTAACACATACCGAAAAGACAGATAAACATTACAATTAAAGCATATAAATAAATACTTTCATTAACCCATTTCTCATCTTGGTAATAAATAAAGCGCCCTTCTATACGATACCTACTGCTTTATTTTTAGTAGGTATCGATGACGCCATTATGTCTTCTTGGCCGATTAAAGCACTGCGGCGTTTTCTGGTTACGTATTAAAAATTTAAATGTTTCATTATCCTGTGCAACGTTGTTCGTGAATATGTTGTTAAATCTGAACCATCGTTTACGACTTGTAAGACCTAAAAAAAAATTATTTACACTCAAATTATTGTTGACTTATTAAAATATCGAAACAAACACTGAACAGCGAAATTTTAAAGTTTTAAATGGTATTTATGCCATTTTGATTGCAAATATAAAATAAGCAAAGAAGTTGAAGTTAATGAAGTAAAGATTTTTTTATATGTACTTATGCCCAATTAGAAGTCTGTTAGGTACTGATGCATATATAAAGATTCGTATTAACTTTAAGTATAGCTTACCTTGGCTAAGGTTGGTACTTCGTTTTCATAAAAGAACTCATGTTCTTTTCGACGTAGGTACGTAAGTAACCGTGAAAAAAGTGTACGTAAGGTAACCTACAGCTGATAGCGTGAAGCCGTACAATTTGTCCTTGAAAATTAATTCGGACCAAGCTTCTTTGGAGGAAAATAAGGTCCTTATTGTCTTTCAACACTCGGATGGTCGATGTTTGCGATATCAACAGATAGTTTTTTTTTATCAGTCTTTTTTAGTAGATGTACTAAATTTAATACTGAATGATGAAGTAGACGGTAACGTGCCAGATTCGATCTCGTAAGCTAAAATGTTAATGTTCCAATTAAATTCAAAAACACGAATCCAACAAACAACAACAAGCACACTTGGAAACACAGAGCACATCCATGAGCAATGAGAAATTGAAATAATAAAACAGCTTTTAAAAAACCGGCCAAACATTAAAGCCCACATGGCTGACACGTGATTCGACCAAAGAGAATATAAGCCTCCTTCTTTATTACATACACAGATTACATATTATTTTAAACCTACCTCTTTGATTTAAGCGCTACGTTTAGATTTGACGAGACTCGTCAACACACAGATGACACCATGCAAATTGGCTACACCTAGTGGTGTCATTTAAAAACGTTAAAAAAATTAATGAAAACGCGTGTTGTCGCTTCGGTTGGCAGTGGACATTAATTGTTATATTAATGTTTAACAACCACCGTAAGAATTTCAAATTGAAATGAAACAAAAAACTCAATATTTTTGCATTTTATTTTAAATTATTAATATTCATTCAACTAAACTATAAAAACACCACCGCAACGTTGTAATATATTCGTCGATAAAAAAACGGTAACGGTATTTTAAAACAAGATGCTCCGGCCGATTAATAGGTTAAAAAATCTGGCCACATTATTTTGTAGTTCGTTCGTTCATTTGCAGTTGTTAAATTGTTGTCTCTAATTATGGAACGAACTATATTATTTAAATACATATTCTAATTATATTAGAATTGGCGTTGTAAAAAGCGTAATAAAACGTTTAAATAGTGTTTTCACTTTCTTGAATGATAATATCTAGTTATTTTATATCTTTGAACGTTTTATACTGGCAACACTTAAACGTCACTATGGCATTTTGATTGGCTTAAAAGACTAGTATCCAGGCCATAAATTCCATAAAAAAATTGGCGTTTTGAATTAGGATTGTTTGTTGTCAAAATTTCAAAAACAAAACGGTCGTACGCGCGGTAAAGAAGTTGCATGATAATTTTTGATAAGAAAGTAAATTATTAAACTAAAATAGTTTTTTTATATTAGTTTAAGCAGTGTAAGGTTAATTTTGATTTAAAAAATGCCTCCAACTGACGCAGAAGTGCCGCAACCAGTGGCGGCGGCAAAACCGAACCCTCGGAACAATCCTACAATGTTCAAAATATTTCAAAACGTACAATACAATGTTGTTCAACACAAGAAATATGTGAAAGAAATGATAAAACTGTATAAAAAGGTAAGTGTCACAAACAATCTGCTATAAAAACTAAATATATTTACTTGTTATGAACAAAATAATACTTTGGCTTACAACACTACTATTGCTTTTTACTAAGTAATTATGAGTGGATTTCGCTTAGAAAAGCCAGCAAAACTTATCAATACCAATTATTCCATGCTTAACTTACTTATTTAAATGTCCTAGTCAAAGAACAATAATTTCTACAATATTAAAAGCAAATGAACCAGCCTTTTCATTTATTATATGTAACTCGATATATTTTTCTAGTATACAAACTCATTTTGCCTTGTTTTACAGCTTGATGAAGACAGTTTCCGAGAGAGCTTTAGGAATGCATTACAATACTTGTTTACATTCGGAGACACCAGTGCCAATGTAGACAGAGTTGTACAGTTTGTGGCATCATTCTGCACCTCCCTTGATGATGAGGAAGAATTCTTATTGTTCATATTCAATATTATTTTCGATGTAAGTACCAATGTAATGTTTTTTATTCTGTATGCATTTGCACAAAATTTGTTTCAAAGACTTGAATGCCATTGGTATTCTTTTTTCTCAAACCTTTAGGTGATGCAGGATCTTTGGATCCTACAAAATGTTGTCTGTGTGGGAAACAAACCCGCAAAAAATTTCACAGCAGCCAGTTTGAAACAGTGGCTGGGCACTGTGCCAACTACGCAATCAATAAATTGTTACAGTTTAACATAAATGTTTCTAAACCATTGTTTGCTAAGCAAATTCTTAATGTAAGGCCAACTATCACCAATTTCAATTAGTTTTTAAACCAGCTTAAGATTATCTTCGGTAAATAAGTTAATAACTTTATTCCAGTGTCAATGTGTGTCCGGTCAGTCAGTAAGGTACAGAGCCAGTCAGCTGCTGGCTGCTGTACTGTCAGCTCTTGGTGATGATGCCTCCTTGGATGATGACCTCTGTGACAAACTACTAGCCTCACAGGTAATATTGTTTTATTACTTAGGTTGTGTATTTTTTTTTTTTGTAGTAGTATTAGTTTATGTTTGAAGTTCGAACCAATCTTATAGTAAATGATGAATTAGCATTTTCCACACCAAAGCTTTCTCAAAATCTTTATGAAAGGGTAACAATAATCTATCCACCAAACTCACCAACTTGTTATAGTTGTTTTATGATACAAACAACCACCCTATTTGTTATTCAGGTACAATAATTATAATGGTCAAGTTATGCCTTAGTATTAATTTTGTTCAAAAATTAATTTTATGTACGGAGTCAAGTGTTATCAAATAATAAAACTAAGTATGGCAGTAATTTTACTAATCTTATGAATTGTTACTCTATCACAAAAAACTTTAAATAGATTATGATAAAGAAGAAGCACAGAAGTACATTGTAACTTTTCTCTTATGAATTGCAGTTCATTAGACTCGTTAAAACTCAATAAAGAATAAACCAACATTGCTTATTGTGTTCTTGAAATATCCTCGGATATACAAGGAAGGTTTAAAAGGTCAGAAAAAATATATTTGAGGCAGTACGAGGTCTGCTGCAACAGCTTGTGTAAAATAACAAAGGATAACCTTTAAACCCGTTACCTGTCAGAAACACACAATCGTGACACCTAATACTCCACTTACAGATGCAAAGACTGCAAGATACCCGCGGCGCTGTACGTTGCCGTGCGGCCCTCGCTCTGCAACGGCTGCAGAACCCCATGGAACCTGATGATGAAGTCACTAGAGCATACAGGTTTCATATGAGCTGCGATCCTAGTTCTTCTGTTAGAAGGTGAGACATCTTGAGTAAATATGTACCTATGTACATTGTGCTTACTAAAGCTAACTAATAAAATGAATCATAATTCTGGCTTCTGCTAGCATTATCTCCTGTTGCTTGACACCCATTGGGAGACCGCAGGTAATTAACTAAATAGTAAACAGTCTTTGTGTGTCTTTTTAGCTATAATTGTCTAAAATTTTTAGTTTAAAATGTTTACAATCAGGTACCTATTTATGTTAATCACTGTTAGCCGATACACCACATAATATTAGCTGTTACTCACACTCACTGTTAGCTGATAAAATAAATATTACAAAAGTGTAGGAGAGCCATGCTTCGGCACTAATGGGTCGGCTCAACTAGAGTGATGCCATGGCCTCACAGAAAACAGTGGCGTGAAACAACTACAGCGTTGAGTTTCACCGTATGAGTGAGGTTACCAAGAGGCCCGATCCTTCCCCTACACAATCCAAATCTCCAAATCCCTAATTTCCAAAAGGTCGGCAACGCACTCGTAACTCCACCGTCATTGAGAACAACCTCAACTGTGGTGGAGGTACGAATCAGCGCCGCCCAAGTACAAACTTGGGCGGCGCTAATTACTCACAATCAAGTAATCCGTATGCTCGTTTGTCCACATATCACATAGATAATAAAAAAAACGGTAAGTATTTTACACGACCTCTTTAAAATAAAAAGACATATCAAGGTTTACTTTTAGTTAACCACCTAAAACCGATAGATCATAGTTTGTTAACAAAAATTTCAAATGAATAAACATATGAACAAAAATTTTCATTGAATAATAATATCTTTAATGTTTATAATTACAGAGCAATAGTAATGTCGATAGCGAAGTGCAGTCGTAACGTTCCATTCGTGTTGGAGCGGCTGTGTGACGTGGATGAGGCGGTGCGGCGCGCTGCCTTCCTGTACATCGCCGCTATCAACGTCACACAACTCAGGGTGCGACAGAGAGTACTCACGTTGAAGGTATGAATTTTTTTTACTAAGTATTGTATGAAGTTCATAAAGAAATAGGTTGGTTCTTTAGAGAAAAAACGGTGGTGACGCCTCTACACTTGAGAATGTTCATAGCCTGTTCATATGAGACTTAAAATTCTTTGTCACCTCTGTGATAATTATGTTGAAACATGTTTGGTTTTAAATAGTTAAAGAAATGACTTTACTTATCAGTCTATGAAACGATAAGCATCCTAATTTCTACACCTCAGTTTGTATAACACCAAGGATATTAATAGCTTGACTCTAAAGATATGAATGTTGCCAATATGCGACAAATTATGAATAAAATGTCTGCATACATAAATTGAGACCATTTTGCATAAATGCATAACTTTATAAACAAAACAGAACTAATGGAATATGACTTTTCCCGCCCTGTGTGTGGCTATAAGGAAATCCTTCTGCTCCTGGGTGGGGCCGCGATACATTATTGCGGATCCTAGTGTGTTCGTTCTATAGTGGTCTACAGGCACCTTGAGGCGCGCGCGGAACACAGTATCTAATATGGCTACTTCATTCAAATTCACATCGGCAAACCAATAAACGGATTACCTGATGGAAAACAATCAGGGCTGCCGATGGACACCCGCAATAACGGAGGAGTTACGAGTCTGGCCCTCTGCCTTCTCGACCGTTTGGGGATTAGGGATTTGAAGATTTTGGGACTGGGGAGTGGAAGGATTGGGCCTCAAACTAGTGCTACTTCTTGAAATTGTGTATGTACTTTACAATTTTATCTCTTTCAGGTTGGTCTAACTGAGCGCAGTGTCCGCGTTCGTCGTGTGGTAGAAGAGATCCTCATCCCTGGTTGGCTGAGCACCTTCCAAGGCAATATCGTGGACTTGCTGAAGGCTATACGATTGGACAACGCACACGATGCTAAAGACTCGCAGTATGTTGCTGGGAAACTGCTGGAGTCGTTGTTCAAGTGAGTACTTGTGTGTTATTTATACTTAGTCAGTTGGTATATCTACCTTAATATGTCTTATCTTATCGTGTTGGCCTGGAGGTGAACGCTTCGAAACCTGGCAAGTACTTAGTTTTCTAAGTATATAGACACTATTGGCACTATTGGCTTTTATTTACTTGTTTGTTTTGTGTCCTTTATGCGTCCTAGAACCATTATAATGTTTAATGTATATTACATGCATTAATTTATGCTCGATCCACTCTTATCACAAGGTTTCCCAACAGTAGAAGAACATTTTTCACTATTTGGTTATGTATTTTTGGAGCCCTTTCGATTCAAGCCAACAAACCAATAATAAATTATTTCCTCTTCATAATATTTGTATAGGAAAACTTAATAATCTTTACCCAATCTTTTACAGACGTCTACCAATATCAGAGCTCTTGGAATGGCTGCCAACAGACAGAAGCTTGCGTCTCATCCCGGCTGAGAAGCTGAATAAGGAAACCGCGTGGTACTGGCGACATCTATCGGAACATTTACAGAAGATAGACGACGATGAAACCCTGGAATCTATCCTACCTGACCTGGTGGTGCTTACTGGATATATTAGGGCGTGAGTAGTTTTGGTTCTTCTTTCCTATGGTCTATCAGTTGAAGTGGTAACTAGGTTAACAATCTTCGTATGTTACTGTACCTCAAACTTCGCGCTCCCTCCGTGCAGCGACTAATCAGCTGTTAGGGGCGAGACCCGAGCCCTTGTTTAAACTTTGCGCCCCCGCTAGTATCTTATTTTATTATAGTAATAATAATAAAAAGAATGAATCCGCAAGGCAGCTTGTGGCGAGCTGTTGGGCAGTGGCGACCCCACGGACCTGACTCCCGGGAGGTGTCTTGTTCTTCTCTCTCCGGTTAGTCCTCGTGACTAGCTGGAGTGAATACTGATGAAGAACAAGCCGTCCTACCTCATTCTTGCCTTAATTGGCTGGCTTGAGTGGAGATTCGCAAGAGTAGGAGTTGAAGGAGACTCGGGGGAAGGATGTATCTCAGTAAGGTGCTGGTAGGGGTCTTGACCGTACTTCCGGGATTGCTCTGATAGCCGTGGGATGCCTCTCCTTCCCCAAGCAGCTCAACGTATGTTGCCCCCTAGTCGCTACATGCTAGCGGCCGTTTCCGGGGGTCCATTAATTGAGTTTGCCAGTCACTCCCTGCCTGTTTATCCGTATGTATCAATATTGGTCAGGGGCAGGGGCCATAGTATTTCCATAGTTATCATATCCACCAGTCCATAGCAACCCATACCCATAACCCTCCCAATTATTACCACATTTTGCAATAGTCCTGCATCAACCAGGGATTATCCTTGGGTGCACTTTCATAGTGCATACAGGGATAATTGCCGGCTGATGTCCCATTTCACTTATATTAAAGTTTTTCAACGGGACTCTGCAAGTTGGCTTCGGCCCCTCGTACGCCTTCCAAAGGTCCGGGATCCTGTGATCCCGTGAACGGAAACGAACATACAAAAGAATGAATATAGAAAGAAGTTTTATTTGGGAAAGTTAATTGGATAATAATTTTGTCACAGTCATCGTTTTAATGTTGAAAGAAACAAGCTCCATTAGTGTTACATCAGTTCCTGTGGGACAACTTGTTAATAGGTGGCTGCAACATTGTTATCATAATTAGAATTACATATTTAAATATCGATCACTAACTATATCAGTCACCCAATATACTACTTCATACAATTTCCAGGATCGTTGAGTCCCCCTGTCCGTCAGAGACGGACGACCCAGTAGCGTTCAGTACGCGGCAGTACGTACTGCACGAGCTCGCAACAATGCTGCGGGTGTACGATGCCACCGACCCCACTGGGAGGGGGGAATTGCAGACTCTCATCACTGATGTACTCACTGGTCAGTTATTTTGCTATATTATTGTAGAAATGTATATTCCAATTGCGTTATTCCGCAACAAAGTCATAGTAATCAAATGCGCATATCTAAACTCTTTTTTGCTTTTTTTTTATATATAAATATGAATTGGATAGTTTTCTGAGTCAAATATTCGGTTTTATAATACAATTGATTATTAAAAAACACACACTTTATCTCTAAAATTTTTCGAATACTTAATTTTAATTATTTTTCTTGAAATAAATATGTTATTTGACGTAAATACATTTAAACGTCATATGCTGCGATTTCATACAAAATTCATGGAAATCTATCGTTTAGGACATGTCAATAAAAGTATTGAATTTGACTAGTTCGAAACCACTGTATAGCTCATTTGGTCTGGCTCATTTTAGTCTTCAAATATTCAGACAGGATTAAAAGCTCAGAAATACTTGATAATTTGGAATCAGTATGGCGTATTTTCAACTGACTATTACATCTTGTAATAGATGAAGAAAATTATATATAATCTGTTAATATTCGTATCCATGCATTGAGACTTGTAAGTTTTTATGAAATCTGTAAACCATAACCTTCAACATATTTTAAAGGCATGTGTCACAATCTAAAATTCCCTAATTCTAGGTGACTACGGTCCGTTGAACGCGGACGTGATACGAGCATTCGTGAATGCTTTGGAGTTGGTATTGCCCGACATAGCAGCTCGCATGGAGGTGGTCAACGGGATCATAGGGGCACTGCGCGACCCGCCTGAACCTGAACAGCCGTGTCTGCCGCCACCCATAGTCGACTGCACTGAGGCGAAGTTACAGGTTTCTTGAAGAATCATTTATAAAAACATATATTAAATATAGTAACATAGGGCTCGGGGAAGATTTCTTAATTGTATGCACTTAAAACTTTTTCAATACACGTGGATCAGTTCCGCATATGGTTAAAAAAGCCAATACACCACTATATTGGGGCCCATTTGGGCTAATGTTCAGCTGGGGTTACGGGGCAACCGCAGTAATGAATGTCGGCCTGGTTGCTAGCACTATAATGTACCGCGGCCTCGAGTTGGTGCACGAGAACATACGGGATGGTTTTTAGTCAGCACGAGTGGGTGAAACAACTTGATGATTTTGCCCATTGAGGCATGAAGTAATATTACAAGAACAGTATGGTAGCAGTTAAGTTTTAAGAGTCTTTTGCTTAAACTCACAAAAAGCACTACAGAAAGTGAACAAAAAATTAAGTCTCTTTTATATAAAGAGACTTCATTTTTTGTTCACTCAGCCATACATCATATATTTATTTTAAAATGATTAAAAAATACACTGTGTAATAAAAAAAAACTTGGAAAAGATGATTTGATGTTATACCATTGTCACTTTTCTCAAAATATGCATAATGATTTTTCGCATGTAACTGTTATGGGATTAATATTTTGTTTTCTTTTTTTATTTTTATAACAGAGGGCCAGGCTTCGAGTGTCTTTGAACGTAGCAATAGAAGCTCAAGAAGAAGCCGTCAGGGAACAGAACTATGCTTTAGCTGCAGAGTGCAAAGCTAAGGTGAGTGGAGAAAGGTCACACCAGAACAAAGACCTTTAGAAATATATAAAAAAAAAACAATATGCTTATTATCTCCGAAAACGCAACACATTGTACAGAAATGTAGTTAAGATTCTCCATTTTTACGAGGCATACTAATCTTATAGTGCAGTAAGCAATCAGCGCCAGCTATGAATGTTATGTTTTAAATTAACCTGACTCTTACGGCAAACAAAACGCTTTGGTGCTTGGTTGTTTTGTAAAGCTGTGGTAACACTGTTTTTAGTTATAAGTACTAAAGAAGCAAGCCTAGTATTAGCTTAATCTTGATGTGAAAGCAATTCAATTAAGTGCTATATTAATATTTGTTCGTTCACATAGGTGGAAGACATTCAAAAGAAGTTGGACGAGTTATCCATACAGCCTCCAGCTCCAGCGCCAGCACCCCCTGTAACGGTATGTAACTATTACCACTAAAATTTATGTCGGCATTTTCAAGAGAGAGTATGTATAATAATTGCTACAATTACAATAGTTTAATTCGAAAAAAATTGAATAAGTTGTGTAATTTCGTGAAAACTGGCCAAATTTTCAAATAATATACTTTCGTGAGACATTCTAAATTATTTATTATGTTTTCGGCTTACTCACGTAATAATTTGACGAGATACTCGACTAGTTTTAAGCCATGCTAGAGGCCCATATTAGAAAACATAATAAATAATTTAGAATGTCTCACGAAAGTTATAATAAAAATATTGCCTTTAATTAAACTGATAATTTGATTAAATTTCCTAACTTTTTATTTGAATTACATTTCGCTGATAAATTCAACAAAAGTATACCCCTTTATTACAAAACAAGATTTATCTTTAATCTAGGTTTAAACCATTGAATTAGGTTTTGTATTTTGAATCTTATTCTCATCTATCTTCAATTTGAAATACAAAAACTGGCTCAAAATTTTAGACCTAGACTAAAGATAAACCTTGTTTTTGTTGTTTGTAATAAGACCTATATATATTACATATATAGTTTGAATGTCTGCCTGACTGCCACCGATACCACCCACATTCCCACCAATATTTTTAAATACTTTTGTAATATGTTTACAGACAATAAAAGAGAAATTATCAGACACGGCGACGCTAACAAAATGTCTAACGATACTGAACAGTGCCCTAGACACGCCACAAGTCAAGTCCATCACTCCAATGATGCAGATGATCTTTAACGAGCTTGAGGTTTGTTATTTTCGCTATTAATTGTCCCATAGTAAGAATTGGGCTGGAGTCCAAACAGCTGATCGTAAAACTCGTTCGTGTAACAAGACAGAGAACTATACGAGTAAAATTGAATAAACTTAACATTAGTCCTTGAATAAGGCACGATTGTGGAGCAAGCGTCAAAATGTACCGCTGTCTCGGACTAAGGCAAAAGAAGGAACGGGGTATTTTTGACATATTACATGGACACCCGCGACGACGAAGCAATTACGAGTGCGTTGCCCACCTTTTGAGGATTAGGGATTTGGAGATTTTGGGAATGGGATTGGTGTTGTGGAAATATGTGTTTGCTTATTGTGACCTCATTTTGTTTGTGCTGTTTGCTGACCTTTGAGTATAAGGTTAACATCAACACAATAAAATATTAATTAATTGCAGGTGGATATCTTCCAAAATCCGGAAATCGTAGAGACTGCCCTGGAAACGGTGGCTCTATATGGAATGTTGGATAAGGAGTTTGCTAAGGAGAACAAAGCATTCTTCTTTGCTAATGTGAGTATGAAATAACATTTACTTACAAAATGTCATCGCAAACAGAGTGATTTTAATGTTAAACAACTCTTTTCATACGTTTTTATTTAAATGTGGCATAAGTGGAAAAGTCATGCTTCCAAAGGACCGGCTCGACCAGGGTCATACCACGGTCTCACAGAATACTGGTGTAAACAACGCGTAGGTAGTGTTTCGCCGTGTGAGTGAGGTTACCGGAGATCCAATCCTCAATCCCCAAACCCCATATCCTTCGGGGCGAAGATCCTCTGCCGCGCCAAATTAGTGCGTGGCGGAATGAGCTCCCGCGAGATCTCATGGCAGAGTGGAAACAACGACTGTCGCAACCGAGGGCCGGGCACGCTACCATAGCAGCGGTAAGACCCCTCTTTGAGGAGTGGCTTGAGAGACGCCACGGCGTCCTCACCTTCCGCCTGACTCAGGTGCTTACCGGGCACGGCAGCTTCGGTAGGTTCCTGTTTCGGATCCAGCGGGAGGAAACGCCCGAGTGTCGTCATTGTGAGGATCACCTAGAGGATACGGTGGAGCATACGGTAGCGGTATGCCCTGCCTGGGCTGAGCACCGCCGTATCCTCAGGGAAGTGATCGGCGGCGGCGACCTCTCGCGCCCGGCCTTAGTCGAGGCCATGGTGCGGAGTGAGAGGAACTGGGACGCCGTCTCCTCATTTTGTGAAGCAGTCGCACGGGCCTGCGGTCGGCGAGTAAGGGCAGCTCGCCGCCCGACCAGAACCAGGCCCGAGCGTACGGCGCGTAGCGTTCCGCGCGCGCCTCAAAGAGCCAATAGACCACCACAGACGGGGCCCTAAAGGGCTGATGTTCAGCCGGGGTTGCGGGGTAAGCGCAATGAGGCACCGCGACCTCGGCACAGAGCAGGAGAAGGAACAGGGGGGTTTTTAGTCAGTAAGAGTCTGACACTCCCTCCTGCCCGGCCCTGGGCGGGAGAAGTCATTTGATGATTTTCCCCTCACAAAAAAAAAAAACAAAAAAAAAAAAAAAACCCCATATCCTTAAATCCCTATCATCCATAAAAAACCGGCAATGCCATTGGTGTTATAAGTGTCTATGATCAACGCCGATTGCTTTTCATCAAGTGATTCTGGTCGGCTCGTTCACGGACGTATTACATAAAAAATCTTGCAAAGGATGTGTATATGTATAACTAGACCCTCTACAGGTACTTTGAAACATCAAAATAGAATAATCCACACCAATATTACAAAGAGGTAAAATTTTAGATTGTATGTAGGATGTAATCGTTGAAACCGCTGGTCGGATTTCCAAAATTCTTTCACTGATAGATAGCTGCAATGTTCCTGAATGCTATAGGTAGACTAAAAATTATATTGATTTGCTTATTTTTCTGCTACTTTTAAAATTCTAGAATACATCGCTTTTTTACGCGTGCTAAACCGCGGATAGAAGCTATAAATAAATAAAGATGTCAGTCTTTATTGAAACTAAGTTATCTTACATTTAATTACAGTTAATAGATACATCGAACGAGCGCACAGTATCAACTGTTCTGCGTTGTATAGTGGACCTACTCTGTGTGCACGGGGCCCGGGTCTTCGAGGATGACAGTCAAGAAGACACCACCGTTAACACTACTAAGAAACGGAGCACTTACCACAGTGTTATCGATGATGATGGTGAGTTTCTATAGTTTTTAAAAGGATCTTGTTTTTTGTAGCGACGGTAACGTGAACTGTGAAAATTTATGGTACTAGAATTGTGTGCAAAGAAAAAAATCGTGTGAATCCCCTTCAATATCTTAGTTGTATTTAAAATAGACACTTAGGAATTCAAGCTATTTTTCTGGCCCTATACACGATGGAGCCAGTAGTTCCGATATAGGTTTTTTTTTTTTTTGTGAGAGGAAAATCATCAAATGACTTCTCCCGCCCAGGGCCGGGCAGGAGGGAGTGTCAGACTCTTACTGACTAAAAACCCCCCTGTTCCTTCTCCTGCTCTGTGCCGAGGTCGCGGTACCTTATTGCTCTTACCCCGCAGCCCCGGCAGTTCCGATATAGGTTAACGATACAATTTGGTCGTTTTTAATTGTAATAAGGTTAAAAATCACTTAGTAAAACTAACATAGTGATAAATTGTTGTCCAGGATTTTAGACTAACCAGGTATTAGCTTTCTCTAAAAAATCGTCTATCCGACATATACATGTTTAACCTCTCCAACAGCTACTCCTCATACTCCTCATCGTCAGCCTATAATTTCCCACTGCTGAGCAAAGACTTCTTATCACATGGAGGTTTGAAGATTAATCACCGATCACGCTCAAGGCGGATTGGCAATTTCAAACTTGTAGAGTCCAGAACGTAGAGAGACGTCCCGATTTTTTTCTTCATTGTATGTCAGTGGAGTCGAAATAAACTAAGTTGAAAGTACAAATAACTTGTAAAAGTCACATTGGTACTTGCCATCTTCGCAGGCACTGCGACTAATTTTTTTTTACATTACAAGCTTCTTCTTTGCAGCCTCTGCGATTAATATTTTTATTGCATTTATTTGCAGGCAGTATATCGGAGTCAGCTATTTCCATGTCACCAGCGCATAGCACGGTTATCGAACTACTACTCAAAATTATGGACAGTACGGTAAGTAAATAAATAATAAAACAAGCATATGTAAAAAAAATCGTCAATTCCGGATATTTATTTACCTAAATTTATATACCTACTAGCGGACCCTCCCCGAAAACCCCCACATAGCAAATTTCAGTGAAATCGTTAGGACCGTTTCCGAGATAACATGCTCTTTCAAGCAATCAGTGCCATTTGTCGGTCTGATTTGTGAATCTGAACCAACCAGGGCGCCATTCAAGAAGACTATAAAAATCCCTCAGTTTTTATATATAGATATTAAGCTTTTTGTTTTTCTTACGTTTTTTCTAGTGCTCAGCATACAGATTGATCATAGTGGAAGGTCTCTGTCGCCTCCTGCACCTGGGACACCTCGAGTCTCCAGCTATACTCAGCAGACTATTATTACTCTGGTTTAATCCAGCTACAGGTATGCTAAACTTGACCTTATTTCCTATATTTCAAAGTCGATTTTCTTTTACCTCATTATTATATTTCAGATTAAAAGTGTGCTATGGGTAAATTGAACTATATCTTTTAGAAGTTAAAGTTGAAAATGCTTTAATAAGTAATGTTTGCTTCTACAGTTGATGAAGATATGCTGAGACAAACTATTGGTGTGTTCTTCCAAACGTTTCCTACGACTGTTGATGGCGCTCAAGAGCAGATTCAGGTAAGCATCGTTCACGCCTAAGCACTAAGAGACTACTACAGATGGGGTTGAACATGGCCAATACTTAGCCAGGGTCGGGGCAAGCACGATAAGTTACCGCGGCTTCGGCCTTTGTTTTTTAACAAGCTTAATTCATCAAGTTATTGCACATAATGGACTGAATGTCATGGGCATTCTCTACCAGTTAAATCTTTGATGAGACAGAAATAAACCCAAAGCGAGTACAAATGACGAAATTTTTAAACAATTATAAATACCATACTAGAATAGATTAACGAAAATGGGTAAATGTAAATAATCAAATATATATAATAACAATAATAACATAAACATATTACTTGCCAAATAAACGAATTCGGACACCGCTTATTATAGCGTTACTCTTATACAGATCCAGCTATCGCGACTTCCAAATCTTTCTTCTCGTAAACATTTTGATCTGACGGCCATTCCAGTCACCAACAATCGTGCCAATATTAACTATAGTACTTTTAAACACAGAAAGCAACCCTGCCCACTCTCCGGGCGCTTGCCAACGCGCCATCAAGCTCACCGTTGGCAGAGATCGACCAAGAAGCAGTCGTTAGGTTCATTGTGTCACTGACTAGAGTCAACCATGAGGTAAGTCGTACTATAATACACCATGGAAATTTTTTTATGGCGAATTTGTAAAAATATCCTTCACTACCGAATACTGTAGTTTACAACTAGTAAAGTTCAATAATTTTATTCAAATATCAAAAACGATACTTTTCTATGAATTTTGTATGAAACTCCATATTATGACGTCATAGTATTTTTGTGTCAAATAACTTAGTTATTTCTTAAAAATTAGATAAAAATATCAAATATTTACACCCGGTTTCTGAAAGGCTTGTCAACGCTAAAATTAACTAATCTCCTGTCAAGTCATCTGATTGGTTGACTGAATTATCAACAACCAATCAGATGACTTGACAAGAGATTAAATTGATTTTAACATTGATCGGCCTTTCGGAAACCGGTTGTTAGTGTATTAACAGATCGGTGAATAAAAGTACACACACAAAACCGACGTGAAACAACCACAGCGTTGTGTTTCGCAGGGTGAGTAAGCTCACCCTTAATCCCCAAAAGGTCGGCGCAGCACTCATAATTCTGCAGTTGTTGCGGGTCTCTGATTGCTTACCATCAGGTTATCCGTCTGCTCGTTTGCCGACCTATCACATAAAAAAACCCGAGAGAACTTTTCCATTTGGCAGAATTTAATCAAAATTATTACATTGGATTTTTTTTTTTCATATAAACTTTTCCAGTTGGCAGACAGTCAGGGCGGCATGGCGACGGTGCTGTGCCAGTACATAGTGCGTCGGCCCTCCGCCCCCGAGGTGGGGCTCGCCTGCCGCCTCCTCGCGCTCCTCTCCGTGCCCAGGGACGCACTACTCGCGTCCGAGCTAGCACACATGCTTAGGGACTTGTGCCTTGTGAGTATTTGTTATTAACTAGCGACCCGCCCCGGGTGCAATGCTGACACTAAATTTCTCCTCTATTTAATAGATGTTGTTATACATATAAACCTTCCCGTTCAATCACTCTATCCATTATACGGTATGTAAAATAAAAAGTCTGTATTATTATAAGGTAGTTTCCAACTAGTCAAAGAGCTTGACGAGAGGACAGACGGACAGAATGACACGCATAAAGTTAAACCTCTTGAAATATACCTTTCTTTTTCTTTTTTTTGCTTGATGTTTAAAGTGCTCATTGTGGCCTAAGTGAAATAAATGATTATGATTTTGACTTTTTTTTATTGTGTGCAACAATATTTTGTTTAAAAAAATATATTATTTATTTGCCTGCTGAACAAAACCAAGACTCACGAGATAGTGTTTCACTATGTGTTTTTTCCAGTTGAAATAGAAGAAAACTTGAAAGTATTTCATTGACTGTTATGCTTATGACTATTCAACCAATGAGTTAGTTTTACGAACTTAGATATATTGGAACATCAATAATAAATATTGTGAATTATTTTATGTTGCAGAAATTGCCAGACAAGCAGTCGTGTCGGAACCTCACGCGGTATTTGGGTGCGTTAGAAGCGGCTGAGCGAGCCAGCATGAACAAAATGTCTAACACAGGTAGAAAGGCAAAATATTTTCTTTCAACTACTTAAACCAAAAAGGTAAGTGCTGGTCTATAAAAAGTCAGAAAATGGAACAGCCCAGTCCAGTAAATGTAGGAGACATTTCGAAAGTGTTCATACATAAAATATCATACCACGCGGTTAATTCGACAACTAAGTCACAAACTGCTGGGCAATGTGTCGCTGACTTGATTTTAACTAACTAAACTAACTTGATAAACTGCACGATTGAGGCGGTGGCTGGACAATAGGCTGCTGAAAAACTTGCAATTAGTTGTATGATCCGCGAATTGTGAGAGAATAATTGAATAAATGGAACATTCGAATTTTTGATAAAATTTTACAAAATATAATTTGATTTCTAACAGGTATAACCGAGGGAATGACTATGCAAGAAGATTCTCTAGCACCACTTGGCAGAACGACGTCGTCATTGCGTAAGTTGTTAAAAAACAATTAAATATTAATATAAGGAATATGAAACTCTTAACATAATGGGTGACATATAGACATACATTTACCTAAGACGAACAGCTTTCTTTATTTAAGTAAGAACTTTTTAAACTGTTATCAAATCAATCCATGAGACGGCATGGAAGTAATTTGCCTTATTATGTCTGCTCTGCGGCAAATGTGCCCCAGCAAAGCGTTTTTTTTTTCTTATACAACGGGATCACAGAAGATTACAGTGAAACAACTCTTGCGTTAAGTTGGTGAAGTTATCTGAGGCCCAATCCTTCAACAAACTTAATAACCTACAAAGAGCCGGCAACGCAAGCGTAACTTAGTTTTGCTTGTATCTATTGGCGGCGCCAACTGCTTACCCTAAGTTGATCGGTTTTACCGCCTACTATCACATATAAAACATTCATATATAGGTAATGTTCTAGTAAGTATAAATAAATCCCAGGTACATAAAGTAAAATGCATAAAAATGTGATAAAACTCAATATATTGTAGATGATAATAAGTAAAATAACTTTTCAGCGCAACCAATAGCTCGTAGCACGCATGTCGTCATCAACGAGACAGTTGAAGAGGAGGTGGAAATTGATGAGACGTCTCCCAACGACGCCATATCCAGGATATCTGAAGGTTAGTCATGCACCTTTATTCATTACTAACTACTCTCGCGCTGTTTCACCCGCTGCTCGACTTCAATTAAACGTGGCGTGATGTTTTATATATATCACTTAAGAACGTTGTAGCTATATATCAGTGAAAGAATTTTATGATTTTATTTTACCGGTAGTCACACGGTAATTGGCATAGTTACAATACAAATTGTGAGTCAAATTAAATAAGTACTTTTTCAAAATAACAATAACGACAAAATACGTTGAGACGTTATAAGTTTTTACGTCAAAATAAATAGCATTCTTATTTCTCTTAAATTATCGAAAAAAATACGAATACGATCAATAAACGAGTATTTTTGAATATCGAAGTACCAGTTTTTACAAGATGAAATATTTTATTTTTGATCGAGGAATTCACTTAATTATGTCCCACAGCCCAACCTCAAGCGGAAAGCAGTAGAGCCGTACAGGAGTCTAGTAAAATATTACGAGAGTCGTCAGAAACAGATACAGTCCCCGCAGACACGAGGGACAAGTCAACAGACTCCAGCAGCGATGAGTCGCCTGTTAAAAGAGCTAAAATTACCAAAAGTAAGTTTCCATGTGTATTATATTTTCTAAAATTACCATTTGGACGTGTTCTTATTATTTTTGCCATTGCTTCATGATTCCATTGTTAACGCCATAGCGATATATTTCTGAGACAACCAATGCACCTATTTGTTTTTAATTTCAAAATAACTACCAGCAGTATCGAGGTCCCAGCCCAAATAAAAGGTTGTCAGGACAAAATTGCAGAATTAATTTAGTATTGCATCGCACATTTAGAACAACATATAATTACGCGGGTATTAACGCGAAAAGTATTAATTGAAATACCTTGGTAGGTTTGCCGTTTCGACCTGGTTGCAGACTGGTTCTGCTTGTGACCACGATACATATAATTTTAATACCCGCGTAATTATATGTTATAAATACGAAACGCCAAAGTTTAAAAATTTAGAACATATTTTTATTGTATGTTAGAGTTAGAGAGTAAATTCTGTCGCGTTCCCTCAAATTTTTTAATAGTAACTATCTTGAGATTAGTTTAACTTTATCAAAGGAGGTTGTAACGAGTAGTTAGTCTAGTTCAGTATTATAATTATTAGGTAGTTGTAATCAATAGCTCATACGCAAAGGAGGTTACAGCTATCAATCTAGTGACCCGAAACCACAGACTGCACAATAAAAAAAGTATTACTTTCAGGCACTAAGAAAAAGTTGTCCCTTAACCGTCCAGCAAGTTCGGACTCCAGCAAGGGTACCAAGGAAAAGGCTGGGAAAGGCAAGAAGGATGCAAAAGAAGCGAAGGAAACCAGCGATCAAGATAATAAGGGAGTGAAGAGGAGTCGGTCACAACGCTCCTTAGTTGATGTAGAAAGAGGTAAAATTCAAAAACTATCTTATATCTTTATCTGTACTGTTTAGATATTACTAGTTTGTACCGGTTGCTTCAAAAGGCATTTCATTTTTGCGCCGCTGGGCTCTATATGTGTAAAAAGTCATTTTATAACATTTTTTCCTTAGATACAGCTTAAGAGTAAGGGTCAGTTCACTCCAAAAGCGACGCTGCGTGATCACTTTAAATTAAAAAAGAACTTTATATTGCACACGATAACCGACAGACCGTTGCGTCGCGTCGTGATGTGAATGGTTAACAATCAAAGTTACCATCGCATTTATACCTAATATTTGTTGGACATTTTCACAGCTAAAGCGAAAGCCGAAGAAAAAACAAAAGCCGGGGAAAAATCGAAAGCCGAAGAACCAATCAAAACAGAACAGAAAACTAAAGGAACCAAAAATAAAAGGAAACAGTCGCCGAAGGAACCCGTGTCTTCTCAAGAGTCATCGTCTCCTGTATCAGATCTGGATGTATCCAATATCACTGTACGCAAGTCCACAAGAAGCCTACAGTCAGGGTCTAGTACCGAGTCCAATGGATCCACAAAAGGAAAAGGCAAGAGTAAAAAGCAACCAGAAAAAGAACCAACAGGTTAGTACTACTGATCTAACAACATCGAATCGATGGCTTCCCCTTTTTTTCGGCTCGCTAGATAACGCTGACGTTTGTCCTATTTGAGAATTAGCTACAACCAAGTTTTTTTTAAAGATTATTGATAGTTATAGTGGTTAGATCAACAGGATACGCTACGCTATAATCAATATCATTTTATGAGGACAAAATTACAGTCCTCATATAAATGTACTTTGTGTCATGCTTCGGCACGAAAGGGCCGGCTTAACCGGAATGATACCTCGGCCTCGCAGAATACCGGCGTAAAACAACACCAATACTTACGTTGTGTTCGTGTGAGTGAGATTACCGGAGGGCCCGATCCTTAATCCCCAAATCCCCTAACCGTAAATCCCTAATAAATAACCTACCAAAGGTTAACAATGCACTTACGTAAAGTAGTTACTCATGGAAATACGATTCCGTGTCCTTGGGTGGCCCCGATAGCAAAGCATCAGGTAATTCGTCTGCTAATATGTCTATTTATCCTATAAAAAATAAATATTCTGTAAATTTTTTTCAGCTGTCAGTAAGCCAGTACGTAGGACTCGATCGTCGACTGGGTCTCGACGCAGCAGTGCGGGTTCTTCGCGGTCCATGCACGATGACTCCGATGATACCTTGCATACCATCGTATATGAGAAAGAATTTGTAAGTACACACTGTCGATATCTTTCACGTTTTTCTTCTCCTCAAATAATCTATCTACTTTAAAAAATAAGTGTGGTTTTCCTTCTTGATTCTATAACTACAGAATGCACGAACCGATTACCACGGTTTTGAATTCGTAGGAAAGGTCTCAAGCTTAAAAAATTTCAACAGAAAGGCGGGACAATATTTTTTTCAAATACCAAGCCAACTTTTTATTATACATCTGTTGGCAAAACGAAGTTTGCCGGGTTCGCAAGTACCTTCTAATTTATTTCGTTGCGGGATCCAAGACTGTCGTTCAAGTCCCTGGGACGCGCCGAACTTCAGTTTTGCGCGGGGTTTTCATAGTAGTATCTACTGTAGATCCTGGCTTACAGGAATTGCAGCGGTTTTGGGAGGTTGTGGCGAGCTTGTCCCAACTTTTACGTTGGCCGGGTTTTCTCGCAGACTTTTAAGTGAAAAAATCAATCAAACTATTGAACCGAATTTAATTAAATTTGTTACTTGTACACAATATATCAATGTCTAAGTATATTTTCGATATATTCTTTAATAGAGCAGTTATTTGAAATTTTATAATTGCATGATAACTTAAAATTGGCTCTTTTTGAACATGTGCTTTATTAAGTATTCAGATCATGTTTAGAAGTTTTATAAAACACAGTGCAGTGTAAACGCTTTTAAGATAAATTTAAAAAGTAAGAAAATACAACAATTATTGTCTAGATAATGTAGTCAGCCTATTTCTGTTCATTTTTGTATTATCCTTAACTTAGCGATGATTCCGGTTAAGTACTAAACGCCCTTAGCAAGCCAGACTATGAGTGGTTATTCAAAAGAAAAAAAACAGCGTTCGGATATTAAGTGTCAAAAACAGTTGCATATAATTAATTTCCTTACAGGTGCCATCAATACTGAACGACTCCAGTGAGCTGGTAGACAGCAGGCGCAGTTCTAGAGCTAATGTCACCATACCTGAAACTCCCGATGCTAGCGAAGAGTAAGTATCTTGTATAAGACCGAAGACCTTATTCAGGGTTGCGGGTGCAAGTATAATGTAGGAGTAGGGTAATCATAATCATAATTCTTTATTGCATCCACAATGTAAGATAAGATGGTAATATGAATAATATGGTAACAATCATGGACCCTAATGGGCACAGCAAACAGTAAATTAGAAGTAAAGGGTAGTAAGAACCGGGGGGTTTTTAGTCAGTAATAGACTGATGCTTGTAGCAGTTTTTCTGTTTTACATCTGTTGTAGTTGTGACCTCCTTTTTTTGCGTCATATAGTAAACTTATTTCTTTAAAATTTGCCGCTAGAAATATGCAATAACGCATCGTACAATCAATTAATGAAACTGACTATAGATTTTTGACCAAATTAAGTGGAAGCGCAGTAATGTAGCCCGTAGCAGAAGAAGGCAAGGGTGGGTTTTAGTCAGTAAGAATCTGACACTCCCTTTAGCCAAACTCAAGGCAGGAAAAGTAATTTTCCCCTTAAAAAAATATAGCTGGCATGATTTTGATAGAACAAGGATAGTCAATCCAATAAGCAGAGGAAAAATCCACCCTCATTCCATTTTCTTACACCTTGGAACAAAAAAATAATGTTTTCTAGTCACATAATAATTACATATGTTTTTTATCCTCACAGGTCAGAATCTGAACCTGAGACAAAGAAGAAAGGAAAAAACAAAAGAAATCCTAAGAAGAAATCACAATAATAATAAATTAATTTAATTACCAAATAAAATATTTTTCTTTAATTAAATACTTATTTTATTTCTTAACTTAATACAATACAATTAATTATTATATATTCTATCGTGAAGTACGTTTGTCAGTGTGCCAGTTTTTATGCCAATCTTGGTTTTTATTCTGCCAGTCTGGTTGCGAGGTTTTTTCCCAAGGTTTCCATCTGTGTTCCCAGCGGTAGTTCTTGTTGGTTTGGTTTTCGGGTTGCTTGGGGGCCGGTCCGTGATAGCCGGAGTAGCCGTTGTAACCGCCTGGACCGTGGTGCCAACTGTTAAGAAAGAAAACTTTATGAGTAATATGGCACTTTAAGTAACTCATGAGTCTTCCACAAAACAAACAACAAGTAACAGAGTAAAAAAAATATATGTAGAATTGACTGTGACAGTGAAACAAACTGCTTTTTAAGTACATGATGTTCTATAACATACATCTTTTATCATAAATATTTTTTTATTTTAAAATGATAATATCCTAAAATGTAACTTTTTAAGTTTCGTACCTATAGATTAGTAGAAACGATGAAATAAATTACCGGATGCACAAACACCCCCTCCGACCCCAATCTCTAAAATCCTTCAATTATCGAAAACCGAACCGTCATAAACCCGGAAACACCCCGGTGTTTAGGTAGGTATTCATGGGCGGCGCTAATTGCTTAACATTAGTTACCATCAGGCAATCTTTCCACGTACTCATTTACTGTACTTTTACAAAAAAAGTACTCTTCTTAACATTGTTCCTACACCAAAAACTTACTGGTTCTGGTGTGCCTGTCCATCCGGTCGCTCATTGCTCGCGTAGTTTCCGCTGACATCTTCAGAGTTCTGTGAGCCATCACTTCCACCGAATCTGTTGTCCAATTGCCCAGGAGACTTCTTGGAGAGCTGATGACGCGTCACTATGAATTCTGATGCTCTCTCCGCTATCATTATTACGGGCGCCATTGTGTTACCTTGAAGGAACAGAAATAGTAGCATTTAAACAAGATCTTCTATCTTAAAGACAGAAAACTCATACAATTTAAGTGTGGGAGAGCCATGCTTCGGCACGAACGGGTCGGCTCGACCACGGCCTCGCAGAAATGTCGTTGTGTTTCGCCGTGTGAGTTAGGTTACCGGAGGCCCAATCTCTTCCCCTCTCCCCAAACATTCCCAATCCTTAATTATCCGAAACCCTTATTTTTATAAGGGTTTCGGATAATTGCCGGGCCGGCAACGTGCTCGTAGCTCATTTGGTATTGCAATCAGCAATTGCTTACTATCAAGGTAACCCGTCTTATCGTTTGCCGACCTATCCCATAACAAACAAATAGATACTAATTGGATCCTATTGGTTCTCTTTGGGTAAACTTATCCTAGTGACTACTCACCCGAAGGCAACATTGGCAAATGAAGGAAAATTTACTATTATGTTACGTTACAGCAAAGAAAAACATTATAAACTGTTAAAAAAATGATAAATTGGAAAACACATTGTGTCTCGCGTGGATAGATTTGCAAACCAAACACGGGTTAATTTAAAAATAGAAGATATTTTTAAGTATCTGCCTATATGAAATTCAGGTGCCTGTTTTTAATCGTAAATTGATAAGGCGAACGGCAGGCCCTGTACCGTATACTTTTTGTAATGTTATGTATTAGAATTTGTACTACTTATTAAGGCAGCTAAGCTATTAATTTTTATGTAATTGTTCTATTTTTAGAAGCTGTGATTAATTTTAAATATCAATAAAAAGGTTTCAATAAACAAGCGCACTAAAATCGTAAAAACTGAACGCAGTCATGTTTTGAGAAGTTGCCATTGTAAAATAAGACAAATATCGGAATTATAAATAATTATTTAGAAGCAAGAATAACAAGTAACATAATTAAAGACGTCTATATATTAAACCTTACCTCAAATATTTTTTTATATACCTGTACTCTAAACCCAGTTAATACTTCATCATTGAGTGACTACATGGATGAAAACTAGCGTTTCAACAAAGATGACTTTATTTTGTGTGTTAGGTTTTTGCCGTGGATGTTAACCACGCGTCATCGCGTTCGGTCGTTGGGGAAACGCACCTCTTGCTAACACCAGCAGTTTGGATGTAACACTAGTTCGCAACCGTATAGCAAACCTTTGAATCGCCGAAATAATGTTTATTTACCTTCAAATGACAATCTAAGCTCTAAGTAAATAATACCTACTCTAGTACATACCCTTTAAAAATAAAACTGGCTATAACTCTTATGTCCCAAGTTTTAAACTTCCAACATTTAAACAGGGCTTGTTTATCATATTAACTACCAATTAAACCAAAAAGTATCCCAAAACACGAAAAATTATTAGCGGTACAGGACTTCCATACAAGCCTGCCGTTCGCCTTTAAAATAAGAGTTTTTTTTGGACAAGGGAGTTCTTAACATCCTGAATAAATGGTACACAATCAGGCCTATTTATTTATTTATTTATTTATTTATTTATTTTAATAGGCACACAAAACAGGATACAATCAATAACATTACAGAATATCTTATAATTATAGTCTTGGAATTTCATAAAAGACCGCTCTTAGTGTTGCTTATTTCCTTCGGTAGGAATTACTAAGTTGCCCTATCCAATAAAAAATACAAGAATATCTCACCTTGTATCCCATGGACTCTGAGCTGCATATCGACTACGGACATAAGATCAGTTTCAGGTCCCATCTTGCAGGTTCCCACTTGATGGTTCTCAGGCGCTGTATGCTGTTGAGCTAGACATTTGAAGAAATCGTCGCTGGGATCCCGACCACCGCCTTCACACTGGCTGCCATAACCTTCTGTCGGTACCATACCGTATTTTTCTCGGAGAATCTGAAAAGCAAATATCCCTTTCGATTGATTTAATTTGGTAGGTAGTACATTTAAATTTTGAACTTTTTGCCTTCATAACACAGTGTCTCCGCAATAAGTTGATGTGCAACATGCTGCGGGTTCGATTCCCACACGCAACAACACTTTTGGTGTGATCCACAAATAGTTGTTACCAGTCTGAGTCAATAAAAAATTTGCTATTCGGAACCTATATCTACGTATTTTCGCAATAAAATAGCTAAACTGGTTACACAAAACTGAACTGAACTGAACAGTTACTCACAGTAGTGTTAGCAAGTCTATAAGCGATCCTAGCGGCGTCAACCAGCACATTCAGCTCGTGGTCCTCATAGAAGTAATTTGGCTGCATCACTGGCGGCTCTGCTGGGTCCACCGACCGGATCGTAACGTACCCACGACTGCGCGGGTGCAGAGCTATTGCTGAGATCCTGTTTTGATGTAGAAGGTGAAAAACATTATTGCAGATTTTGTACTTTTCTATAATTTGCTGCTAAAATATAGGTAAATTGATGCTTAAAAACTGCTGGAAATGACTTGAAATTTTAAAATGGTGAATCTTACTTTAACACATGTAAAAATGCGGGCAATTCATTGTTTTGCTACGACTTTCACTCGCGGTTTTGCCCCCATGAAAGTTAACGCTTATGCAGAATTTTAAGAAGCTTAGTTCAGAAGATACACAAGCTTAGGTATCTGCTACCTATCGCTGTTGTAATAATTGAGGTAATCTAACACCGTACAACGTGGTGAATAGGGATGGACATTAAAAAAATACATCGATGTTTTTTTCGATGTAATGCATCGTTTAGTTACATCGATGGTAATCCGATGTATTGAGAAATACATCGATGTTTTCTTAAAATCGATTGTTTTAGGGTAGGCATTAATTAAACAAAAACATGTATTAAGGAAAATCAGAAAAACATATGTATTTAAATTAAAATCACAGAGCCCCAACACATTTTTCTCTTTATAAATTCCAATATTTTTTTCAATGCTATGTAAAAACAACAGTTTGTTTAATCTCTTTCCCTTTAACCGGTTTCTTGTTCCGTCATAACAGCCCTGCCTGTGAAAAAAGTCTTTCAGAAGGGACCTGACGTGCCAACTATTGTTAAATACTTATAAGCTATTTTATACAGCTTCGGGAATTGTATTTTATAATCTCTCCAGATTTCTAATGATTTTCGTTCAGTCTTCCAACAGGAGTTCTGAGATAAACTGAAAGTTCGTCAGACAAAACATTTTCAGATTTGTTAATTTTCCAGTTATGATGCACTACTTATGGTGATCAGTCCACAATGAAAATGCTTCTTCATTTTTATCGGACTTGTCAGAATCGGTAGTTCGGTAGTTCTACAATCCTATAATAGCAGATTTTCCGTGATAATCCGTGTCTTTAAAATGTTTTTTGCACAGACTTGAATCAACTGTTGATACAAAGGTTATAATTTTTGTAGCTCTTTCTCACTTTCTTTTTTTCAATGCTGGAGCTTTTGGAAAAAAGATGATTACCACGATTAAAACAGCCTGGTACTTAACACAGTGGCATATTAGAAAAAACCTAATAATTCTGATTGAGAATCACCATTATGTATGAAATTGACAGTTGTCAGTCAAACCATCGACGATGCGCCATCTGACGGGATAAATACGCAGTGTGGATCCCCATTTGCGTATTCGATGTATCGAATGAAAAACATCGATATGTATTCGATGTTGAAGTATTAACAATACATCGGTTCAATACGAGTGGTGAATAGATACATAAAAAAGATAAATAGACTTTGGCGAATTTTCTTTCTTCTGTGTCTATTCACCCCTCGAATTCTATTCATCCTTTGATTTTTATTCACCCCGCTTCACCATCATTTACTTATACTTAGATATCTACATCAATAAGATCAAACCAAAAATCAATTTAAAACATACGTGATATGTCTCCTTTCTGCCTCTTCATCGAGAGACTTTGGGTCAATAACAACTGCATTGCCGCATGATGCGTAGTACCCTCCAAAGAAGTACTGCACGTCTGGATGACGCCCACCAGCCGAGGCGTAGCGCGAGTTCACTTTACCTGTGAGCTGTGGAACAAATATGAGATAAGCGATGTTAGGGTAGACCAACCAATTGGATTGCAGAAGTGACAAAGCTAGATGGAATAAAACACTAAGTATTGTATCTGTCTGGACTGGCAGTGAATATAACTTTAGCTGTTTTACTCTTCAGCGGCCCTGGTCTGGAGCAGGAGAAGCAACAAGCCTGGAGAAGGAAGGAGCTGGGTGGTTTTTAGTCAGTCTGGCACTTCCTTTTGCCCCAATCAGGGCGGGAGAACACATTATTGATGTTTTTTCCCCTCAATAAAAATAGTTTTGCTCTTTAGAAGAAATGCTGTGCTTAGGATCAGCACATCGTTTCTGCAATCAAGGACATTTAGAAGAGGTACTGGTATTGAAAAGTTATAGTTGTAGACGTCTTGCATCTAGACTTATAATGAAGATGTGTGCATTCATGATTATCAGCTTACCTGAGACATTCCAGTGCTAGCTAAAGGACCAGATCTGCTCAACAGATATTCAGTAGCGACATCCCAGTTGAGATCAGCGACATTAGCCTCCTTAGTCAAGGTAAAGTCCAGGGTGACTCCAACATGGTTCTGCAGATTCTGTCCCACTCCTGGCAGGTCTTGGATCGTAGGGATGTTGAACTTGTCGAGCGTTTCTTTGGGCCCGATACCAGAGTGGAGAAGAATTTTCGGAGAGTTCAGCGTACCAGCACTTAGGATTACCTGTGAAATGGACATGAATTTATTGATTGTGGAAAATGTAATATGTTTTTTGGCCTAGTTGCCTAGTTGTTAGGAATTGTAATGCCCAGGGTTACTAGTACCTAATGACTAACCAAGCCAAAACTTTATCGTTTGTTATTCTAAGGTAAAACAAATGGCTCCTGATTATCTTGTATTCCGTGGGTCATCTATTGGTCTGGACGTTGATTGAGTAATATTTAACAACCAGGTCTATCTGAGAGCTCGAAGGACTGACGGCCGATGGGTCAGAAAAGTGCCCGAGTGGCGACCATGGATCAGAATGATGTAGCATGGGATGAACTCCTGCTAGGTTGACCGACGAATTCGTCAGAGTTTCGGGGAACCAATTGATGCAAGTGACGATTCGTCGTGGAGAAGTAAGGGGGAGGCCTTTGTCTAGCAGTGGACGTGTTTCGGTTGATGATGACGATGACTATGAGGTCTATCTAATAAATTTTTAAAGTTACCCATCTGCCTTTCTTTAATCTACAACAAATAAAGCACGTACCTCTTTGTTAACTCCTATAGTATTTGTAACACCATCCTTGATGTATTCTACAGCTGTGACCTTCTTGGTAAGTGGGTCTACAACGATACGGGATCCGAGAGCATTGAACACGACGTGCAGGTTGCCTCTCTTCGAAGCAGGCCGGATATAACCACGCGCTGTGCTGTAGCGAGTACCACCACTTTGGAACAAAAGGCAAAAGCTTGGTTAAAGAAATCATAAGCAAAGGAAGTGCCTTTTACCTATTGAGTACCTGTTTATGCTAGATAAAGGCTAAAGGAGATTAGATAACGAGTCACAGAGTAATAGATCAATTATATTAAATGCAATTTACAATTGTCCATTCTCAGGTGTCTTTTAAATTTCCATACAAATGTTGTGTGGAAGAAGTCGTCATGTGTGATAAGAACGCCCTTTGTACACTTTATAGTTAGGTAATATGAGCCTGTTCTTTATAGATTTTGTGATAAAGCGTTATTATATAAATAAATCAAACAAATAATTTATATTAATGTGATTGGGTGCCGGTTAGAAGAACTTAATGATATTATCCCAGGGTCCATGTGATTACTAAAAAAACTAATGTCTCTGTAGACATCTCGAACTAGGCAGTTACTCTTGTGAATACCTACTGCAATAACAACCCAGTTTCGTTTTTCAAGTCATCCATTAAATAAAACTGGAGTATGAAATTTAAGACTTGATTCGGAAGATTTAAAGTTTAAATTCGATCCAATAATGCAGTCAATGCTATTAAGAATCAACTTACTCATTAAGCGCCTGTGCTATTGTGAATCCAGTCATGGTCTCTCCGTTGAGGTCAGTGGTCGGAGGATAGCCCAGCTCGATAGCTCCCGACACCACGTCATGAGCAAACTGGGGCGCGTAACGGAACTGCACCAAGAAAGTGGTATGTTGATAAAAAAATCTATTCCGAACAGGCATGTATCCCATGCCTGTCCGGAATAGAATTTTTTGTACGTAATATATAGTATATAGGCTTGTCTCACGAGTTACTATTAAAAATTGAACATAAATTCTTTGATTATATCCTTACTTCCCTACTATGAAATAACGGAATCCATCGCCAGTGAACTTACGTGAGAAGAAATCAACAGAAGAATCATAACCGATGCCTCTTTTTCTTCTAAATTCCATGCTTAGTACCTACCTACTACTTACTATTTAAAACTCATCATCATCATCATCATCAGCCTATAAATGCCCACTGCTGAGCAAAGGCCTCTTCTCATACGGAGAAGGTTAGAGCATTAATCACCACGCTTGCTCAATGCGGGTTGGCGATTTCAAACTTATAATTAGAAATTATAAGTCCAGGTTTCCTCACGATGTTTACCTTCACCGTATGTCAGTGGTGTCTAAATAATCATAGAAAGTACATATAACTCGGAAAAAGTCACATTGGTACTTGCCAGGTTTCGAACCCGCACCCTCATGCATGAGAAGCGGGCTCCTTAACCTCCGGGCCACCACGACATTTAAAACTATTCTATATTATATACTATATTCTATATTCTTTATCTATTTAAAACTAAAATCTCTTATTACGTAACCAAAACTTAACAACAAATTCATGCCATTGCCATCTGTGCCAACCTTTTTTGGCGCAGCTGTGAGGCACACAATATACATTTTTATTTATTTTTGGTTATTTAAGGTACCTTTTTGTTTCATTTTATTCTATTTTCAATTTATTTTATTTAAATCTTCTATTTTTTTTACTTTATGTTTGTGATTTTCGTGTGCCCTACACAGTGGCAAAATAAATTTATTTTCTTTCTTTCTTTCCATTACATCCAAATGCTGCTTAAAAATACAATTGAAAGATGTAAACGTTTAAGTGGAGAGCCATATGTTTTGGCACGAATGGGTCGGCCCAACCGTAGTGATACTACGGCCTCACAGGAAACAATCAATTGCTCCGATAGGTACAACGAAGAAATTTTGGTTGCTCCGATAGGTACAACGAAGAAATTTTGGTTGCTCCGATAGGTACAACACAGAAATTATGGTTGCTCATATAGATACAATGAACAAATTATGGCTGCTCCTTTAAGTACAACGAAGAAATTATGGTTGCTCCTATAGGTACAATGAAGATATTATGGTTGCTCCTATAGGAACAACACAGAAATTATGGTTGTTCCTATAGGTACAACGAAGAAATTATGGGTGCACCTCTAGGTACAACGAAGAAATTATGGGTGCACCTATAGGTACAATGAAGATAATAAGGTTGCTCCTGTAGGTACAACGAAGAAATTATGGGTGCACCTCTAGGTACAACGAAGAAATTATGGGTGCACCTCTAGGTACAACGAAGAAATTATGGGTGCACCTATAGGTACAATGAAGATAATAAGGTTGCTCCTGTAGGTACAACGAAGAAATTTTTGATGTTTGCCTCTCAGCCGCTTACCTTCTGCACAGGCAAAGGTCCTCCTCGGCTATGATACTCAGCAGACACTCCGTTACCAATCTCCTTATTATCCTCACTCCTCAGGAAGTAAGGCAGTACATCGTACCACGACCAGCCCGTGGCTCCGTTGACCGCCCACCCATCGTAGTCTGCTGGCTGACCTCGCATATACATCATTCCGTTTATCACTGAGCAGCCACCTGAATAAAATAGTTGGTAATATAAAAAAGATTGATAAGTTAATCTGACTTGAAACAAGTCAAGCTAAATATTTATAAAAATAAGCTGATAAATTAAAACGACTTATTTCCGATCTTGTAAATATTTGTGTCTACTAAACTAGCTGTGACATTCCAAACTATAATCTAACTCTGTATAATTTAATTCACATCTGTTTAGACTCTGAGCCCATCCTCCCCAATTCCTAAATCCCTAACATCTCCAAAATTCCGGTCACGCACTTCCAATTCGCATGGTGTTGCGGATTCCATGTGCGACTCCGATTTCTGTTGCTTTGTCCACTTACCACCCGGTAATTATTCTGGCCTTTACCCGCCGTATCACAGAAAAAAGGACAGCTTTTCCATAAAAGAGTATCGAATAAAAATACACACATTTACACAAACAATTTCGAATACTTATAAGTACTATTAGTAGACTACGATTTAAAAGGTAGAAACAACCCTAACCTAACATCTTAGCCCTTGGCCAGTAGCATTTGCCTCCGTCCTCGAGACAGGCTCGCTCCTGTGGCTCCGTGTAGTACTGCCAGTCAGTATCATTCCTCGACCAGTAAGCTGTCACCCACGCTGGCACACCAGACTGCGTCGGCTCGTCACCACCAGCTTCCAATAACAAGACCTGAAGAGAGACATTTGCTTAGTGAGGAAATTTCCCTTCATGAAGCTAAAGTTCAAAATTGAATAGTATTGGAGCACGAGTTCGGAAACTCCTAAATAAAAATGTGACTTATTGAAATACTAGCGACTCGCTCCGGCTTCGCATAGGTGCAATGGCGGTACTAAATTTCTCCACTAAGTACTTAAAGGAGGTAGAACTATCTATATCTATACCTACTTATAAATAAATCTGTAGTGAGGTCAATTCTGTACATTAAATATATTTTCAAAATAACTACCAGTGACAAGTGATCGATACTGATGAGAAAAATGCAATCAGTAAAATTTTTGTCTGTCTGTATGTTCCTTATAGAAACAAAAATTACTCGACGTATTTTAACAAAACTTGGTACTTTCTTTATACTCTTGGGCAGGTAATTTTCATCATGCTACAAAAAATAGGAGCAGAGCAGTGAAGGGGTGATCTTTGAAAAGGAAGGTGAAACCTTCCTTTTCAAAAATCTCATCAAAATCCGTTGCGTAGTTTTATAGATTTAAATATGCATGGCATATAGGGACAGAGAAAGCGACCTTGTTTTACAGTCATTCCAGTTATTTTGTATTGAAGCAGATATAAAATTAAAAAATTGATTCGGTACGTGAAACAGTAAATGGCTCCAGAACTGACAATAAGAATACTACTGGAATCTTATTAGGTAAGTACAAGAGATGGCCAAAGAAGCCGAGGGAGACAGCGAAGGAGATGGTCAGATGATATCAAACTTACAGCTGGCCACCTATCGTCCAGAGTAGCACAGGACAGACCACAATGGAAAGCGCTAGAGGCCTATGCCAAGACGCACACCGAGATTGGGGATTATTTATTATGTTTTCGGCTTACTCACGTAATAATTTGACGAGATACTCGACTAGTTTCAAGCCATGCTAGAGGCCCATATTCATTAGCAGCATTCCGCGACACGCGACTCGGCGACCGTCGCGCTGCTACTGGCTACTCGAGTCTGCGCGCCCAACGCGCCCTCTGCCGTGATTCACGCGCACTTTCTTCTAGCCGTGGTGTTGGCAGCGACGGCGCGCGCGACACTGTTGGCACGCTAGACTCGCCCGCCTGCAGCTGCGTTGGTGTTGGGTTCGAATCCCGGGTCGACGCAAAAACGCGTGTTGCGGAATGCTTCTCATGAATATGGGCCTCTAGCATGGCTTGAAACTAGTCGAGTATCTCGTCAAATTATTACGTGAGTAAGCCGAAAACATAATAAATAATTTAGAATGTCTCACGAAAGTTATAATAAAAAAAAAAGAGATTGGGGATATTTTATAAATTTATTGTTTTGCTAACATTTTTGTTCCCGGAATAAAAGGCTTAATGAATAAATAAAATAAATAAACAAGAGACACGGCTTCATTAAAAATTATCTAATTTAGTCTAACAAAAGCTTAAGTCTTTGTATTGAGTCAATCTTTAAATACCTGCATACTGAAAAACTGGGCTGTCTGTATTTTCTAAGTTAATTTATTGCTAACAATATAATTATGGTGAAGACTTCGGAAGCGTCGTCATTTATATTGTTGTTCCTTTTCTACATGAAAAGAGGTCTTAACATTAGTCGATTATGTTACCGGATATTAATTATTTATTTTATTTATTAAAATTAATCCCTTCATTACGAAACAAGATTTATCTTTAGTTTAGGTTTAAACCATAGAGTCAGTTTTTGAATTTCGAATTTTATTCTCACCTATACATATACCTCAAATTCAAAATACAAAAATTGGCTCAGTTGTTTAGACAAAGAAAAAGTACCTTTGTAATAAGGTTTACCATAATAATAATTATATCGGTTGAACAAAGCTTCCGACAGTAAACCGACCATAACACATTAGAAGCTAAAAAATAATAATAGGCACCTTAATGATTTGTAATAAAATGAGCCCTTGTCTTATAAAAAAAATTAAGACGGTAAAAAAATGAGCATAAATTTTATTAGATTGTTTCTTTTTTGAATTTGAATTGAATATGCGTTTACGTTTTGTCCAACTTGAGTTCGTTATCCGACCTCAACCTCTATATGTATATGTTCGGAGATGGGATGGGGCCACATAGGCTCCGACTACATAATTAGTTTCTAGAAATATTATCTTAGAACTCTCGACAATTTTTTCTACCTCAATGTTTCTGACCAACCAGTCTTCGCTTTTATTGGGAGAAACTCCCGAAACCGCTGCAACTCCTGTAAGCCAGGATCTACAGTAGATACAACTATGAAAACAAAAACAATGAAGTCTAGCAAGTCTTAGGGATATGAGCAACTCTTTTGGATCCATTTAAAACGAAACAGTTATCACTTCCGTCGGTAAATTTGATGTAGGAGACTGCACAACTGTAAAAGACCATATACAACTGTAAGAAGACCGGCCGACCGAAGAAGACAACTGTGAGATATGTATATCTTTATACTAACCACACCAGGTAACTGAGGTAGGTATTCTATCGCTATATGAATAAAACCAAGGAGGTAAACGTCGTTTTAGACAACGATCTACGACCTTGCAATGAGGTTTACGCATCCTATAACAATGCGTGGAGCCAAGTCATGGAGTTTACCATGAAATCGTCTGTCCATTGTTCCACAGTCCGTCAGTCAGTCAGTTATAGACCTAGTGGCCTATTGCAGACAGGGCAAAACAAATGAATCGCCAATTTTGATGAACCGCAACGTTAAGTGGCAAAAACTTGGGATTTTAATAGGTATCAATAGATCGGAGAGTCTTGAAAATAGATATTGTTTTGGATATATCTAGCCCAGATGTCACAGTGTTATTGTTTTTGTAACTAAGTAATGTAGAAATACGGTTGGCTCCATTACTGAAGATCTAGCTATTGCCCAACCTATACGTCTCGGGTTTTCGCACTAAGCAATTCTTATCGAGATTACCATAAATTGCAACTTTAAAAAATGTAATTACTTACCTATATGGTGGTCATTCGTATGCCTAAAAGACTAATGATTTATGCGGTTTCTGGATATGTTTAAATAGACGATAATAATGTGTAAATTATGTAACATGTGAGATTTGACATAAGTAAGGGACAATTATAAGGTTGTAAATGTAATAATCCTTTTTCCAACACTTACCTTCCATTGAGGATTTTCAGACAACCTTCCAGCGACTACTGAACCAGCCGTTCCACCTCCAATCACTATGAAGTCATAGTTCTCGTCAGGTGGATCTCTACTGGTAACCCTGTTGCAGGGATCTGCTAGGTCACAACGACCATTGATGTAAGCTTCTAGGATCGTCATGAAGAGAAGGAATTGGTTTGGACATGATGGCAGCATTGAGGGTCCCACCTCCTGTATGGGACACCCGCATGGCTGAAAAAGAGAAATAGGTTGATTAGAGTTAAAGAGTTAAGTGTAGGAGAGGCATGCTTCAGAATGATTGAGAAGGCTCTCCCGGGGTACCACGGCTGAACAGAAAACAGGTGAGAAACAACGCTTGCCTTGTTCCTCCGTGAGACTACCGGAGGCTTCATTTCCCCATTCTTAAATGCCCTAATCCTCATATCCCCAAAAGCCCGGCACTTATTACTCCTCTGGTGTTGGAAGTGTCCATTGGTGGCGCCCGATTGCTTACCATCAGATTCTGATGATCCATCTGCTTGTTAGCCGCCCTATGCCATAAAGAACATGATAATTCTTGCAGTCTTTAGAAACGTTCAAATGGATGATTAGTTTGAGAATGTGAGATTTGTATAAGTTATAAACTGATATAAACTGATGATAACGTTATTTTATGTCGAATCGGCAGCTACAAGTAACAGAAATTTAGTTACATACTGCTACAGTGAAACTCACAATATTCAAAGAGTAAAATAGTTGTTTTTTTTTATTAACGACTGGCTTTTTATTTTCTAATATGTTTAAGTATTAGACAACATCCTTTTGGGTAGAAGAATTGAGCCTAAAAAATATAATGGAAGTGGATTTTGACTTGTGGTTTCGAATATATGATTTATAATAGATATTGAATAGGCAATCAAATGCTTATAATAGGCATATAAAACATAGGCAGGTACAAAAAAGTCCTGATTGTAAGTATAGGTAAACTTGCTTAATTCGTACCTGCGCCTAAATCGTACCTCGTCTATATTTCGACATGGGTAATAGTTACCAGCGCCTCTGATGGCATAAAATGTCAATAATAGTCGGCCTTATTGCCATGTGATAAATAAACACCTGGTTCGTTGCTCCCGACTAAAATATTGAACAGGTAAGTTTTTTCTTACTTTTTGAGTATTTTTTTCGCATACTTCACAAGAACTGTCTTCCATGTATACCGTTCACAAGTTGCTTAACTTTTATTATATATTTATGCATATATTTCTGAATATATTTCACATAGTAAAGCCGTCTTGTTCGTTGTAAATTTTATTTACGGCAAATTTGAAATTCATTTGATACTTGTGCCTAATTCGTACTCGCAGAAACTTCTTAAAACGTACCGGTACGATTTAGGAAAACAATTTTTAATTTCACAATAAATATTAACTACCTACTCGTTTTTTTTTTATATAATTGTTTTTGTTACTATTTTAGTGCAACATGTCAAAAAGAACAAATCAACTCTTTAGACAGTATAACTCGTTAGTACAGGAAGTCCATAATATGGACTAAACATATTATAAACAAGAGCTCTAAATAAAGATAGAAAAACCAAGAGGAAGACGATATCAAAGAAACTAAATTTAAAGAAAACGAAAACACCTCAATAAGGAAACAAGAACAAGATGAAAATTACAGTTGGTATTGCAAAATATGTCAAGAAGACGTGAAAGAAAACATGATTAAATGCAGTTATTGTGAAGTATAGGTACATCCGTACATGAGCTATGTACAAAAACAATTAAATAAAACAAAATGTTATTACTACGATGACTGGCAGGATTTGGATATTTAATTATTTATTTGGATATTTAATTTGGATAATTAATCTAGGTACATTAAGATTAAGAAAAAGAGGAGAACATTGTAAAGATTGTGATTTTTAAGACTGTAAATCAGTGACATATCTCAAAGTATGATTTAAGAATATACTGGTACGATTTAGGATTAATGGTCTTAAATCGTACTTTTTTTAAGTTTTTGAAAATTGTTTATTTCTCAGAAGTTTAAAAGATTTATGTTACTTTTTGTTGAAATACTAATAGAATATTAGTGAAATTATAATTACTTAATATAAATAACTCTGTATTATTGTTCATTTCCAAAATTTTTGAGGTTCTCCTTAAGTGGTACGAATTAGGCAAGTTTACCTATTCGGCGGTGCTGTGGGACTCCCGCTATACCACCTGCTACAAATGCGATGCAATATTGTGTCGGGGTGGCTTGGATGAGGCACCCGCTTCACATACAGGAGAAAAGCAATGAATATTTTTTTATAAATAAGCCATAAAACAGCACTTTTACACATTTCAACAATAAGTAAAAATAGAAGAAATTCCGGAACTAACTCAGAGATACGTCTCTTTCGTGTTCGAGTCCTAGCAATAAGTACCAATATTACTTTTATTAATCCATAATGAATCTAGGATCTTTCTAACTGTATTTAGTTAGGCACCATTGACAACCGGTGAAGTAAAACATCGCCTATTTTTTATGTAATTGGTCGGCAAACGAGTAGACGGATTACCTGATGGTAAGCAATCAGCGCCGCCCATGGACACCCGCAACGGAGGAGTTACGAGTGCGTTGCCGACCTTTTAGGGATTAGGGATTTGGAGATTTAGGGATTGAGGAGGGATTGGGGGCGGGGAAGGATTGGGCCTCCGGTAACCTCACTCACACGGCGAAACACAACGCTGTGGTTGTTTCACGTCGGTCTTCTGTGAGGCCGTGGTATCACTCCGGTCGGTCATTCGAAAATCGTGACAAAATCTGGACTTGTAATTTCTGATTCGAAGTTTAAAATCACCAATCTGCCTTAAGCAAGCGGGGTTATTAATGCTCAAACCTTCTCCATATGACAAAAGGCCCTTACTAGGAAGTAGGCACTTATAGGCCCATGATATGATAATGTACAAATTTGAGAATTGCGTATTTGAGGATTGTAGATCGGGGACCTCCGGTGACCTCACTCACAACTCAAGCTTTGTTTTATGCTTCATCATTACGACAGACCTTGACCTTTTCTCTGACACGGAACTAGAGTTACCTACAAGGAAAAAAAACATACAGACAGACACGCAACGGAAGGATCATTGTCGCAATGTGAACAAAGAGCTAGTTTTAGCTGGAGTTAATTGATTGTAATGACAATCTCTGATTGATTGGGAAATTGACATACTTATAAACCTTTATATGTATATCTATCTACACTTAGATTTACTAGCTTCGATCAGCGCTAAAAGTAGCCTATGTGTTTATTGTATTCCACACAATAATCATTCGACTGCACGGTTGGTGCGGTGGCTGGACAACTGGCTGCCGTGCGACGTGTCGCGGGTTCGATTTCCGCACGGAACAACACTTTGTGTGATCCACAAATTGTTGTTTCGGGTCTGGGCGGCTCGTGTATGTAAATTACTATGTTTTTTATCGCAAAAAAAGTCTGTAAAAAGTGTGAAAAGAAAAATCATATTGTGGTGCCAAGTTTTTTACTTACAAACTTTCACGATTAGATTGCAGTAGTTACTATTGTTATAAATTATAAAGAAAAGCAATGTAATTTGTAAAATGCCTTTGATTTTATACTAACCATTGTCACAAAATTAAAATATGGAGCAAGTAAAAATCTGCAAGTAAATGCGGGTGACTGAAATGCACTTATCGTAAATCCTTGTACGCGTGCCGTGGATATTACCTAACCCTTTGACGCGATTTTGATTGAAAATTGTGTAGGTACTAGCTTTTGCCCGCGGCTTCGCACGCGTATGAAAGTAACGTATCCGGGGATTATAAAAACAGCAGTCCATAAAGCGATAGCTCGACTAAAATAAATCGAGTATAATTTATAGCCTACATCACTCAGGAACGTTGGACCATCTATCAATGAAAGAATTTTGGAATCCCGATCGACGGTTGTAAAGATTACGCCCTACCTACAAACTTACAAATATTACTTCTTTATAATATTAGTATAGATTAACAGAACATTGTAAGAATTCGGTAATTTACACGCTAAATGTCCGATATGTTTGCTATTATTTTTATGCCATAAAAAACCTAGCGCAAATATATATAACAGATACAAATGAAACATGACTATAGGTATTTATATTTTACGCCTTGACTAAGCAATCAAACGTTTTGTGAATCACCTTAGGTACATGAACATTAATTTTTTTAGTTACCTACCGGGAAATCTAAGAAAAATCGTGGTGATCTTCCGATATCAGTAGTGCAGCATCCTGATTGTTTTATAATTACCTTTATTTTATACAATATTATGGTAATCTTATGTTATATCTTGTGAGAAGCAATAAAATAAATTTATTGATTTCTTAGAATTCATGTGTACCTACTACGTGCGAATATGGCGTGATATTGGAGCCTACGTTTTAGCGGAGAGAAGTTTCTTACGTCATCAATTTCACATCACAACATTATGACGCCAATGGGTGCTCAAAAATGTGAGCTCTGGTCGTGCCTCGAATCTTTTCGAGCATGCTCGAAAAGTTACCAACGTGTTATGTTTTTTTTCGATTGTAAATATTTATTCAAAAATATTTTAAATAAAGAAAGTAAATTAAACGCTGCTTATCAATTAGAATCCTGTTGCGACTTGAAATTAGTACAGCTTCCCTTGGTTAATTTACGTGAGTCATTCGTAATTGAACGTTTTGATTGCACGGTTGACGCGGTGGCTGAGCAACTGGCTGCCGCAGAACCTGTTGCTGGTACGATTTCGGCACGAAACAACTCTTTATGTGATCCACAAATTGTGGTTCCGGGTCTGGGTGTCAGGTGTATGTGAATTTGTATGTTTGTAAACGCACACACGGCACGGGGGAATAGGTTAGTGTGGGGCAACGCTTTAAAATAAAATTATCTATTGAAAAAAAACGACATCTATAGATACTTTTTGATATAATTATATATTAATTACTTCAAAACAAAAAACAGGATGTTTTCACAAAGCTCAGTTTGAACAATTATATAATATGCATGATCCAATGTCAAGGTTTTTAACTAAAAATAATTATGTAAACCGCAATTAATGTATTGTTTTTTTTTAGGTTTTATATCGACTATCAAACAAACAATCTGTTCCAATCCCTCGATGTACGTGGTATAAATGACGAGGCAAAACGCTTAGTCCGGGCCGCAGGTGTCTCAACAACGTAAGGGTGGATATTTGCCGTACGCCGGGATGTCCGAAGGTGAATTTGGAATGGCTGAATCAAATCGTGCAATTCCTGTGCACACTCTCCAAAATGCATCCTGTAGAAAACCGCAGGCTGGCTACTCTGCGCCTGTGCTCGAGACTTTGAAGGTTCCCGCTCGGAGGGCATGCTTAGCTTTCTTCTACACCCTCATCACTAGGTAGGTGAGGTATACCTACATAGTATACCTCACCCACATGGGGAAACACGACGCCGTGGTGGTTTTACGGGTTTTATTGTGTTTTTTTATGGTATATGAGGCAAACGAGCAGACGGATCACCTGATAGTAAGCGATCGACGCCACCCATGGACACCCGCAACACCAGAGGAGTCACAGGTGAGCTGCTGGCCTTTAAAATCACTCCGATCCGATGTTATATCATTCCGATTGAGCTGGCCCATTCATACCGAAGATTGGATCAACCACAATTTAATATTTTAATGTTTTGACTGCGCGGTTTGCGAAAATCTCTTAGTTAACCACAAATTGTTATTGGTGTGATGTGTTTGTGAATGTCTATTCCACAGGAGACAATCTTATTTTTTATTTAGTTCTGCCTCTTATATATATATATATATATATATATATATATATATATATATATATATATATATATATATATATATATATATATATGTATATATATTAATTTTAAAATCATTTGAAGCTATTCCTATTGTGTTCTGCGTCTGTAATTATTTTATTCGGTGGCTGTATGTAATTTATATGCTAATGAAAAGAACGGCTAACTATGATTACGGACTAAATAATAAATCCGTGACTTTATACTACTGGTTGCAAGTCAAGCCATTATAACAAAATTAAAGTAAAGAAAAAGTATTTATATTCGAAAGAAGACTGGCACGAAATCATATAAAATAAGATAAGTAAATAAAAAAAACGAACATAAAACGACATTAAAAGAAAAAAGATATAAAAATACGAAATATACCTATATAATTTAAAAATGGAATAATTAAATTGACAACATTGAAAAACGGTCATTGTCTCAGACTAGTTTATGGTTTCTGTGGTTCATTGTGTCTACCCAATAAAGTGATAAATAATAATAGGTCTCTACCTATGAAATTGCCGTTTTGCATAAAAACAAATTATCATTTATCATCATCATGATGATGATGATGATAAAAACAAATTAAACGAATTTTTTTATTTGAAATTCGATGAAAATGTAATACCTACCAAAAACTATTTTGATTTGAAAGGGCCAGTACTGCAGAACGGCAATTTCATAGGTAAAGACCTATTATTAGTACCTAAATAAATAAATAGTTATGTGTGTGTAAATAAAAAAATGTGTGTAGGTAATACATTCTTTCATGATCTCGTATTTATTAAAATAATTTTCGATTTTGTTTAATAAGAATATCGACTTATTCAAGCGATTTAACCGAGATAAATCCAACTGGTTTGAAGTTACGCTGTGTTGTGAAGTTAATAATATTTTCAATAGATTTGGTATTTCTTATAACTACCTATCTTAATTTTAAGTTAAAACTAGTTACTTGTAAGTAAAGTTAAAAGCATTAATTAATAAGTTAGGTACATACCTCTGGATCCCTTATCATGTTGTGTAAAGCTTACGTTCTGAAAAAAAAAATAAAAATAATTTTATAACAGTGCTAGATAATGTTACTATGACACAATTAATTGTAGATATTACGCATTCAGATCTACGAATGGTTTAAACATGATATGTATTAGACAGTATTAACAAAATCGGCCAGATTTGGTTTTACTACAAACCTAAGAAATTTGATCAACGCATCAATGGAAGGTTACAAAGGGATTTCATAGTAATATAAAATCCACCTAAAACCGTTAAAATTCTCGATGGCCCAAATGAGACTGCTATGTTAGGGATTTTCGGGGTCAAAGCAAATTACGATAGGAACTTTTTTGTTTTGACAAATTTTGTTTATAGACCGTAGTCTGGGGTGTATACATATATATATATAAGCATATGTAGACGTACATCTCGTCAAAGATACAGCAAAGCCTGAAGACAAAAGTCTTCAATGAGTGTGTCCTACCATTGATGACATACCGAGCCGAGAAGTGGACACTTACAGTGCGACAGATCCAACAATTTAAAGTCGCGCAGCGAGCTATGAAAGGGCTATGCTTGGAGTCTCTCTGAAGGATCGTATTCGAAACGAGGTGTTCCGACAGAGAACTAAAGTTATCGACATAGCCCAAAGGATTAGCAAACTGAATTGGCAGTGGGCAGGTCACATCTGTCGAAGTACCGATGACCGTTGCGGTAAACGTGTTCTAGAATGGAGACCTGTCTAGGCAAACGTAGTGTAGGGCTACCTTCAGCTAGGTGACGATATCCGCAGGGTGGCTGGCAGTGGTTGGATGAGAAGAGCTGAACATTTAGCTCAGTGGCGTGCAATTGGGGAGGCCTATGACCAGCAGCGGATGACATCAGGCTGATGATAATACGTATATATCCTCGGTGTATTTACATAAGACCTCTAACAGAGTTGATGAAACTCTTTATGAATGAGGTGTAGAACTGTGTATAACTTGGCTAGCGGTCTAACGGTATGGTATTTCCAACGCGAGCCATCATTTACCATTAGCTGATCCGTGTGTTCGTTTGCCTACATTATAACTATATAAATATATTTATCGATATTCGTTTCGTTCATAAGGCTACCGCTGATGACCGTCCACTATACCACACCACAATACTCGTATTTCCTATATTTAGACATCAATTTACAACTTAGTGTTTGATTTAGGTAATATTATGTCAATCACGCACTTGAATTGTTTTTGGGAGCATTACAAACAGATATGACTTCATCAGTTGAACGTTTCCTTAATACTTGTAGGTTTTATGAATTAGTCTTATTATACATATACTAGCGACCCTCCCTGGCTTCGGACATATTTAAAACACAAACTTTTGCCCTCGACTTTGTTCGCGTGGAGTAGTGACTTCCTGCAGTTTTTTGTTTAAAAATTATCCTATGTCCTTTCTCGAGTTCCAAACTATGTCTGTACCAAATTTCACACAAATAAGATCAGTAGTTTAGGCGTGAATAAAAGACAGACAGACAGACAGGCAGGCAGAGTTACTTTCGTATTTATAATATAAGTTTGGATACGTCGATAAATGAGTGTGCAGATCACTTGATGGCAAGCAATCGCGTCGCCGATAACCGGTTGCAAGCAATAAGTGCATTATCGCCTTTTTGAGGATTAGAGATTTGGGGGTTGGGGTATGTTAGGATTAGGGTTTTTTTTTGTGAGGGGAAAATCATCAAATAACTTCACCCACCCAGGGCCGCGCGGGAGGGAGTGTCAGACTCTTACTGACTAAGAACCCCCCTGTTCCTTCTCCTGCTCTGGGCCGAGGTTGCGGTGCCTCATTGCACTTACCCCACAACCCCGGCTGAAGGATTAGGGATGGGATCAACACTCAAAACAAAATAGTGAAAACATCCAAGTCAAATAATCTACTAATAGAGTTCAAGGTCGGAGAAATTATAATATATACATATTTACAAACATATTTCTACGAAAACTGGTTTAAAAATAAGTATCTGTAAAGGATAATCATATATTATTAACATACATTTAAATATGTTGTCCGAACGGTATCTAATGTTTATTTACAACTTAAAACTGGATTTTAATAACTTAAATGACTTGAGTTGAAGTAAACTAGATTAATAGGGTACTAAGCTAATGATATGTATAGATATACCAGTCCCATTTGATTGGGCAGGCGGTTCCATATTCTGTACCTGAGCTGAGCGAAATTGTAATATGGTTTTTGATTTTTTAGGATTAATGGTTTGGTAAACATTTTTTTTTGTTTTGTTTTTTTATAAAAACTTTGTACCACACTCGTTTTTTCTCCTGTGTGTGTACATACACATGACATCCAGAACCGGAACCATAATTTGTGGATCGCATACATCGATCACTAATAAAGTATTAGTGATCGATGATCGCATATAATAAAATTGTTCTGTGCGGTAATCGAAACCCCGACACGCTGCTTCGCAACCTGTTCACAAGCCATCGCATCAGCCGATGTTCAGTCTATTATCGCAATGCGCTTCGGTTACGGCAGTTCTTGTAAATAATTTGGGAATAGTATGTTATTTCTTTGGCTTAGGATGAGGTGAAAGTCAGACTCTCGCTCGACTCGCTTGCGCCCGCAATCTCGGCTGAGAAGTAGGATTCTATATTCCCAATCTGACAAGGGTGAAAAATGATTGATTTTTTTCGAAATATATCAATACTACTATAAAACCACGGCAAAGTTGCATCATATTTTACGGTAGTCAAATTCATGAAACTTTAATTATGGGTAGGTATATCTATATCGATCTAATAACAAAATCCATGAAAATGTATCGTTTTTGACATGAAATATATTTTTTTGCTGATTTGTTAATATTAGGAGAAGGCCCTAATGAAAGAAAATTTTAGAAAAGGATAGAATAAAATTGGGTTTAGGCAACCCTACCTAGTCGAAGTAGTTAGACACCCGAGTAAAGCAGGAGCAGATCGCTTTTTTTGGTACAAGCCCGCCACAACCACTGCAACTCCTGTAAGCCAGGATCAACAGTAGATATAACCATGAAAACACCGGAACACTGAAGTCCGGCGCGTCCCAGGGACATGAATGACTGTCTTGGATCCCGCAACGTAATAAATCAGAAGATATTATTTGAGCAGTAAAAAAAAAGAAATAGTTTCCACTTCCTTCAGTAAATTTAATGCAGGATACAGAATGAGTTAGGCCTTAAAGGCACAGAAGAGACTGTACCTACAACTGGGAGAAGCATAGTCACCAAATTGCTTGTTTCAAATTAATATGCAATGTTTAGAACTTTGGTCCAATTGGTATGTGCCTTCCTAGCTACACCTTTTTTTAAATTCATTAAATTTAAACCTGGCACAGTTTAAAAAAATATCTATTTCATTTACATAGTGTAAGTAATTGAATATTATAACAACAAAATAATGTAAATAAAATAAAAATGACGTTCTTTATTTTAAAAAAGGGATAAGAAAATATAGCATTCTTTATTTATTTTAAAAAAAGAACGGTCTCGTTCGCTACGGCTATCTGTTGATACAGCCTGACCTATTTTCTTATATTATGTATAGCTACATATGTATGTAAAACAACAAAAGTAACTTTCGCTCGCTCGACTTTACGATACTTTTCGCTTGACACTTTCCATGATTTCTTTTGTTCTTTTTTTTTTGTTATTTAAATCCTTTACAATATTTTTTTGTTTGTTTCAATATTACTTAAGTACTTAGTAATTGAGTGTTGTTTTCTTTCGTATTTATTTAGATACTAATGAACTGCTCCGGTTCCGCACGGGTGCATTGCTCAGGTAGGTAACACTTAATTTCATCATCATCATCATCAGCCTATAAGTGCCCACTGCTGAGTAAAGACCTCTTCTCATACGGAGAAGGTTAGAGCATTAATCACCACGCTTTCTCAATGCGGGTTGGCGATTTCAAACTTATAATAAGAAATTGTAAGTCCAGGTTTCTTCACGATGTTTATCTTCACCGTATGTCAGTGGTGTCTAAATAATCATAGAAAGTACATATAACTCGGAAAAAGTCACATTGGTACTTGCCAGATTTCTAACCCACACCCTCATGCATGAGAAGCGGGCACGACATTCATATACTAACATATTTAAATTTATCCACTATTAATTGATTATGTTGAAGATCACACAATCCATCTATGTTTTAAAACAATGACATCAAAATCCGTTGCGTAAGTTTAAAGGTTTACCTACAATTAATTTATAATGTTTTGATTCCAAATTTTCAAATTAATTATATCTACCTTCAAATTATTATATACATTAATTATTATTCACACTGTATGTAAGATAGTTATCTCATTTAATTTTAATATATTTTTTTTAAACTATTGTTTCATAATATAAGATTTATTCCATCTTAGTTTTCTGATAGGATTCTGCAAAAAAAAGCAAATATTTTGCATGCCTGTTATTGATGTAAACGCTGACCCTATTTCAGTGTCATATTATTTTTTTCATGATCGTGTTAATTAATCTATGCTGACGTGCCATGTCTAAATAAATAAATAAAAAACTATATTTATGCTTCACCCAGTAATCGAACCACACGACATTACGTACTGCCAACAGTTACGATAAACGACATATTTCCACGAGCAATTAAAAAAAATAAAACATAAATAAACTAGATCACCGAAATTCAAATACATAAATAAATAATGAATAAAAATATTCACCTCTGGATTTCAATTCACTTTATCACAAAACTAATCACTATCACAATTAAATAAATAAATAAATAATTTGTTCGTAAAGATGCGCACGCGCACACGTGAGTTGACGCGCGGCCGACAACACTGACTGCGTCCGCGCACGTTTTGTTTATATGCACGAAATACAGAGATGAGTCGCCTGAGGGCTGGTACATACTAATGAAAAGTGGTTCAAAAAGAACTAGACCTTAAGTACAGGACACGAAAACTAAAAATAAGTTTAGTCCGTAAATAAGAAAAGTCACGTTTTATTTTTAATTTTGTCGTA